GGTGTAGTAGGAGGCCCAGTCTGCAGAGTATGGCACCCCTATGGCCCACAGATCAGTGTAGTAGGAGGCCCAGTCTGCAGAGTATGGCACCCCTATGGCCCAAAGATCGGTGTAGTCCCCGTTTACACCAGTCTACCACACAGTGTGTCCTTTTCATCCTGCCTTTTGACATAGCCCGTCTGCTTGGCTAAGACCCCTGATTTTGCCTTACATATTTACTGTTATACATAATTAATTACATATGGCACACTTCCCTATAAAATAATCCCAAAGTGCTTTAAAAGATCACACTATGCCATTGGTTCATTGGTGACAAATTTTAGGTTTGATACATTTGAATATTTTAATACTGTTGTAACACTTGCATTTTCCTGTTATAAAACAAGACTATTGATGTTCAGCCACACTTTAAGTGATTTAAAGTTTCTGTTCTTTATCTTTTTGTGGGCTATTCAGGTTACAGACAATCCAAGAAGAGAATGAGGATGAGATCAGTAGGATTTCAGAGTAAGTCTGAAATCTGCCATTTGTCTGAAGCTACATTTCCATATAAACCATGACATGGTCATACATGCTGTTTTTTGTGATATAAATGATAGAATGTCTATTTTAATTAGGAATCAACTGAGGTCTTGATTTAAATTTATGGTCGAAATTATGCTCACAGCAAACTACCTCACTAGACATGGCCTCCACCACAGCTGTGACATCATGGGATTACATCCCCGTGATCTCATCTGACATGGTATGACAAACAGAACTATTGTTCAGTACAGTCCATAGTAAGTTGCAGTCCAAGAGCCCTTTAAAACATGCTTTTACTGATCAGAAGACTAGTAACATATTCTTGCCTCAAATTCAGTGAAATATGTTGGAGAATACCCTCAGTTACTAATGAAGCTTAAACTACTTGGGGTATTTTTGACCCTGGTATATGAGCTCTTGGGTTGCTTTGGGGCTCTGAGCCCTTTTTGAACAGAGAATACCATCCATTGGAGTGGTCCTCTCGCACCCCCCCCCCCCCCCCCCCCCCGCCTCAGTGGGGGCTGCCGACAAATACAGCAAATGGTTCATGAAGCTTCATTTGGCCATCACTACGCTCAGGTATCAGAAATGCGCCCTATTTGTAATAGTGCCCTCTGATGGACAATTGGCTTTTTAGTGGGTTCGGTTGCTGGCTTCAATAAAAGGCAGACTGGGTTCTGATTTTTGATTGGTGCATGCTACCATATCTAAAGTGAGAATATACGTGTAACAATATCACAGCAGCTCATACTTTTCTGTTGGCCTTATATCACGTTTTTATTTTCTTTGAAGACGTCCCATTAGGAGTGATTTGGCCTACTTGTCAGAATTAAAGTGTCTTTACAGTGTCAGGCTAGCAGGAATCGAGTTAGCAGATGTGCCCTGGTTTTTCTTTAACTCCTCAATGAATGAACATTGTTCGGGTCGTTAATTATTCTCTCTCGCCACAGCAGTATGAGGCTGCATGTCTAATACTGGTAATCAGTAACTTCTCTGATAGACTCCTGCATAAATGTGTCCCTTTATTGATCCACCAAGTTGACAGGACATGTTATTTGGGTTTCATAGAAAACCAGTTACTTCAGAAATTATTTCTCTGAAACTATATAAGCTGAACATCAAAACTAGCTAATATATACTATGTACCATAAAGTATAGTTAGGGGATCTGTCATAGAATTGGAGTAATTCATAGTTTAATTAAATGGATCTCTGCATTGATTCATTAATTAATTACTTACATTTGATAAGCTAGTTAGTCAGTGCTATGATTCTAGTATCAGCCTGGAGTTTTTCTGATTAGGGCTGAGAATCTGGCCACCTGTTTAGTGAGTAACAGTTTTCAGTGCTTCAGTGGAATGTCATGCTCAGCTGTCTGTGAATGAGTACAGTCAGCTTTTGGAGATCTGCTGTCATCTGACTGTAATCACAGGGTCAGGTAGGTAGCCCATCTCTGCAGAACACCTGTGTAATCCACCAGGGCTTCTCTCCTGACTTGTCTGGTTATTTTTCATTGTAACTGAAACGTTTCTAAATTGATATTCTAATTTGTTTGGCTTTTAAATATGTTTCAGAAGTTATTTTTGCAACTTAATTTTATTAAGCAAATTCTCCTCCATATACACAGTAAATTTCACTAGAATGTAAATTTGCACTTTTGGTGATTTCATAAGTTTTGTTAGCGATAGCTAAAATTACAATGATTCTACAAATAAGTTACAAATATTTCAACAAGGAATAAGGAATTTAAACATTAAGACTATGATCTGTTGGTAATAATACTGTATGTTTATCCCTTTGTCATGGATGCACCCTCCTGTCCTCGACCTTGACAGATACTTGGTGGATGTATGTCCCTCGGAGCCTGAGCTGGAGCCCAGCCGGACGGCCTCTCCTGCACCCAGCGAGCCGACACCTTCAGGGAGGAGGGACTCGCTGGTCCATTTGTCCACTGACACGAGTACTATCACAGTAACTCAACAACCTGAGTGTGGTGACGAGCACCCTCCATCTCTAGCCGCCACTAAGGTAATGCTGGTCTTAGCAGGGCATCATGGGAAGAGGTGTGGTTAGGCAAATCGTCAGTTTCTTCATTGGCTGTTGTGATCCATCTCTGTAGGAAGATGAGCCAGCTGAGGAAGGGTGTGGAGGTAAGCACGTCTGTGTCGTATGGCTTTGAGTGAACGTCTTTCTCTGTTTGACCATGTGAATGCGTGACAGTAACTGCATGATTGTGACTGTGACCATGTGACTGTAACCATGTGACTGATTGCATGACTGTGACTGCATGACTGTAACTGTGTGACTTTGACTATGTGACTGTATCTGCATGATTGTGACCTGACCATGACCATGTTCCTATGACTGTGACTGTCTGACTGTGATGTCATCTGACTATAACGTATCTGTGTGACTGTGACAGTGTAACTGTAACCATGCAACTGTGACATGTGACCGTGTAACTGTGACTACGCCCCTGTGCCGTGGTCTCTGCCTCCAGTCTCCAGCAGCTGCATCGCAGTAAAAAGCTGCCTCATGCGCTTGCCTCGCATAAACGAGTGCATGGACCAGATCAGCCAGTTGCTTCCGGGGAATTCTGTCACGCCGCTCAAGCTGCCTCTGCAGATGCCTGAACAGTTGCCCCCACAGATATCCAAATTGCCCCAGCTTGCCCAGCAATACTGCCTCAACATCCTTAAACAGATCAACAGCCCCAAGCCCCAACAGAAAGCATAAATAGCAAACCTGCAGCCTGGAACTAGTCCTACTAGTTTACCCAGTACTACCCCTATTGCCCGTCCTCACCCCCCACATCAGAGCTGCCAGCTACCCCCAGCTACCCCGCTTGCCTCATATCGGGCTTCTGAGACACCCGCCAGGCCTCCGCCCTCCCTGCCGCCATGCGGAGGCTTCACCCGCCGCTCCACAGGACCTTCAGGTGAACTGTTTGTACGGGCAGGTTTGCTTGCTGTGTGCTTATTCCTGAACATTCTGTGTTTAGCTGTGCAGATAGTTTCATGCTGTGCTATTCCTGTGCATGCCAAATTTTTATTACATTGAAATGTTTCTACTTTTAGTCTTCTTTAATCCTGCAGTTTTTGTCTTGTATCGGTTCGATTACAGTAAGACATTAAGATTTTCTTGGTGTCCTCATCCAGAGAGGCTCAGTGGAATAACACGGGTTGTTTTCTAGAAGCATCTCTGACAGTTATAAACCACGTGTGTCTGTGGGTTCCTCAGAGGGCCCCAGGCCCCAGTGCCCATCCGGCACCGTCGAGGTCACTGACTCAGATGCAGGCTTAACGGTGCCCAAAACCATCGTCCCACAAATACAAAGCACTTTAGATATACCGACTGTCTCCATGGTAACTCAAAGGTGAGTCAGCCTTTCTTTCCACCATTATCAAAATATTAATTTAATAGCGCAGTCTACAGATTAGAAATCTTATCATTAGGGTGTGTGTGTATACATATATATATATATATATAATTCCGTTATACGCGAGTCCGCTATATCCGATGCTTTTTCTGCGTGTCGTAAAGGCGCACAGCCGGGACTAGCGGACCTCGTCCGTTATAGACAATATTCTGTTATAAGCGAATCCACTATAACAGGATTATACTGTACATATATATGTATGTGTGCGTATATATAAAACTTCTGCCCTTTACACTAAAACTTAGCCCTGCTTCTGACTTTTTAGCCAAATCTGCTGTATCTGTTAGTCATTCGCTTGTCTTGTCAATGTCCCAGGAACATTTTACATTGTACACAAACTTATAAGTCCTTGGCTCTAGGCGCCTGAGCGTCTGCCAGAGAGTCTCCTGATAAACCATCATTTCAGTGGTTCTCCAGCCTTGCTCTGCTCTTTCATTCGCAGCAAAGAGCTGGAGCCCCCTAGTGGACTGGACGGGAATGTGGTGACCACTGTCAAGGCCTCTGGTGATGCAGAGTAAGTATGGCTCTCTGCAGTTCTTTGACCAAAGGGCATATTTTGGGGGGGGGGGCTGTGTGTGGCTCATCGGGTTAGGACACTATGTCTATCATCAGTAGGTTATTAGCTCAAATCTCAGGGTTGACAGATTGATCTTACCGTTGGATGACTACCTTGGAGCTCCGTGAATTCCTTGTGGTCCGTGAGGATTATGTGACGTCTGCAACATTCTCGTTCTCTCGGCCGGCCAGGCAGGTCAGCACCGTGCTTAGTGAGCGGCTGCACGAGCTGCAGAGGCTCTTCAGAGAGAGGACTGAACGCGTCAGGGAAAGGCTGATCGACCCGGATGAATCGGACGAGGAAACCCCCCCTTCCAGTGAGTGCCTGCGGCACGGGCCCAGGTTTCGGACCATCCCTTAGAACAGCACCGGTCCAATGACACCCCTCACCCTCTCGCACACCCCTGTGATATTTCACCCACAGCTCCTACCAAGAAGGCGGCTCAGGCCCCACCCCCACCTCCCCCCCCACCTGCTGGAGAGGTGTCAGCAGCCCCCACTGAGGGGGGGGTGCAAGAGGACCAGTACAACCTGCTGGGGTACCAGCTGGCAATGCCACCATGGGCCAAATCTCTTCTGGAGTTCCGCTTCCCCCAGAGCATCGACCCCTACACCAGTAAGACTCTCTCTCCATATCCGTTGAGTTCACCTTGTGTATTTGTTCCACGTTTAACGGAGCGGTGTTTGACGAACCCCTTTCCAGGCCTGATCTACGTGATATGGCTGTTTTTCGTCACCATGGCCTGGAACTGGAACCTGTGGTTGATCCCGGTACGCTGGGCCTTCCCCTACCAGACAGCCAACAACCTCCACTTGTGGCTGCTGGCAGATTACCTGTGTGACGCCGTCTACATCCTGGACATCCTGGTCTTCCAGCCGCGCCTTCAGTTTGTCCGTGCCGGCGATATCGTGGTGAGAACGGGCACACTTTCATGCACACTGCTTCTACAAGCTTTTGGTGTAGGAGTTAATTAGGTGTTTCATTGCTATTTGCGTAACAGCAATCCAAATTCAAGTTTCAAATTCTATGTGTCGCATACATAATCGTATTCTGTAAAATGCCTTAGTTTAGTTCATTTCTGGAGATTCACTTAAGGCATTATAGATGACTATTGCATATGTAAGACAGATATAAAAAATAATATCTTCTCCTTCTAGACTGACAGAAAAGACATGCGAGAAAACTATTTACAGACGCATCGCTTCAAGGTAACCAAACTTGGCTGTAAGTCAACGATCGCATATGCTCACCACAGTGCTAAGTCTGCTGGCTTTATACACATTTGTAGAATACAGGAATGTTTAATGACAGTTCTACATAAATAAAAATGTAACATTGTTGTCATTTAGATGGATGTGCTGTCCCTCGTTCCACTGGAGGTATTTTACCTGAAAACAGGCGTGAACTCCCTGCTCCGCTTCCCCCGACTGCTCAAGGTGACCATACTCCGTCAGCCTCTCAGTATTATGCTGGATATTCCAAGTTTTACAGCACTCTGTGATTGGTGTAGTAACATATACTAAATAATACTAGCAACAACTTACAGTATAAGACTGTAGTTTTAAAATGCAAAACTTGAAACCATATCTTTAGGATTAAAACCCATAGATATTGTAGCTGCTTTACATCATGCCTGAATGTTGCCGTAAAATCAACTCAGTGCTGTGAAACTTTCATTTCAGCTTTCAACTTTTTACAAGCAAAGTCACAAAATTTAGTGAGGAAATCGTTGTTTGCCAAGCAGCCTAAAAATAGCTGTGTTTTTGCTAACCGTGCTGAATGACTGACTGTGTATCTCCTTGGTGTTCAGTCTCTTTTATTGCTTTTCTGTAGTATATGGCTTTCTTAGAGTTCAACGATCGCCTGGAAGCTGTCCTCAGTAAAGCTTACATCTACAGGTACATGGTTTTGCACCAATACAAATAAACAGTGTCTAGCTCATTTTATTCTGGGAATGTAAATTGTCCACAATCCTTTCTGGTCTTACTGTACTGGTCAAAAGTTTGAACATGCCAGGCCACCTATAAAGGACAGTGACAGTGTCGAATCACATGACCTGGCCACCAGACCTAAAAACAGTAGAAATGGTTCTGGAGGTGTTTCACCAGATAATGAAGGAAAAGCAGCCAATGAGTGCTCAGCATATGTGGGACCTCCTTCAGGACAGCTGGAAAAGCATCCCAGGAGGCCACCTCAAGGAACTGGCATAGAGGAGACAGTAGGGTCAGCCAGTCCCTGGAGCGATTGGGGTTAAGGGCCTTGCTCAATGGTGGCATCACTCTGCCAACCGCAGGATTCGAACCAGCAACCAGAGTCCCAACCCAAATTGCTGCCCCCCCAACAAATTATTATTATTGTTTTTGGTCAGTACATAATTCCTGCTAAAGAAAGCCTCTGTCATTCCTCCAAAGGCAAGATTCAACCCAGTGTGTCCTTTGGCCCTGATGCATTAGAATGAGCTTGGGGCTCCGAGGAATTATAGCAGTTATAGTTATTTTTCAACATTGACATTGATCCTTAGACCCAACTCTATAGCAGAACCAAGCCGTCGGCTCCCTGCGCCTCAGTGCTCTGCTTCCTCAATCCACCAACCCCCTCTGCAGAAACTTCCTGCAAAAAGTCCAGGTTAAACATTAACATTGAATCTTTTCCCATCCATCTTCTTTCCCACCCCTAATGTCACAGGGTCATCTTGACAACCACCTACCTGCTCTATTCGCTGCACATCAACGCCTGTCTTTTCTATTGGGGCTCTGCTTACGAGGGCCTAGGATCCACTAAATGGGTCTACAATGGCGTGGGTAACAGGTACGCAGACACCCTTAGCCCCGTCGCAGTGATGCTCACTCTGGGCCTCCCTCCCCGCTTCATTCCCCTTTCCAGACTTAGCTCTGGAATGACAGAATTATCTCATCTGCTCACTCTTTCCCAGTTATATCCGCTGCTACTACTTTGCCGTGAAGACCCTGATCACCATCGGGGGCCTGCCAGACCCCACCACCCTATTTGAGATCGTCTTCCAGATGGTGAACTACTTTGTGGGAGTCTTCGCCTTCTCCATCATGATTGGACAGGTTAGCAGGACTGGATGACTAATGGATGAGATCTTATTACTTTGTTATTTCCGTGACAAAAGAGCTTGTGCTTTGTTCATTTGTCCTTCTATCTTCACTCTTATAGATGAGGGATGTTGTGGGTGCAGCCACAGCAGGACAGACCTATTACCGAAACTGCATGGACAACACTATCAAGTACATGTCCTCCTACAACATCCCCCACCAGGTCCAAAACAGGGTCAAGACCTGGTATGACTACACCTGGAAGTCCCAAGGCATGCTGGGTAAGGGAGACAGTTGCTGAAAGGTGTTTGATTTGTGATGTGGAACCGTAGATACGGATTGACGTGCCTCTGCATGTTAGATGAGCGTGAGTTGTTGGTGCAGCTACCGGTGAAGATGAGGCTGGACATCGCCGTGGATGTGAACTACACCATCGTCAGCAAAGTCGCACTTTTCCAGGTGAGTAAGTTCGGCCAGCGATCTCCATAAGCTGGGGACACACCCCCACTTGTCTGCTGGACAACACAGACTTACCACAAAGCCTTCCATGAGTCATTCTATGAAAAGATCCCTCTGACTTCCAAACAAACTCTTCTATGTACATGTTGCATGGCTGAAATTCAAACGTGAATCTTTCATTTCAACGCTGCCTCTTCTGCAGCCACTTGTATTCTGGACATTCACTGTAAGAACATGCTGCAGAACTTTCATTTGTGCACCAGACATTTTATACCCTAACACTAAATTATTTGCAGTTATTTTCTTTTTTAATTTAGATTTCTTTACATAGTGATCGTAGAGGTGGAAAGTTCAGGTCCAGCGAATACAAATCCAGACCAAGATTTTGTTTCAACCAACCAGTTTAGTGACTGTGACTCCTTATACTAAACTGGTTGGTTGAAACAAAATCTTGGTCTGGATTTGTACTCTCTGGACCTGAAATCTCCACCTCTGGGTAATTGTCCAGCAGCATCTCTGCACTAATGGCTGCTTCCCTCCTCTGTATTCCTTCTCCTTTACTTTTCTGACAGGGTTGTGACCGGCAGATGATCTTTGACATGCTGATGAGGCTTAAGTCTGTGGTCTACCTGCCTGGAGACTTTGTCTGTAAAAAGGTGATGGCGTCCAGCACGGGGAAGCTCGGTTTGTCTGTGTCCTCATTCATGGCTTTCACCTGTCTTCCTGAGCTATTTTCCATGCATAAAATAGGAGTGAACCGTCGACAGATCAATGCATTTTGAAAAACATTTCAGCCAGTTAAAAATGATTGAAGTTGCACAATTAGTATATCATGTGACTGAAACCCCTCCCATGCTGCAGGGGGAGATTGGCCGAGAGATGTACATCATCAAGGACGGGGAGGTACAAGTGGTTGGGGGTCCGGATGGAAAGACCGTGTTTGTGACCCTGAGGGCGGGCTCTGTCTTTGGAGAAATCAGGTGAACGTTCTTCACATATCAGTCATCCAAAGCAATACAATGCTCAGCTCAAATGAGACCCTTTATTCTGCTTTTTTATATCTGAATTTATTTTGAGTTTTATGTCATAAAAACTGGGATCCACTTGGAAGAAGATAACGAAACCACAAAACTAATATTACTATTGTCCACAATTATAATCGGGTAAATCGGACATCAGATGCTGATGTTATCAGATATTTGTTCGACATTTGCATGCATCCCTTAATGTCAGTTTTTAACATCCCTAGCTTGCTGGCAGTGGGTGGAGGAAACCGCAGGACAGCCAATGTCGTTGCCCATGGCTTTGCCAACCTCTTCATCCTGGACAAGAAGGACCTGGCGGAGATCCTGGTGCACTACCCAGAGTCCCAGAAGCTGCTGCGCAAGAAGGCCAAGTGAGACCAGACCCGTCGCCCCGCTTCAGTCACATGATCAAGTCACATGACTGCTTCAGGCCCCAATCTGTTTGGATGGGAAGCTGTGGGTAGGGATGTGAGTGGACCTAGCATTAAATTATATTGGAGTCACTGCCCATCCTAGTACAGAAACCTCAGTGTAGTTTTACTAGTTTGTTATCAGAATCAGGAGTTAAAGTATTTAACTACCATTGCCTGTCTGCCCCATGGTGTGTTACCTATGGTTTGTACTAGCAGGTATACATTTGTACAGTGAGGGAATGTCACCGTGGCTCTTGGAGATGGTGAAACTGCTACCCCTGTGTGGCAGGAAAATGCTGACAAAGGACAAGAAGCCAGATGACAGCGGTGAGGGCAAGGGGGCAACGGAGGTGATTCCCCTGAGGCCGGACACCCCCAAGCTGCTCAGGGCAGCGCTGCAGGTCACCGAGACGTCTGGCATTATGGGAACCTTCGCCCAGCTGAGGAAGAGGAGGCAGACATCCAGTGCTATCGTGGAGGTATGAAGATGGAGTTTCGCACAGCAGGTTCGGTCCCTGTGCCAGTGATCGGAAAGCTGCTGGTTCGAATCCAGTGCTTGGCAGAGTCTCAACATCTACATTGGACCCTTGAGCAAAGCCCTTAACCCAACAATATATATATGTGTGTGTGTGTGTGTGTGTGTGCATGTTTCAAAGGAGAGCATGATGGGATATGCAAAAACGAAAGAATTTCAGATGTACTTGTACAAAAGGCAAGAGAGCTTATGGGGGAACAGATATCACAGTGATTACAGGCAGAGGCTGAGAAGCTTACAGCTGCTTATTTGTTACTCAGGGGTTCCCTCTTCACCTGTATTACTTTAGGGAGTAAATCACTTTGGGAGAGAATTTCAATTTCCTACAGTATGGTATCCATAAGTGCACATATGCAAGCTCCCCTTACCGGCATGGATGATACTCTGTTGATATCTTGCATGGTTCCTTTGTCCCATGTGACCATGCCTGTCCTCAATTCCTCAGCCGAGAAGCTCCCCACATGCACCTGTGTCACCTCCATCGCCCCCAAAACGATGAAGGCAACCTGAAATACTTCTGTAAATTATCCAGCGATTTTAACAGTAAGTTACACAACTCAGACGACATGCACATATTTTTTCCAATATTTTCCTCCATCACTTACACTCAGACATCATGAAACCCAGGTGACCAAAACACTGCTGGTTCCTGATGCTTTGTCTCTGTCCCGTGACCAGGATGTGTCTCTCCGTCCTCAGCTGTCCAGTCCCCCTCACATTCCCAGAAAACCTCTTTCACCTTTCAGCTACAACTCCATGTGTCACCATGACCCAGACTACACCAGGCACCCAGGAGCTCAGGCATCCTCCTGAACCCCTAGGAGACCCTCACTGTGTAATAAGCCAAGGAAGCCCCAGTTGAAGGATATCCCCAAGGACTATAATGAAGACATCCATCCTTGCCTCCTCTGTATCCCAGCAACAGGAAGTGAGGTCACAATGAGCTCGAAGGACACACCCATTTCTTGCATCTCACAAGAAAGAATTTACACGAGGTGGAATAACAGACCTTTACTAATTACAGTCCTGAGCTCTCCTGTGAGTTGCCATCATTTACATGCATACAACATATGTTGGTCTAATCTGGTCCTTCATGTAAGCTTTCTATCTTTCAATGATCTCCAGTTCTTCTGTGTCCTAAAACCATGGGTCCCTCTCTAAGTGTCTGCTAACATGCCCCCCCCCCCCTGCCAGTGTGACTCACCCCCTCTGCTTGACGGGCTGGCTATTCCCTTTGCCAGGAAATTGCTAGTTTGTCCTCGCAGAGTCATGGGCGCGACAAGGCAGACGTGACAGGGTGATCCTCTCTCAGACGGCATTTTAGAGGGCATTATCTGTTGGTCTGAGACAATCCTCTCTGTCTCCTTTCAGTAAACATTAGTTAAGGGCTGCTGTAGACATTGCTGAGTTTTACAGAGGTTGGTGGCCAGACAACGTAAACCAGTAGCTGCCTGATCCTTCAAAGCCCTCAGTCTTAAAACTAGTCTAATGAATTATAAGACATCAGTATTACAGGCAGGGTGTTCAGAGGGGCATGGATACCCTCGTAGATTCAGGGGCGGCAGCACTTAACAGGGGCCCTTGAATGAGTAAAATTATATGTAAAACTGGGTGGATGGTGGGGGTTCTAGGTACACCCCTAATTATAGGTGATGCACATATTGTGTATTCTGCGTACTATGCCCTACTTATTCATTTCAAATATTTAAATTATATTAAGCACTGATTGTTTCAGCTTTGATCCTTAGCCCATCTAGCGCACAGCATTCCAACAATGTTCTAGTAGCATTCGCAGTCTGTCAGAGAAACTTCAATGAGCGTGTTAACTAGGGGAAGCCTGGAGCCTGGCCAGCGCAATAAAACACACCACTGAACAGACATCATTGACTCTGGGAAACAGCGCATGCGCAAAACCGGCTTAAGAGCATCGCATGCAAGCTGATGTGGAAAAATCATTTTATTCGGATTTTCCGTGGCTTAAGGCGCCGGGTAAAGGCGCTAAAAGAGATGCATAGCTAATGCATGTAATATGCAGTATAAATTTCCACTATTAAAAGAATACTCTGAAATGTCAGTACAATGTGTGCTGTGACACTCCGAGAGGTGGTGACGCCTCAATGGCTCCTCCAAACAGACGCTTGTGTATGCAGAGAGAAAGGAAGGAAATCCTGAATGATTCCTGTTGTTTTGTGGTAATCAGAGCAAAATGGCGGGAATTGTGATCATTCATCAGGAAGAGGAAGACCCAGCCTAGACACTAATTGTAGCGTAGCCTCACGTCCAGACAAGCTGCGAGACCTCAGCCTGGTGTCTACAGCTGCCACCCATGTCCTCAGCTACTCGTAACATTGAAAAACATGGCTAATTCTAACAATACTATCTTAATTAGGATTGTAGGAAAGGTTCTGGAACACTTGTGACCGTTGTTTCTCCTCTTTACTAATTTTACTTTTTACAGTCTCTGTTGTGGTTTTTGAATGGCTATGCTTTTCAGCTGTTTTCACTCATTTTAAGCACCACCTCACAACAGAAAAAATACAACCCTTTAGGAATAACTTTGAAAGTTACATAGACTCATTCTGTACAGAAGAGTATTTAGTCATATTCAGCAAAAAATTACAATAATTATAATTTTTATAATGATGATGATAATAAAACAAAGGTCAGTGAAATCCATGTAAAATCCACTTCGTATGCAATATATATGTGTGATATAACCAACATGGAATATTCAGTGAGATCTGTATAAATACACCTTCAATAGCGTGTGCAGTACAGTACTAATACAGGTAGTGGATGCAAAACTATAAACTATAAGTTACATAGTAGATACAAAATGTATCTCCCATTCAAAACTTGTAAATAATGAATCATTTTGTTTAATATAGCTATGGCAGACGTGGTAAATTAAATATAAGAACCAGTCTCAGAAATGCAGCAGTTAATGGTTGTGTTTGTGTAAATGCCTGTAGTCTCTGTCTATTTTTTGTACACAAGTTAAAAGGACAGACTCCTGTTAGAATTGATAATTTATTGATCAACGTGGGGAAATTGCCTTTATGCCTCCCTCAACTTGCTCTTTGTAGAGTAAGCTGTCCGTGAAGGGCAGCCGTCTGTGGCACCGCCCAGGGAGCTGGGGGTTAAGGGCCTGGCTCAAGGACCCGCAGATATGCTGAGGCTGGGTATGAACCAGCGACCTTCCGATGATATGTTACTGAAGTATTTTTGTTTTCCTACTGTTCCGAACACTGTGATCATAATTATACAGCTGAAGACTTTCAGTAAAAAATATTACTCCAATAAAATTGGCAATCCTTGTTCTTTAACCGTGTTTGAACAGCAAGTGTATTTTACCACAGTAAGCGCACACTGATTCATGCAGGTGTCAAACTCAAGTTCTGAAATTTCGGGTGTGAGTTTTTTCATCCAGCCTCCTCCCCTTATTGCTTAATTCCATTATTTTTGATAGAAGGTGTTTTGGGGAACAACTGGCCATTGCCTTGCTAATTACCGACAACCTAATGAAATACACTCTTGAATAATTAAGGGAGAGGAATATGCTGCAGCGTTAACCGGTGTATATATAGGCTACGTGGCATACAAACGTTTATTACCCAGGATGTGGCTGGACCCACCGGAATAAAGTTTTCTTTCTCGAAAACATTTGTCTTTATGAATGAGCTGCAGATGTCAGTGACCTTGGGCTGTTATGCAGTAGTTTGTCACAGTGGGACAGGCTGAGGATACCGTTTCCTCCCCTGAACGAACCGGCCGCGTCACGGATCCTAATCGTAGGGGTTTATTTTAGCGGCTCTGCGCCATTTCGCTGGTGAGGTTTGGGGGCTTCAAACCTGCCCGCGAGTAACTTTTTCCACTGTGGTTAGTCCACGTCACTGACTCGCTGCACAGCACTGACGGGATCTCCTCACTGCCCGAAGCCTTGTGTGTGGGACGCCGAAGTGTTTATTTTGTTTAGTTTAAAGCTAAACTCTTTGAAGATTTAACAAGGAAAGTTGTGTGTGCATTTCAGAAACGCGTCTTCGGGTTCGAAAGGTAAGCCCCCGTTTTCATGTTTTACGTTTACGGTTTTTTGTTGTGTTTAGAAAACTTTCCGCAACTTTTTTTTTTAGTGATTTTTGTGGCTTTAATACAGAGACATATGTAACTTCAAAGGGTATTTCAAACGACATGCTGTCACTTTTTGAAATCCTCTGAATCCCAGCTTCTCTCAAATTCTCTAGTAGCATAATATATGGACCTAGATTGAAACTGCACGACCAGTTTCATTTTAGAAATCCCATTTTAGTAGTGTAACTTTAACCGAATTGCGTAATCATTTTATTCTAGTTTCACTGGCATCCACTAGATCTAACGAAATGCCAAGCGATCGTTGTAGATGTTTTCCAGGAGTATTTGCTTTAACTTAAATGCAGTCTGAAGGATTTTAAAATTTGGTAACATCCGTCGCCGCTCTTTCACTATTTCATCGGTTGTTTTCACCGTATTTGGATTTCTAGTGTCGTTTAATATACCTCTTGTTCTCAATATAGTCTTTTTGCCCGTTTCCCGACATTGTTTTTGCTCTTATGTAAACACTTTGTTCTTATAGAAAGAATGTGGCGTTACAAATTTGCCTTTGAATTTGAGGAATGGACGCATCACCATGGCTGAGTTAAAGACGGAATTGTAGAAAACAGACTGAAGTTAGAGGTTGCATTTTACATTATGAAAGAACTGACTGACGTAAAGGTGGCGATCTGGATCGTGGTAGACTGGAATGCTGCTGGACACACCGGCTGCAGGGAGAAGGAAGTGTGGGATCGTCACCCTGGGCAGTTTCGCCATCGCTCCGTTTTCGGAGCAGCCTGGCATGCGGTGAATGTTGACAGGAGCATGCAGGAAATGCTTATACAGCCTGCGGGCCCTTTGCTTCTCACGGGGAAGGCTGATTGCATAATGAATAAAACTCATTGTGGGAGTAGCTCTCATCTTACATGTTCGCTTCTAACTTTTAATTGGCGCGTGACGTGTGCAGCGCCACTTTTTCCTTGATTCGCGTGTGCATGCATGTGCATATAAATTCGCACTTGAATTCTGGTGCATATACTGTACAAGTGAAGGTGAAAGGCGACGCAGAGTTGCAATAAGGGCCGACAGACAGGTGCCCTGTTGAGGCGTCACATAGTTGGCGTGCTACTGAAGTTTAGTAATCAGACGAATGATGTAAATTTGGTTTTGCGGAGGGGAAAATGGGAGGTACCCCAAAAAAAAAAAATCGCTGGCTTCATAGGATAGAGGGGAAACAGGCCTATTTTACTGGTGGGGAAAATAAACTAAATATTATCGAACCGTCGAACAAATCTTTCTTTTCATAGACTCTAAGCACCGAAAATAAAGCTTTTGGGTCATTTGAAAATTAGCAGTAAGGACTTGGGCACCCTGGATCCATCTTTTTTTCCGAATTATAATTAATTGATTTCGAGTAGGAAATCCAACCCGATGACAGACCCGTCAAATTCAAACCTTTTGGGAAATAAATCACAATAACGGTTTTGCGCAATTGAACAAACTTTTTTTTTTTTTCCCCACATCAATTTTTTTTAGGTTACAGGTGTCAGTACTAAATTATTCGGAAAATGAACCGTAATTTTAAAGCTGTAAAGACCTAGGACTTTCTATTAACCTTAACTGTCTTTCGGTAGAAAGCATTGACAACTGAGCCATTTATGTTCTTTATCAATAATACCCTTGATATATTTAGCTATCTGAATTCACCCATTTATCAGTTCATGCACCTTTATCAGTTCACATGCTGTTTTTATTGCAGTTATTTGACAGGCAGGAGTGGCAGTCATTAGTTTTCGATTTTATCCACCAGATGGCGTCTTGACTTGATCCTGTGAAGTTCAGTGTTGCTTCAAAATAAGATTCCGTGTGGTTGCTATTATCAGACAGCATCGCATGGGTTGTTTTGCAGTTTAACTTACGGACTTTTTTTAAACGTGCTCTCCAAAGGTGAAATAAGATGAATGATATGGATTCAGGTTGAGAAGTAATTTTTTTATTGTTTACCTCTTAAAGTCCCATCACTTTGTTTCATTTGGGGGGCACTTTTTTCATATTCATATAACAGCTGTGTTTCACACCTGTCTCTGCTGTCCTGTATGAATGGAGCCTCTGCCCTGTGCAGCACAGATGTTCTCCAGGTGGACTCGTTCGTCAGGGCTGCTGTTTCCAGCAGCATGCACATTGTTAGCAAGCTGGCCAGACTGCTGCAGCTCAGACACGGAGAGCAGTTGTGGGTTTGACAGCTGAGCAGCCGAGCTTGTGCAGTCCGCCATCTTTCTGATTTTTGTGTGTTGGGTATGTTCCTGTGCCGCTCGGGGCAGCCGGCTGCTCTACCTCTTTCTGCAGCACTGTAGGGTTTTACTGCCCTGTCATTATGCACTTTATCTATGTTTTTCCTCTCTCCCATTTTAGCTTGTTTGATCCCAGTATAGCTTGGAGGGTGGGTAGCATTGGTGTTTCTTTTTCAACTGAGTCCTGGTGATTTCTGAGCTTTTTTGGTCTCTTCATAATCCTGTTATTGGCTGTTTGCACAAAAACATGTACATAGGAATTTGTCTCTGCCTACCCCATCTTGCTCTTCATAGCTTGGGGGGGTCATGGCGCTGGGTCAACCATCTTGCAGCACCCTTGGAGCTGGGGGGTTAAGGGCTTTGTCCAAAAGTCCTTGGATGTGTGACTGTACTGCTGCGGCCGGGGCTCAAACTGGCAACCTTCCGATCACTGCAATCACAGCCTGCTGAGGCCGGGGCTCAAACTGGCAACCTCCCCCAAAAATGATTATGGCCCGGAAAAGGACTAACACAAGCGCTGAAGAAGCACTGGAACACCGGTGACTTGTGTGTGTGAGTGCCCCCTAGTGGCTCACCGACAGAACTAGCCAAAGGTGCATACTGGGATGTTGGCCAGCTTTGCAGACTGTCGGTAGAGAACGCTTTGGTGTTTGTTGCCTGCCTGATGTGGAGGGGTTTGTCTTTTTTTTGCATTGGGCCTAGGGGCCAGTGTGTGGCTCACTGGGTTAGTGGTCAGAAGATCGCTAGTTTATATCCCTGGGTCGTCAGAGTGATGTCACCGTTGGGCCCTTGAGCAAAGCCCTTCACCTCCAGTTGCTCTAGGGACTGTTTTGAGCCTAAGTCTGAGTCACTTTGGATAAAAGCATCTACTAAGTAAATTTAAAATGTAAATGTTTGCAAGAAAGTTCCCAGCATTAAAAACTGCGTCTTTGAAGAGCGTAAGCCATGATGTCGGCAGGCTTGCTTACGAAGCGAGAGGCCCATCAATATCTGTCCCCTAAGCTGGCCGCAATGGGCCAGTGGCGGATTGATAAGCTTCTCAGAAACCTGCTTGCTGACTGCTTCACAGGACTTGCTGCCCAACCCTTCCTCAGAATTGTGGGCTTCGTTTGAAGGTGGTGCCAGCTTGGTTTTAGACGTCATTTTTATGGTTAAAAGGAAAAAGGTCATCTTTGCCAAAATAAACAAGCCTATTGTCTGATTATGTCCACCATTTATAACTTTGTTTTCATTCTGCACATGCTTTATGGGGGGGGGGGCAGGGAGCTGCACCATGGGAGGAGATTTTTGTGGAATTCTGTGCGCATGCATGGGACACGCGCATACTTCTGAGATTGGCTGTGGCGTGCGTCATCGTCCCCTGTGTTGTCACACACAGCTGATACCCCTGCGCTGCCCTTGCTTATTCACCGACTCGGCACATCCTGCTGAGTGGAGTGTGGTTCTGTGGGTTAGTAATCTGTGCCTGTGATCAGAAGGTTGCTGGTTCAAATCCCATAGTCAGCAGAGTGATTTAATCGTCGGGCCTTTGACCAAGACCTTTAAGCCCAAATTGCTCCAGAGACTCTGATCCTACTTTCTCAGCTTGCTCCAGGGACTCTGATCCTACTTTCTCTGATCCCTCTCTTCACCAGGATAAAATTTGCACATTAAATCTCCGAATCCCCACGTACATACTCTGATAGATGGAAGGTGTTCTCAGTGATGGCGTCTGACTGTGCGGCATCAGAGGTCAGAATCCAGAAAAACGCTGTCACACGAAAGTGAAGCGGACCTCGGAGCCCCCTCGCACCGCCAAACGCCTGGGATGGGCTTTCCCCAAACGTGGGGCCTTTAATCATCCTAGACGTGGTGTGGTTGTTTTGCTTGTGTTTGTGTCTTTGCATGACGTGTGGAGCGTGCCACCCGGGTCACTGATGGGAGTGGCCCATTTTGTCACTCTGCTGTTTGGGTGGAATGCAGGTGCGGGGCCCACTTCGGTATCTTGCCCCCACCCCGTGGACTAGGTGTGTCCAGGTGAGCCGTACTTTGGCTTGTTTACCACTGGAGGAGCAGATCTGACCACGATTCGCCGCGGACGCAAGGTCTGGCGGCTCTCCTTCAGCTATCCCAGAACATTTTACTGGCAAATCAAGCGTAGGGTTTCACCTGGTGTGCGGCGAGAACTCTGAGCTCTCTTGCTCTCTGAAACCTGTTGATGAACATTCTGCACATCTGCGATCTCTCTTTCGGGGTTTTGGCTCTACTTGGTCTGAACCAAAACACCAAGATCTAGTTTGGAGACCAGATCTTATTTTTGGAATTTGCGATTATTCCTGGGGTTAATTTCTGGTCCGAGTTCCCGTGCCCGAGTACCGGCGGTCTCCCTCTCCTGAATCCTGGACATCGTTGGTTCGGCATCACTGCTCCTGCCTAGCGATGTACGTGCTCTGCACCGTGGTGGCGCTCTGCATCCGCGGCCTCCTCCGCCGCTACCACGCGGCTGTGTCTCCTGGTGACCACCGCGGCGTGGACGAGCCGGGCGGCAGCGGAGAGCTTCAGGTGAGGATCCCGCTTACACCAGCTCCTGCTGGCCTTTAGGCTGCTGGTGCAGGTGATGTCAGTCTCTCGGCTATAGGACTGATTTGAACAGCTATGGGATCTTCTGTGGAATCGTGGTCCTCCTCCAGTTGTTTGTTTGGTGAATGTGTTCAGAACCTTCATAAAGTATTTGACAGCACCGATCAGTGACTATGAAATGCTTGTTCGAGTGCCGCATTCTTTAGGAAACCTGAATTTAATGTCAGGGTGGGGCCCTTATAGCAGGCAGATACTTTTTCTGATGAGGGTGTTTTGGGCTCTCTTTATTATGGGGGAGGAAACTTATTAAGGTCTCATTTTCAGTTTTGCATAAGTTGGCGTCTAATACCACAAACATCACTCATTTCTGAACGCAGTGACGGTGTTGGGCGTGTGCCTTTGTGTTTCACAAAGCAAATAGCTTTCGTTTGTAATTGACTGTCTGGCCATGTAGAAACACTGAATAAATATTGCTAAATTACGCAAGATATCAAATGATTTATAATGAGCTATGAATTAAAATGAGCTCTGTTTCAGCATAACAAAGATGCAAAACATTTGTGAAATGCACTGACATTGTCCAGGAGCAGGTGTGTGTGTGTGTGTGTGTGTGTGTGTGTGTGTGTGTGTGTGTTTTATACGGTCATATAAGATTTATAATCTTATCTTTAGTGACTGTGCCAGCACCGGTAAAGTCCTCGGTATGTCTGTGTCGGGCCAGCAGGCCAGTCTTGGGTAAACTAAAGCACTGAAAGCCAAACTAGTGTTTGCTTTGCAATATTTCTAATGGTCCCTGGACCTGATTCTGTGCAGTATGCAGTCGGCAGTCGGCTCCAGATAGGATCCCGGTCCCCCTGAGGCCCAACGGTATCGGCAAGCTCCTGCACCTTTTGTTTATTCTGTGTGCTGATGGTCGACGCCCCGAACGGCGTGACCGTGCTCACGTTGTGCGTATTTCACGCGCAAGGTGTGTCTCTCCCGATCGCACGGGTAGGTGGGCTCGCGATGGCACTGCTTACCCGGCAGGGGAGGGGACAGGTGCGTGGGGGACAATGGGACAAACAGTGGAGCATTACAGGACAAACAGTGCTGCCATAAAAGTGAATAAAAAATAGGTGATACTTTGGTGATGAGTGTGCAAATAACCACAGAGGTAGTAAAGTACTGATTGTGATGAGGTGCCATATTAACAACGCTGTGCAGTGCAATGCAGTGATGGGACAGATGCAGCTCATTGACTGTTCAGTGGCTTGACAGCCTGTGGTAGGAAACTGTCCTTGAACCAGGTGGTGTGGGAGATGATGCACCGGTAGTGATTTCCAGAGAGCAGCAGTGTGAAGAGGGAGTGAGCTGGGTGAATGTACTCCTTGATGAGACTCCTTTTCTGGTGAGGGGAGAGTGTGGATTCAGTCGGGACATGAGGTTTAGATTTCTGAAACGATTTGGCCGTATTGGGTTTTAAATAAACCTCCCTGTCTCCTGTTGTGTCCTGAATGTACCACATATGAAGCTTCATCACTGTGTCTCGGTGACAGGGTCCGTTCGAAATCCCATGAGACGTCACTGGGGAGAAAGTTACTAGTTCCGTACCAACGCAGCGCCCCAAACCCATCTCGTGAAATAGGTCGGTGAAGCAGGGCTTCGCTTACATATGAAATATTTAGCGGGAGCTTCGAGGGCGCATGCAAGGGGATGTGCTCACATCAGAGGAGGGCTGAGACTGGCTCTGATTGGCTGTTGCTAGGCAACAGGCAAAAAGCAGGCCGCGCAGAGCTGGGGGGTTGGGGCAGAGCGTCGGTGGCCGGCAGCAGAGAGGGGCTGGAGAAAGGAGCATGACTGAGTGTCTGGCACCGCTGGGTGGTGGTGAGTACCGGTCAAAATCACGGCTAATTGGTAGCTTGTGCCTTTCCCAGGTTTTGCGGCCATCGCTGCTGTTACCGGAGACTTTGTGCAGATATCACCTTTGTGCTCACATGGTACCTCCACCTTTAGGATGTATCTGCTGCATGCAATCGGGGGTCGTTTTATTCTTGATTGATAGTCTTGACTTGTTTGGCGAACTTTGTCTTTTGTCTAAGAGCATCTATTCTGCCAGTGCTTGGTGCTGTTTGTCAGTCAAGATTGTATTTTGACATGGGTGCTTTTGTTGTGTTTAACAAGTAAATAATCCAGTGGTTAAAAACTGACCCTTTTTGCTGCAGTATGTGCTTAAGCTGTCAAGCATCCCTTACTTTGTGTGTGTACATCTGGTGTAAAGAATTCAGGTCCATATAACTGTCTATCAAGGTCAGATGCAGAATTTGTTTGAAGCTTAAATGTTTTAGGCAGATGGCAGACGACCTGAATTAGGCTGTGCACACACACACACACACACACACACACATATATATGCACCAGAGGATTTAACTGGTTCAGCTAAATGAGCTGAATTTTCCCAAACGTTATTCTGCATCTTCCATGTGAGAGTAACAGGAGATGTTTCATAGGCCGAAACCTCATAAGTTAGTTTGCTTCAGGGTGACGTTGCAGAGACAGACTATTAGGAGGTGGGTGACTCTAATGAAGGATTCATCGCTTGACGGTGGCCTTTGCTGTTGGACTTGGGCCTGAGGCAGACGTTTGTAGCAGATGTGCTGGCTCAGGATCCCTACACAGATGATGCACTGAGCTACTGGCACTGCCCAAACAGGGAATACTTACTGGTTGCCTGTTTAAAAAAGCCCAGGCTGGAGCTATCTGGTATTCCTGGCAGGCGACTTGGGTCTTAAAGGGACATTGTGTGCAGCGGTTTTTGAACCATAGGCCCTCGTAGGAAGCCACCTGTGTTTGGTGTAGATGTTTATCGAGGGAGGCGTGTCATGCTTTCCGGCCTGCCAGTGGCATTCTGGGTATCGTAGGTGCTGCTGCCCTCGTCCCCACAAAGTGGCTCCTTCATTCTGGCGTCTTTCCCTCCTGCTGGGGCTGCATTCGAAAACAAAGAAAACCGGAAATTGCTCAAGCGAGGAACGCAAGAGGAATGTCAGGAATGCCGGGAGTCCGGTTCAGCTGGAGCGTCCCCAAAGGAAGGAAGTAGGGGCTGTGGAGGAAGCTGGCTGCAGTGGAGCTTAAAGGATTAAGGTTACCTGGGCACCGTGGTGGTGGCAGCTGATGTCTATAGAATGTTAGATGTTTGTGTGAGTTTTGCAGCTCTGGAATGATGCATCATTGGTTCATTCAGTAAAACTTCTACAGCAGAGATTGGCAGGTCCTGTGAGGGCCGCCGATAACCCACTTTGAGGTGGGTTGGTATTATACACCTATTCCTGTGTTAACAATTGGCACATTGAGGGGGAAAAATCTGATTGGTGATCAGGACCCGTCTGAATTACAATGCCTTCGGCAAACGGCCTGTTTCTTTAGTCAGTCTGCTGTTGTATGCTGTAGTGGGGTTCAGGCTATTTAAGATCATTTGAGGTCAGTGTGATTAACTAGTCTTTCGGCTGTTGGTCACATTCTCGAGAACGTGCTATGGTGGGTGGGGTGCGAGTGAGGCCGTCTCAAAGAGCAATGGAACTTGCCTGTACTGCATGCTGTGAGTCAGTGGGTGTTCTGCTCTGACGTCAGCATCCTCAGTCGTGTGACTTTCCCCTGCAGTTGGCCTGGAGAGTCGGCGTGCGCCGCAAGCCGCCTTCGCCGGTCATGCTCGGCGCACGCAGGACCTGGGACTTTGACCACACCCCCTGCTTACAGGAGCTCTGGAAGAGAGACATCTCATTCGACGGTGGGTGTCACATGGTCGGGGCCGGCAGAGAAACCGCCGGAGCGATGTGCTCGAGATTCCTGCATGCGAGACTTCCTGTGGGTTGCAGAGAGCGAGGGAGAGAGTGGAGGGGGGTGTGAGAGGCAGATTGGGGGGGGGGGGGGGTGATGTGTGAGACTGCAGACTTTCACAGGGACCGGAGCTGGAGAGAGCAGCAGGAGTCTGCAGTGGGGCAGGTAGGTATGCAAGGGGGGAGCAACAGGGCAGGTATGGTCCTGCGGGGCAGGGGGAGGGCAGCTACGTTTACCGCGACATCGCTCTCCCTTTAAAAGGTTCCTTGGTCGTGCTGTCGATCTCCTCCTGCTGGCTGCTGTGAAGGTGACTGGGGACGGAGAGCGGGGATTGTTCTGGAAAGCGGGCCAGTGCTGCAGCAGTGCTGCGTCTGGCAGGCTGGCGTCTGAAGCAGATGCTGTGCTTTGGGGACTCGTGTGCAGTGTCACTGGCTCAGGGTTGTTTTTGGTCGTCAAGCTGTCCGCCTCTCTAGATGCATGTCCGATACGTGTTACCTGCAGACGTCGCTCCATGTGCATTATTAGAGTTCTGTCAGCATGCGGTTGCACATGTACTTAGTGGCGGCCAGTGCAGCTTCCCTTCGGCCACCACGCCCCCTGATGGTGTGGGATGGTAATGCAGATACTATTAGTATGCTAGCTGTCACACTGGAGACGCCAGCTGGTCCTGAAGGTGACACTGCTCCCTGGGACGAATGATCTTATCTGCAGCTGGACATCAAGCCTGACGACCGTCTTCCAGCACATTGCAGGATTGAGACCCCCAGATACATCCTCAGGACCATGCAGGGGGGTCCGGTGTAGATTTCTGACAGTGCATGTCATGCAGCTGCTGTACGCCTTTTTTTTTGGAGCATGGTGATGCAGATAGACTGCCACTGCACGCTGCAGCTGATTTTGCTGTGTGTCCTTCATTGAGCCGTTTTATCCCTAACCTTAACAGATCAGCCTGCCTCTGACCTGACCGCCGGCCCTTTTCCTGGCCTGGATGTTCTCTGTACCATCTTACATTTTTGCAGTGCTGTCCTTTGTGCTCTTCATTCGCTGATCATTTCCTGCCGCGACCGCTTTGCTCCTTCTGGGCTCTTCCCCAGCGGGTCCTTTTACGTTATTTAATCCCACGTTTATGTCGGATACTTGGTGTCGTTCTCCCAGGCCTGAAGAACAGCTAGCAGAGTAGATTACATCTCCCCCGATCCCCTTTGTTTGGCATTAATTAGCTGTAGTACTATGGTGAAACTCAATGCTTTTTCGAAGTAGGTCAGGTTGATTGGGGCACTCGTACTGTAAGAGAGAGAGAGAGTGTGTGTGTGTGTGTGAGAGAGGGCGAGCGTGACCCTGAGCGCCCCCTCTCACTCTCCGCAGACAGCTCGCTGGATCTCCTCATGAGTGACGGCGAGGAGGACACCTCCTTCCTCCCACTGCAGACCTCTGCCTTCCCCCATCGCTTACTGACCTCTGACCTCCCCAATCCCAGCAACCAACAGCTGCTCATACAGGTAAGTTTTCAAATGAATTATGAAAGTTGGGCTGATGTATTTCAGGTGATTTTATACAGGGACTCCAAAAGGGGGAATAAAAGCCAGGCAGCTGACATGCCTCTCTGTCATGATGGTTGACAGTCAGAATTATGACCTCTGACTCTCGCCCATTCCTGAGGAGTCTCGGACGTCCTCTGACTCTCGCCCATTCCTGAGGAGTCTCGGACGTCCTCTGACTCTCGCCCATTCCTGAGGAGTCTCGGACGTCCTCTGACTCCTGCTTCCTTTTCTCCCATGAGACCTTGCAGGACAAGGTGTCTGAGTTCCAGGCTCGCTTGTGCAGGGAGGACGCCGGCTGGGGGTCCCAGGGTCTCTGGACCCCGAAGCAGGAGTGCAGAGCATCGCAGCTGGAGGTTGCGCCCGCTGGTGAGGAACTGGGGTCTGATGGTCTTCGTGGGGCTTCGCTAGTCTGCAGGTGGCTCTGTAAACGATGGGTGTCCCCTCAGGTGGGGGGGGCTCCTCTCAAGGACCGTCTGAGCTGCATCCAGCAGAACAGGGACAGGGGCTTCAGGAGGGAAGCGATACCCAGAACCTTTCACACGTCAAGGACCCCGCCCAGCAGGCCCTGATCGGCAGGCTGCGTGCACAGGTACCCGTCCGCTCTCTGCTCCATCCCTGTGCTTAAGTAGGGGATGCTCTTCATGTATTGACAGGGTGTGTTTCCTGCCTTGACCTACAGGTGGGGCTGCTGGAGGAGAAGCTGCTGGATCAGACCCAGGAGGTGGAGAGGCTGCGCGCTGGACTGGTCTGTCAAACACTTTACTGGATTTCCTCACCCCCAATATTTAAACTCCTCCTCATTTCCATTGGCAGTACCAACTTTATTATTATAAGAGACCCTGAGCCTGCTGTTGAATCGCAGTGCTGGTAATATGGGTCATGTGATTGTCTTACTGTACTGAGATGATTGAGAATGATACACAGGACCACCAAGCTGCATTTATACATGCCTTTCGTCTCAGGCTTGTGTATCTGTACTTGAGGAGTGAGTGTCTTCCTACTCCAACCACTAGGGGGCAACGGACCTGGAAAAGCAACTAGAAGTCCTAGTGTTGGAGAATGAGCGTCTCAAACAGGAGCTACGAGAGTGCCAGCGCAGCCAGGTGATCTTTAAAATATATTTTGTTGCATGTTGACCTCCGTGTGTATCGCTTTCGTAGTTGGGAGCTCTACCCTTATGCCCTCCATCACCCATGCAGGAGGTGGAGGCTCTCCGGAGGCAGCTGGCCCAGCGTGATGGGGAGGTCCAGGAACAGCAGCAGCAGCTTCGCGAGCTGCAGCAGCAGCTGGAGCAGGTACTCCAGGAGCAGGGGACAGAACCGCAGCTGAGCCAGAGGCTGAGAGCCCCATCCAGGCAGCCAATGCTGCCCCCTCAGGCCAAGGTGGGAATAACTCATGAATGTTACTACATGAAGTGGAAATGAAGGCAGATGGCCATGCACTTTGCATTAACCTGTGCCGTTTTGTTTTTTCTGTTTTTTATTTGTACTGCAGTATTTGGCAGATGTGGGTGAGATGGCTTTTCCCCGACACAAACGGACGCTTCACGAGGTCCAGACCCAGGCCCAGAACCAGGCCTTGCAGGAGCAACTTGTGGTCCAACAGGATCTTTTCCTTGAGCTGCAGCAGCAGTTGCATGAGTCGCAGCGAGTCAGCAGTCAGCTGTGTGCACAGGTACCCCATCCTGCCCCCCATCCCTGTGACCTCTGACCCTGTTGAAACTCCTCGTGTGTGTGTGTGTGTGTGTGTGTGTGTGTGTGTGTGACACACACAGTGGTACCTCGGTTCTCGAGCTCACTAGAACTCGAATTTCTTGAACAAACCTGTTTGACCTAGAACTCGATCTGAATATCAGAAGTCAAACTGTGAACGCTGACCTAATAAATTGTACATGCCAGGAAATGAGTCATACTACAATGCAATTCTTACTTGAATGCCTTCTTCACAGACTGGACGATTAACCAAATAAAGCAGCGCAACATTACAGTAACTAACAATAAATAAACCACTAACTTACATGTACTGTTAGAGCATTTGTCATTTATTTAAACTTTATTTTGCCAGGTAAATTAACTGAAAACCAGTTCTCACTGCTTTACGTGATATTCGGGAGAAAGAGCAGATTACGCATCGGAACTGCCTGGGATACAAACGTCATGCGTGTAACTAAACTCTTCAGCCAATAAGAGCAAAGATCTGTCGTCACGGAGGCGGTTCCAGTTTGTGCAGCCGGGTGAGAGGTCGCAATGCATCTAACCGTAATGCATTGCGTCAGGATCAGAATGCATTGCTTTAAGCCAGCGCTGTAAGCAAGTTGAACGCACCCAATGACCGGACTGGGGAAACAAACTGAAACGCAAACTTAATACAGAGCACTAATGACAACAACCAGAAATAGCTGATCACATGGGGATCTCAGACGAGGCTAACGAGGGGGCGTGGCACACGGAAGGAGCGGATGATCGGGGCAGGACAGGGGTAATGTTGGGATAAGATCTTTATCGTTTTGGAAGCCATTAAGAAAAAAAATGCTCCTCTTGTTTTATCCTGTCCATTTTGTGTTTAAATGCTTTAAAAAAAAAAATAAAAAAAAAAAAAACACATTTAGGTGTCATTTTGGGGGGCCGGGAACCAATTAATTGGTTTTCCATTATTTCCTATGGGAAAAATTCGATCAGAACTCGGAACTTTTTAGGATTCGATCCATAGTCCGGAACGGATTAAGTTCGAGAACTGAGGTACCTGTGTGTGTGTGTGTGTGTGTGTGTGTGTGTGTGTGTGTGTGTGTGTGTGTGTGTGTTATAAAAAAGCCTATAATCAGTTGCCGACAAAGGGCCAGAGTATCCTGCAACACTCAACTGACGTTGTAATGGATGAATTTGCCACCTGCTGGACGACCTGTGTCATTGGCACTTCATTTTTGGGACAGCGTAGGGGTGTTTTCACAATACCAAGAAAACAAAGATCGTACTTGTGGTCTTGACAACTGCGGTCTTATTAACTTGCCTCCCAAAACGAGCTTGAGGTGCAATGAATTATGGGATTGTTCTCATTTGGCAAGTAAGCAACTGATATATCCTTGATATTTGCGTTGGGACAAGAAACAGGTACGCGAGAACATTAGTATGCATAATGAAAAACACCCTAGATCTTGGTGGGATGCTAGCTGTGTCGGAAAAGGAGAGGCTGTCATGTGATTAAGAATGACGAGTATGACTTTCTGGATCTCAAGGTTCTCGGCTGTTTGTGTGGTCACCTCCCTTTAGGTCTTGGCATATGAGGGGGAAATGGAGCGGTGCCAGGGCCAGCTGGAGGCGGAGATGCAGACCCTGGAGGAGGAGAAGAACCGTGTCATTGAGGAGGCCTTCATCCGGGCCGAGAGCGAGATGAAGGCAGTGCATCAGAACCTGGCGGGTGTGCGGATGAACCTTCTGACTTTGCAGCCTGCCCTGCGCACCCTCACCTGCGATTACAACTGCCTGAAGAGGCAGGTGCAGGACTTCCCCTTCATGCTGGAGAAGGCCATCGCCGAGGCCAAGCAGGAGGTAGGGTGGCGTGCAGGGCACCAAGAGCGCCCTCTGGTGGCTGGAATCCTGCTCAACCTTCTTGTGTGCCCGCAGATCTGTCATGTGATCAGGGAAGTGAGCAGCACCAACCGAGAGCTTCTGCGCAAGTACAAGAGAGAGATGAACCTGAGGAAGAGGTGCCATGATGAACTGGTCCGTCTCAGAGGTGAGCCGCTCAGTGTCTTCCTCCCCGAGCCCCATGTGTGAGGTTTGGGTGAGGTCTTGGCTTGTCTATGCAGCTATGGATAAAAATTGGTTGTCCTCCCGGTAATCAAGGCAGAGGCAGTTTAGTGGCTTTCTGTGATTGGTCCAATTTCAACAGTTGGGTACATCATTGATTTGCATTAAGTTACAAATAACTTCACTCCTAAAATACTTAATTTGTTTTAGGAAACATCCGTGTCTTCTGCCGAGTCCGACCTGTAGGCCAGGAGGCCGGCTCAAGTGGGTCCAGGAGCATCGTGACCTTTAACCCAGATGATGACGCTCTGCTCCACCTAGCAAACAAAGGGAAGCTGATGACTTTCGAGTTGGACAAGGTGTTTCCGCCACAGACGACGCAGGAGGAGGTGAGACTATGGACAGGTGGACAACCAAGCAAAGCATGGGAAATGGGGGGGGGGGGGAAATGACCCTCTTCTTTCAAAGTTCTGATTGGCCACGGGAGCCCAGCGAATCTCAAAAAAATGAGGGAAATAATGCTCACTTTTCCTGTTCTGATTGGCCAGGTTTTTCAGGAAGTCCAGTCCTTGATCACATCTTGCATTGATGGCTACAATGTTTGCATATTTGCTTATGGACAGACAGGCGCAGGCAAGACCTACACCATGGAGGTATGTTTATGCTCGTCCATTGGCTTTTCAGATATGTGGGATGATGACTCTGACAATCACTGTTCTTAGTTTTATTCACTTGCACCTTGGCTTGAATTCCCTGTTGAGGAGGGATTAGCCCCAAGGTGCAAACACACTGGATCAGTTCTGATGCCATTATAGTTGTGACTGCTTCTGCTTTTCACCACTAGGGGGTGGCAGACAACCCAGGCATCAATCAACGGGCACTGCAGCTGCTTTTCGCAGAGGTGTCGGAGAAGGCCCCAGACTGGGAGTTCCGCATCACCGTCAGCATGGTGGAGATTTACAATGAGACGCTCCGGTGGGCAGCCCTGCTATTCTGGGTTTTATGTCTGGTTCTTAATCATTTATGGCATCAAATCAGACTCACCACAACCCGAATATGAATTTATTAACCTGAATCTGAATGTGTTAACTTGAACTTGAATTAAAGCATATTTGAATTTATTACCTGAACTTGAATTTGTTACTTGTGTGGTCAAGAATTTGCTTGATTTAGATCTACACTTGTTTGCTTGTTCTGGGGATACTGGATGGTTTCCCTGAACTTGAATTTCTCAACCCGAATTTTCTGGACCTGAATTTTACAACTTGATCTTGATTTTTTTTTTTTTTTTTATTACCGCACAAGCAACATAAATTCAAATAACCTGAACTTGCATTAAAGAAAGTGTAACACATTAAGATTCGGGTAAATAAATTCAAATTTGGATTGTGGTGAGTCTGATTTGACGCCATAATCGTTCGCCTTAATTGGTGAAAGCAAAAATAAAAGGAAGTGATGTCACTATTTTTGGTTCTCTCTGTATAATTGAGATCATGGGTTCTGCTACATAGATTGTCCTTCAGGGGTCTTGTTTCTGTTTCTGACTGCTCTCGTTCACTGTGTGTTCCCTTTCACATTGATGTGCAGGTTTTTCAAAGCAATAGTAAGATGATCTATGCCTGTAATTTTTCAGGAACCTGCTGGGCGATAACCCCAGTGAGAGGCTGGAGATTAAGATGTGTCCAGATGGCAGCGGGCAGCTGTATGTGCCAGGACTCACAGAGATTAGCGTGCAGAGCGTGGAGGACATCAACAGGGTGCGTGCACTCACTCACTCACTCACTCACTCCCTGTGTGGGTTCTTCGCCAGGCTGGATTGTGGTTGAGCCGCTGCTTCTCTCCCTCTGGGTTGTTCTTCTTAAGGTCCCTCTCTGTCTCTCAGGTCTTCAACCTGGGTTATGTGAACCGGGCTACAGCCTGCACCAACCTGAACGAGCACAGCTCCCGCTCGCACGCCCTCCTCATCGTCACCGTGGCTGGGGTGAACACCACGACCGGTCACCGCACGTCAGGTGACTTGCCGGAACACGTCGGGCTCAACTCTCCAAAGAGTCGATATAAGTCAGAGTAGATGAGGTCATGGGGAAGTCCTTTTTAATGGCAGTGTGTACAGAGACGGTACGGCAGCACTTTTCAGCCTTAAGGGAGAAATTTAATCTTTAATCAACATTTCTTACTTTTTAAGAAGCTTAATGTTCAGTGTGGGTTTCCACCTTAAAAGTTAGACCACCTTAAGTGATTCCTCCACGTGTGCATGAGGTGGCTATGCATCACAGGCGTGTCACAGGCGTGTCCCATGCATTCTGGCAGGAAAGCTGAACCTAGTGGACCTGGCAGGCTCGGAGCGCATCTCGCGGTCGGGTGCCGAAGGCTGCCGTCTGCGGGAGGCGCAGTGCATCAATAAGTCCCTGGCCGCCCTGGGAGACGTCATCCACGCCCTGCGCTCCCGGCAGCCCCACGTGCCGTTCCGCAACTCGCGGCTCACCTACCTGCTGCAGGACTCGCTGAGCGGGGACAGCAAGACCCTCATGATGGTGCAGGTGAGAAGGATTATTTTCATAAGCCCTATCCGGACCGGCAGCAGCGTTCATCTCCACTCAAACCACGCATCCCCCCCCCCCAAGGTGTCCCCGCTGGACAGCAACATGAGCGAGTCCGTGTGCTCCTTGAAGTTCGCCCAGCGCGTGCGCTCCGTGGAGCTGGGCCCTGCGAGCGCCACCCGCAGGCCGGCTGACTGCTCCCCCAGCTCGGCCTCCCCCACCCACGACAGTGTGGAGGTAAGCGGCCATGCGAGCGTGACGGGGGGGTGGGGTGCGGCGTGATGGAGGCGGAGCGTGACGGAGGTAAGTCCTTCCGCTGGCTAATGGCTGCCGCCTGGCTCGTTGTTGCAGCTGGACTCTCCGCCGGTGACTCCTATGCCGCTGCCCATCTCCCGCATCAGCAGCTCGGGCTCGATCTCTGCGCTGGCCGGCGCCCGCAGGAAGTCCCAGCCACACCTCTCCTCAGGTGGACATTGGCACACTCTCTCACACACACCCACACACTCAGACTGAAACCTTTGCACTTGCATTATCCCCTTGCTCTACCCGGGTGTGCCAATCACTGTGGGTTCACTGAAACTTTTCTTTTCTCTCCTCTTGGACTATGTCTGCTGTTCTGACCCTGATTGGTTGGTTTATAGACTGACTTGTAGACAGAGGCAGCTGATTGGTGACACAGTGGACAGGTAGGTGGGTCCTTAGAGCATCTGCTTGGCATATACAATGCAGCATGGCCCGGCACCCACCTGTCTAACAAGCCTGCCCCCTGGCTGCAGGGCCCTGTATCTGCGTGTCCATCTATGTCCTGTCACACCTGCCGCTTTGTTCGCCCTGCTGTCGCTTTCCAGTTGCACTCATTTGGCTTACGTTTCCCAATCAAATGTATAATCATCTCCCCCCTGTCACCAGGACGGATGAAGCTGGCTGCTTGATAAGACCTCAAGAACCATAAGGAACCAGAGCTCTGGATGACTATGCCAACACCTTACTGGTTCCCATATAGCCAATGGAATATCTCAAACTGCTGCAAAGATTCATCATTGATTGCACCCTGGGTGAAATAAGCTACCCACTCAGGGTCTGACTGTTTTTTGGCTGACTGCACTGCACTGCGCACTGCACTGGGCACTGCCCTCTCACACTAATCGAACTGGAGGGTGCAAAACAGGGCACAGTACAATTTCCCACAGGCCACCTGTCTGCCACTTGGTCCTGGATCGTCTCACTGCTGCAGCCTGTGAGACTCTTTCACAGACAGTATTTCGAATAAGATGCACTTTAATGACAGATTTTGTGCTTTGATTTTTATGCAATCTAGGTATAACAGGACCTGGAGTCCTGCAGTGGTTTTATTTCCAATCCTGCAATTAAGTGCAAAGTGTAATCCCTGTACAGCAGACGCTTGTAATTGCTAGTTATCTTAACAGCTGGAAAGATTAAAATCCAATGCATGCACACCCCCAGCCTAGATTTTGCTTCTAAGTAAACCGAAGACTGGGAAACGTTTGTTTCGGTACAATCCATATCATCATGTGACTCTGGGGGAGTACAGCAAACTGCTGTTGAAGTGGACAATTTTAACGAGGATGACTCATCTGTTCAGTCAAGTGTTACGAGACAGAAATCTCCTCTGGTGTCTTCTGCTGATAGATCTTCCGCAGTTTTGATTGGTACTTGCTTGTGCTTGGCTGTATGTTGGGGAAAAACGTTGATTTTCTTATTTTTATATTTTTAATAAAATGAGAGTATTTTCCTCCAATTTCTTTTCTTTAAGCATTGATGGAGTTTGAGGCTTGTGAATTCCATGAATTCCATGAATGTGGACACTAATTGTGAAAAGTAAAATTTCACTTTAAGCTTTGGTCAGTCTCAGTCATTTCAAGGGCATGTTGCAAAAATGGAATTTAATTGCTATTACAGGCAAGGAAAAATTACCAGGCACCACTAGAGGGCAGAAGTGTCTCAGATTGGTAGTATTGTTGGAATTTGAAGAGGTGCAGATTCTCTTTGGGCTCCAGTGATTTTCTGATCGCAAGCACAGAGACTTAGCCTGCTGAGCCCCACACCACCCCCTGTTAAGCATGTTGAGCTCAGGCATTGGAAAAGTTATTACCACCCTCATGCTGGTTGGAGAAGGTAAGAGAACCTTTGTTCCCCAGGTACTTGCTGCCAAGCTCCTACCTCTGCACTCATGCTCTGCTGGCGCCCAGGAGATGCTGACTTGGTCACAAGAGGCTCCTCTGGTTACTGGATTTCTTTAGTTTTTGCATATTCTGTCTTGCTGCTCTTTTAAGATGCATAGAGGAGCACAGAGTCAGCCACTTATCCGGCACCCTGCAACACTTTTCAGGGGTTAGACCCAGCTCAAGGGCCCAATGAGGATGAGAATATTCTGTTGACTCTGGAATTTGAACCAGTGGCCTTCCAATCAGAGGCCTAAAATACCGACTGACCCCGCCCCCCCCAAAAAAAAAAAAAAAAAGGTATGGTGAATCTGTGTCCATGTCCCCATTTGTGATTCCTCCTGGGTAATTCTGGGACTGTTTTATGACACCTGTGACCCAATGCTTCTAAAAATGGGAAAAACCACAGTGGTGATGCTGGACTTGCCCCGTCCCAAATTGAAAAATAAAATCCAGTGTCCCATTCTATCCCATATTCATAATTTGCTCCCCTGACAAATTTTATTGCAAGCCCCGCCTTTCTCACTTCTCATAATTTATTATAGGACACCCTCCCCATATTTCTTCAGATGGGGAGTGGTAACCTTAGGTGGCACCCAAATAAGGGATCTGCTTCCCAAACAATCCTGAGCTGGAAGGTATGTATCAGCAAATGCAAACAAAGATGCATTTAAATCCATTTCCAGCAAGAGTAAAAATTTGTTTGGAAATGGTAGTAAGAAAAAATGCTCTCAGTGGTTCTCCACACTGGAGTTGGTATGATGTGGATCACAGTGGAGTTTGTGCCTCACAACATATATTAAAATTTAAGGCAGGTAGCTTAGTTCTTTCTCTGTTCCACCATAAAGGATTCCGGTCAAGAGCTGTGTGGTAATTAGGACAAGGAGTTGAATCATGTGTGTTAAATGAGGGGAAACCCAAAAATGTGCAGGGCTCTGGCCCTCCAGGACTGGAGTTGGGCGCCCCTGGTATAGGAGGAAGCAAAAACATGGACCGACTGTGGGTCTCTGAGGACTGGATTGGGAAACACCGGTCTAAGGAAAGGAATACTGGCATTCGATATTCAATACAGATAATCACAACAGAACATGTTAGTACTCCATTCAACCAGCTTCTAACTGCTCATTACTGTCAGGGCCACAGAGGGCCTGGAGCCTATCCCAGCAGCACAGGGCACACACACACACACACACACACACACACATAGGGCCGACATGCTTATAAGACACCCAAACCATCACAACTGACTCCTCTCAATCCACTGGAACTGTAGATCTATTCCAGAAGTACTCAAGTGGTGAAACACAATTTCATCCAGACCACACAATCGGTCCCCCACCCCCACCCCTGGCCAGTAAAATTATCAGTGACCTTGTGTTGTTGATGGAATTTTGGCCTCAGAATAAAAATTGAGTCCTTGCTCTATTGCAAGGTTCTTCTGGATCTGTAAATTCTTCAAGCGTCATTTCAGCTGCTTGTGCTCATGACCATATGCTCTTTTAGTCATTACCCACGATGCATCAGTGAGGACAGGGACATAGGTAGACCACAAGCCTTGTCAGGTGACTTCCTCGCCACCGTAGACCTGGCCACCAAATCAGTCCACTGATGTACCTCCTTACAGCCACTCAAACTCCTTCTCTCTCCCCTCACCTCGAATGAAGCCGCCCACCTTTTTTTTCCAGAAGCCACATACCTCGGATTTGGAGGTGCTGATTGTCATCCCTGCCGCATCTTTAATCTTGATGGAAACACTCAAGTGTCAACTGGAGGCCCCTTCTGGTCTGATCAGCCCTAAAGTACAGCATCTGCACCCAGCAGGGGTTCCGCCTCTGTCCACACTGTATTAGCTGCCCCTCCAGCTAAAGCATAAACTTATTAAAATGTACAGTACAAAAGATCGGACACACCAAGCTGCCAAAAAAAATAGTCATGTCACATCACATGACTTGGCCACCTGATTTAAACACAGTGGAAATGATTTCGGAGGAGTTTCACCAGCCAATGAATGCTCAGCATATGTGGGACCTCCTTCAGGACTCCGGAGACCACATCATGGAACTGGTGTAGAGGAGACAGTAGGGGCAGCCAGTCCTTGGAGCAATTGGGGTTAAGGGTCTTCCTCAAGGGTCCAATGGTGGGATCACTGTGCCGACCCTGGGATTTGAACTGGCAACCCTCTGAGTCCCAACCTACACAGCTGCCCCCCTCCCCAACAAATATATATTTTTTTAAATTAATTTTGGTCAGTGCATAGTTCCATGTTATTTTCTAGTTCTAATGTCTAATTATTCTAAAATGTAGAGAATACTACAAATAAATCTTTCTGTGGGTAGGTGTGTTCAAACTTTTGACTGGTACTGTGAATTACATTGCAGCTGTATTTCAACTCAAGCGAGGATTTAAATGAAAGTTTGCTTGTATTTGTTATTCATTGTACCCTTTGCATGCTGGCGTCTTGAATTTCCTGAGAAGCAGTGCTATGATCTATCTGGGTCTCGCCACATTGGTGTCACTGTCATCTTTAAGGGAGCAGGTCACAGGAGCATCTCAAATCGGCGTGGCAGACAACGGCACTGGGTTCGCAGAGCTGTCATGGATAAGACCACTCTCACCATCATCCTGATTACGGCTCTGTTTTCCATGCACCCCTGCCTTGTACTGGGGAATATCCTGATAACAAGCTATATGGACTGGGGTCAAGCACAAACTTACTGCAGAACATATTACAGAGATCTGTCCACCATCAAGAGTGGGAAGGAACTGGACCAGATCAACAAAATAAGGGGATATGATTTTACCTGGATTGGCCTGTACAGAGACCCACAACACCCATCTAAGTTCATCTGGTCAGATGGTGACACGTCGCATTTCCAAGCATGGGGTCATGACCAACCCAACAACCATTATGGAATACAGAACTGTGTGAGGATCGAAGACTTTGGCTGGAATGATAAAGAATGCTTTGACCAAAATTACTTCTTCTGCTCGACCAACGTACAAGAGATGGTCTTGGTGGAGAACCCCATGACGTGGGAGGAAGCTCTGCAATACTGCAGGAATCACTACCATGACCTGGTGAGCCTGGCGTCGGAGACGGAGCTGACACTGGCCCTGCAGAAAGCCAGAAATGTCCAGGGGACGCATTTCTGGACGGGCCTCCGCTTTCTGGACGACAGCTGGCTGTGGGTCGATGGAGAGCCGCTGACGAATGGAAGCTGGTCTGCAGATCCGCTCCCCAAGTGCCCGGCGGAGCCTTTCCGCTGTGGGGCCCTGAGCACCTCCACCGGCTCTCAGGAAGTCCGGTCCTGTGAGGAGCAGCTGAGCTACATCTGCTACGCTGAGTGATCCTACCCCAGGAGAGGAGATGCATCAAAACACACTTCAGTTGTTTAGTCTAGATTGATATTTGGTGCTGAATTTGCACTTGACTTGACAGAGTTTGGAGTGAAGACGGTATTAATCACTGTACGTAAAATATTTGCTCCATAATTTTCATATTAATGTATCTATTTTGCAGACTCAAAAAGACAGGAAGTAATGGTAAAATTAATTAACAGAAGTCCTCTCCTATCGTATCTCCATGGTTGGTACACCTCACATATAGATGCCAACCTTCTCTTGGCAAGGAAATTACTTTTATGTTAAAAATCTTGCATCATGCTGTGTACAGATAAATGCACTTTGATCATTTGAATCTATAATAAAATTAACTCAGTTGATCAATGCCTCATTTTCAATTAAAGTGAAGGAACTGCAGACATCTGTATACTTGGGTTAATGTTTTTATATCTCTGGCTTCTAATTTACCAGAGTCTGGTGAACGTTACAAGAAACTATGCCGAGTTTACATGAACGATACTATGGAATAGTTTTGGGGCAGCCTAGAAGAACACTACTAAAATTACAACTGCATTTTGAGATTGAACTCAGAATTTTGACCTTAATCCTGCCATTTCAGTTTTGCTAAATGAGTGATACTAAGGTCAAAAATGTCAAGATTAAAGGTGAAATTTCGTGTTCAAATTCAAAATGCACAACACCGCATTTTCATGAAATTAACTGTCTTCCAGAGAATAAAACTGTAGCAGTGATGTGAATATTTTTTCAACTAAATACTTTTATCATGCAAAAGAATAGGAGGGTGAGTCTGGAAGTATGAGGATTAAATGCAGTTTTTATCTCAGGGATGGGCAACATTAAACTATTTTTTTAACTTGACAAATAAGGCCTATACTCAATTCAGGGCTGAGAGGGACATGAACTATTCCATTCACCTTCCACCCGCTTGGCCTTGGTCACCCTAGATTGGATGCCAGTCAGTCACAGGTCACGCCACAGAGCAGGCAATTTAGGGACATCATAACTGCATATGTTTGGACTGTGAGAGAAAAGTAGAACACACACACATGCACACACAAACCCACATACACACATACAGGTGGGATTCAAACACATAACCAGTAGGTGATTTAAGGGCGGGATGAGGGGAGACACTATCCATGGTGAAAGCAAAACATTAAAAATCAATACCCCCATGTTAACCCCCTCCACCCCCAGCAGAGAGAGTGTTGTATGTGATGTAAGCATCCTTGTGATTAGTACTAGATAAATCCCTTGACCTACGGTTTGTTTTTCATCCATGCTCCCACACCTGCGGTGATTTTTAAGACCGCTTGTTCACACCAGATTCGCATTGGTGGGACCCAACGCACGATGGGATGAGAGGCACAGATTAATGCAAGCAGCTTTGCTTATATTCTAAATGTGTGAAGAGAAAATGGCATCAGAAAAGAAGAGGACAGATGAGAAGTTAAATTGGCTTTAGAGTATTCAGTGTCTATTCAACATCAAGTTAATCACTCAAGCGTACATGTCATATGCTAACTTGATCAAAGGCATCGGCCCATTGGGCCATCCTCCCTAACTAACAAACTAACAAATCGCCTACTATCCATAGCCTTGAAAATGCTAAGCAACGTGAGCCACCCACCAATAAGAAAAACTCCCCAGCTATGATTCAAGTTTTAAAGTTATTAGAATTCTGCCATTGGTTCAGTAACACAGGCCACCTTACTGGGTGAAATGATGCTCAGATAAGATGATCATGTTTTTAAAACAACTTTTAATAAAAGATAAAAAAGATACATACATCAAACATAACCCATCACAAATAATATAACCAATAATCAATAATTCAATGGTATCATCAATCTGCAAATTTGTTTACACATGCAACCAGACATTTAACATATACATGGATCATTGTCTTGCTCAAAATTACTGCATCATTTTGGTCAGAACTGCAGGAGAACACAAAATCAAAAACATTGGGATGTTCCCCTGCCCAAACGACCCTATTCACCTCAGTATCTAACCTCAGTTAGGCTAAAAAAAATTCAGTTCCATAGCTTTACACTTCACTCATGTCCAAGTTACTGAAGAAGAGCATCAGAAAAAGAATTAAACATCTATCAGATGTAACGTTTCTCCTCTCCTGGGGTAGGATCACTCGACGTAGCAGATGTAGCTCAGCTGCTCCTCACAGGACCGGACTTCCTGAGAGCCGGTGGTGGTGCTCAGGGCCCCACAGCGGAAAGGCTCCGCCGGGCACTTGGGGAGCGGATCTGCAGACCAGCTTCCATTCGTCAGCGGCTCTCCATCGACCCACAGCCAGCTGTCGTCCAGAAAGCGGAGGCCCGTCCAGAAATGCATCCCCTGGACATTTCTGGCTTTCTGCAGGGCCAGTGTCAGCTCCATCTTCGACGCCAGGCTCACCAGGTCCTGGTAGTGATTCCTGCAGTATTCCAGAGCTTCTTCCCACGCCATGGGGTTCTCCACCACGACCATCGTGTTCCAAGCACAGTAAAACGGTTGATTTGCATTGCAATCATTAGTGTACCACAGGCCCGATGCAGTTGATACACAGTTGTGATCATGATGAGGCTGACCTGGTGCCCAATTATGATAAGTTAATGGTGCACCGTTTGTCCATTGCCACGACGAGCCATGCCGACTCAGCCCAATCCAGCTCATCTGTTTAGTGTTCATTACATTTAAAAGCTGAGTCACTTCAGCATCGCTCCTAACGTAGGATAGGTCTCTGTAGTGAGTTTGGCAGTAGCTCAAGGCCTTCTGCCAATGCAACTTGTTACTGATGAAGACATTTTCCGCGGCGAGGCAAGAGGCTGTAATGCAGAGACCCATAACAAGGACGGGAGCGAAGGCGACCTTCATGGTGACTCGGCGATCCAGCGTTTGGGACCCTATCCCCTACTGAGATTCGTCGCCACAAGAAACAGGGTGACATGGTCGAGCAGAGACCCAAATACAGTATAAGCTTCCCGGCGCAGGCAAATCTGGGGCGAAACATTCAAAAATTTCTGGGCTGGAAGACGTGGCTAAGCAAATACAAATAACAGGATTTACATCCATTTTCAGTGTGAGTAACACTGTTTGGAATGAAGAAATTAATTTAAAAAATGACAATGAAAACCACACTTATTCAGGATAATGGGGATATTTATGGAAGCCCGTTTCCGCTACCGGGGAAAAAAATTATATAAAATTTAAGTCGAAATTTCGACTTAGTTATCTCGTTATTTCGAGATATTATCTCGAAATTTCAACTTATTATCTCGAAATTTTTTTCCTCGGTGGCAGAAACAGGCTTCCATAGATATTAAATAAATATTAGGGACTTGGTTGCATTATTCAATTCAGAAAAAAATCCAAGAATTTTTAACTAAAAATTGTTCACAATTCAAAACAATATTTGTGTAGGATCATGCAGATAAAGAAGATAAAGAAGGATCATGCAAATGAAGAAATTCAGACAAATTTGAGAAGGCCATTGATTTCGATTTTTTGTTTTGTTTTTTGCATTTATTTAATTCAGGTGGAGGTGGCTGTTATTTGTTTAACCAGCCTTGCTTTTGTCATCAACCCCGGGAGTTTTACAGCATCTTGATTCTACGCAGGCTCTGGTTCACTCTGGCCAGGATGCCACCACATCACAGGGCACACACACACACACACACACAGAAACACAGACATAGACAGACACACACACATACAGGCCGGCAGACACACAGACAGACACAGACACAGACACACACACACAGACATACACGTTTGTATTCATATCTTTGTGGAGACCAGACATTCATTTATATGGGCAAAACCCTAATCGCATCTATGACAATCTGAACCCCTACCCAGCCCTAGTCTTTACCATATGTAACCAAACTAAATACAAGACATTAGGGATTTTTAGTTTTTGATTGCATTCACAGATATTTGTGGGGACCTGAAAAATGTCTCCCCACGCTAAAAAGTAACAGGTTTTGCCATTTGGTAAATACAACCCCCCACCCCCCAAACACACAAACAGAAACCTAAACAGACAGTCGTACTCACAGTGCTCATGAGTTTAATCAGCCATGCAAATTGTCAGCAGAAGAAGCCAAATCAGAAATGATACAAAGTATTTGAAAACTTAAAAATGGTGATACAGCATTTTTACTCAACATGAAACAAAGAATTTAAATGAAAGTTTGTTTTGGTTTTGCATGAGTTATAGGTTTTCCAGTTCATTTGCATACTTTCTGCTGGATTTACCTGCAAATCACAGATCTCATTTGAGTGCCAGTCCAGCTGTGTAACCCAAATGTAGGTATGTTACAAAAAACTCAAAACCCCCCATATAACAGAAAATGATAGAGAACTAGATAACAAACAGAATGACACAAAAATCATTCAAATATCTTGAGAAATAAGGAAATTATAGCAATTATAGTGTTCTTAATTATTTGTTCTTAATGTATTTTAAACAAAGGCTGTGATCTTAAGTTGAAGAGAAATTTAAAGAAATTGAATAAATTATGTGATCTTCAAAAAAATTTATCAATTTGTTTTATAAGCTGTTTTAGTGAAAAAAAAACCCTGCAGGAATGCACAAAATATCAGTGAAAGATCTCTCATAACAAACACACTTGGTCATCTACAATGTAAACAAACGCGCTTGACGAATCAGGTTGCAGTATAGCAGTCACATGACCTCTGGGGCACCTCATTACCGCGACCGCTCAGTTGGGAATGCTTTCGTTCGCAAGCAAAACCATTGACTTCGACACTATGAATTGTCACGAAATTTCACACAGACATGGTTGAATAAATGACATATCAAATCTATAGGATTTTATTAAAAATCTACTTACCTCTAGTGATTTTGAAGCGATGCCTTTGAGAAGTAATTTATCGGTAATTTTGCAAAGGGAAAACGAAACACTTTTGACCGGTCAAAAACAAAAATTCGAAAACGAGGTTGTGTCGAAAAATGTGAACTATGTCATCTATGAGTGTGTGCTCCTGGAACTTTAAAGATAAACCCACCGTCCAACTTTTTCCGCGGCTATGCTATTCCCCGCATCCACCAAACTCGTGATGACGTAAATTTACACACCTGCGCGGAAGAGCGGCGCAGCGGGAATCGGGAGATTGTAACAAACCTACCCAATGTCCCACAAAATGTCATATCAGGCAGGCAGGCCAGGTGTGACTGTATAACAGGCCTAATTGCTGGTCTGGGACCATTTCTCAGACACAGAAATAATGTAGACAAATATACAGACCTGTCGTGCAGAACATACAAGCAGGAAATTACGCAGGTTTTGCGAACGATGGGGACTGTGCCCAGATGAATTTGTATGTATGGATTGCCTAGGAAACACTTTTACTGGATTTTGAGATAACAAACTACAACTCATTTTTAAATTTATATATATATATATATATGCCAAATGTTGGGATAAGTTACCGACAACCGAGTACAACATGTTCATAAATGTTATAAGTATTTTGGTAACTCTTGATGGGCTATAAATAATGTAGAGGTACACTCTAAGTACAACCTTTGCATTCCTGGTATTCAGAAACACTCGTAGTTTTTGGTTTTACCTGATATGTTGCATTATATACTGAAGACTGAAGATTCTGAATATATGTTTATCACACACATTCCATGTGCTCTCCTGTGCGGTGAGATGTCATGTACTGTACAGACCCCTTTCACTTGGTGAAACGCCTCTCAAATCACAATAAACTGGTACCAGCCTCTGGATCAAAACTAATATGTAATTTGTGTGATTCTTCTCTAAACCATACTGGAAGAAAGAGAAGGCACATAATATTAACACAATACAATGCAACTGTCTTTATTTTTTAAATGATCTCTGATTACAGGCTGTACCAAAACCGAGATACAAAAGCTGTTTTACGATCCATAATAAAACTTACCAAGGGTTTTGCTTAGCAGCCCCATGTTTCAAACCCTGCAATGATGCCTCGACACACCAGAACTACTTATGTTCCCCAGTTCATCCTGTGTATGTGCTGATGTTATTGGTCTCCATGGAAACTGTTACTGGGCACCAACAGTGAATTGGTATGGTAAAACGTTGCAACACAATCTTCTGTCACAAAAGGGAAACGAATAGAGGGACACTGAAGTAGCCAGTTACGATAATATCTATAAAGACTTTGGGAAACGTAAAAACACAGAAAAGAATGTGATCGCAACCGTGGGGGTGTTGACATATAGCTGGTAGATGATGAAAGTTTTCAGGATAATAAAAAAAACAGGTCATATCCATATGCTGCAGAGAATGAGGGAAGATAAGTGAGAAATATTTGTTCCTTTAGACTTTTTGAAATATGACTACACACAAGCCCTGATATCCTTGACTGTCAAGGGTGGGTTTGGATCAGATGATACGTGATGATACAGAAAATGATTCCACAGAAGACCACATCCCAAAACATTTCAGGACAGAAAACCTGCAAACAGTCCTCAATGTCCAACAAAACTGGCAGTCGCTAACTTGTCTTGACTGGAGCTCGGTCAACAAAATATTCAGCCAACATGCAACCACGCAAATGGCCCAAATGATGCTGTAAAAGAAGCTGCCAAATGCAGAATATACTACTTTTTATATAAGACTCTGAGAAAAGAGGGGCTGGTTACCCCAGCCTGTTTCCACCCTTCCGGACAACTCCTTAATTAAGGCTCAAATGTGGAGCGAGGAGTTAAATACCTAACTAGTCCTACTTTAGAAGTTCTTGGCCTCACTTCCTCCATATACTTTTTTATTAAGGTCAAACATCTACTAATGTCACACAGACCTATAAAAGAAGTGTTTAATATCAAAAATATACAAATTAACTTCCAGTTTAAATTTGAATTGGTTGCTCTTATAATACGCTCCCCAATGCCATAGAAAAACAATGATACATCATAACTGTGCAAAGAACATGGTAACAGCAGTTTATCCCTTGACAGAAGCCTGTTCTTGCATATGGCACTAAATTAAATAATAAGGAAAATAAACAGAAAGGCAGACAGCAAAAAAGGCTGGGTGGATCTACTAAAGGTTTGATTTCTATATTTTACAAGACAACAGAACACAGCAGTCCTAGGGCAAGGGGAAAAAAGTATGTTAGATCTCAGCTTAAAGAGAGAGGAAAATTCCCCGCCCTTGTGAACCAAAAATAAATAATAATACAAAATAAAAACAAGTGCTGCTCTTAAAAAGGAACTAATCACAAACACCCAAGAAGGTATTGTGCATTAAAAAAAAAAGACATTTATGTGTGGGACCCATGTGACCAATGAAAACTTGACTTCAGGCAAGGAATAAAGGCGGCAGTGGAGTCATGTGACTTGGAGAGCCAATAGTAGTATCCTCTCCTAAGACTGGGCTTTACACTGGCTTATCTGTCTAAACAGATGACTTTGAGCAAACACTTGCTAAGTGTTTTAAGGGTACCATACATTTTCCTACAGAAAACAAAAACAACAGATGACCCTGGCAGTGACTGTAGTAATTGGGTGTGCAGAGAGCTGCTGCTGGTGTCTCCTCGCTATCAAAAATAAACTTGACTCCAACTGCCCCCTCACGGTAAGACAAAAGCAGGACTGCAGCTACGGACAGTTCGCCTTCCGCATGCTGACAGGTAGCTCTTCAAGACCTTTGCTGTCGACTCCTGTAACATACACAGCATGTTTCTACGTCGCTCTGGGATCTCGAACAGCACATGGCTATATTATGGCCATTTGGCCTGTTCATTGTCTTTAAAACACAGTGGTGGAGACCTCACTCCTGTGTTCCTACTAGCACAGTCACAAGGTCCTCCTCTTCTTCAGAGAATGGTAAAAAAGCAGGGGGGAAAAAACAAAAAGAAGAATGACAAGCACACAAAACTATTCTTTCTGTCAGTTTATAGTACAACTATAATCCAAAAATAGATGCATTTTCCTTGCTGTGCCCTTCTTCAAAAATGTAAAAAATATTCCTTTTGTGTTTTACTTTTAGTCAAATAGCTATTTACAAGTCCTTCACAACAGATTTCAGGGGTCAAAGGTTTAGGATGGGAATGTCAAAAAGGTCACAGAGGCCTTCGCTCTCATCCAGGTTGTATATGTAGTCATGGTCCCCTGGTGGAGGGGAGAGTCGCAGCAGGGGGGAGAAAACTGCAGGGGTGCGGAACAGAGAGTCACATCATATGAGCCTGAGAGCATTCACTTCAAACCTTAGGCTGGGACTCTGCAAAATTAGGTTATGGATTTCTCTCTAAAACATTCTTTTAACAACTGCTACTTAGGTCTACAGGGTCACGATCAAGCAAGCGACCATAAGGACAGTCTGCTACAACAATGTACCAGTCCACAGTTAGAAAAAATGGTCCATAAGCAACAACTGCATCCGCAGCTGCCATCACAAACACGCCGGGGCCCTCAGGCTGAACCACTGAGAAGACGACTGGTCATACCAACCTTCTGAGGACATGAGCTCCTCCAGGAGATCGGCACTCATGATTTCTTAAGCCGAAGAGGGACGCAGGGAAAGACAAAGATGTAAATGGCAAGAAAGGACAGGATAAACAACATAATATCTGCATTTACTCTTACGGACAGAATCAAACCGCTCACATTTTAACTACATCAGTGGTGATTACCTTTTGTGGGGTCAAACATCTCTGAGAATTCCTTGGGAAACTCCATCACTAGAAAAAAAGTGCATATAGAGGGTAATAGCACACATCTAAATGGTCCTGCTTCCTCTGGACTGCACCATAAGGCACTCAATAAAACCTGAGTTGAATTAATGACATTTTGAAAAACAAATCTAAGGCTAACTCACAGTCCGGGACATCAGCCATGACAGTTTCAAAGACTGCTGCAGTGGGCGGGACCAAGGAGCTCTGGTCTAATGAGGTGGAAGACTGGAGCGGCTGGACGTCCAATAATGTTTTAGAAGGGGCGGGTGCATCTTTGGTGGTTGAGACACGTTCGACGGCATTGGTGCAACTCGATGCCACTAATAAAAAAAAACGGTGAGAAAAAAAAAATTGAGAAGGGGATGAACAGTGAAGAATAACTTTGCTAGAAAATACATTAAATTAAAAAAAAAAAAAAACCCAATGGGGAAAGCACAGGTATACGGAGAAACAGCTGCTTTTCATATGTATACATCATGTATTACTGAAACTTTAGTCTAAAGCAACATCTGGCATTCGCGGAAACTGCCTGCAGCCTGAGTACAATAAAAAGCTAAAGGCGCAGACTGTGCATCCAGTCAGGTATTTTCCAGCGATACAAAGGAGCTCCAGGCCCAGGTCCCCACCTGAGGCAGGCTCAGAGGCACCAACGCCTGGGGCAGAGGTAGGAGAGACTGTGGAACGCCGTCTGCGGGTGCCATCTGCAGTCTGAGGGGCGCCGGGCCCAGCTGATGGAGGCGTCTGCTTAGGGGTGGTGGCAGGAGGGACCGCCGACCCCTGGAGCATGTCCTCAGGCGGGGGGACAGGCAGCACCACCGGGGTGGAACCAGGCAGGTTCTTATTGACCAGCAGAACCTCGATGGGGCTCATTGCACTCTTCAGGTGAATCTGATATTTTTTCTGCCTGTTTGATACCTGTGGGGAAGAGAGCGGAATGAGGAAGATGTGAGGTAACCGTTGGAAAGGGAAAGGAGGATTAAACGAGGGTGTAGGGGGGATGAACCAGGAGCTAAACCTACCGTCTCAGGGATGGGCACCTCCAGCTGCGTGCCTGAGGGAGCGCGAATGGCCAGGAGGGTGTCCCCTGGGGGGAACAGGATGAGGGAGGGGGAAACGGTGACAATAGCGTGTGGTAAAATGGTTAACGCTTAGGACAGAGCGTGCATGAGAGCAGGATTAACGAGCTTACCTTTGAAGCAGCTGCAGATGTCATCATGAGTAACGTAGGCCAAAGTTAGCCTGTGTTAAGGGCCAAGCAGGAAGACAGCATGAAGGCGGCGGTGGCTCCATCATGTACATTAATGGCTCGCGTCGCATCCTTCCCATTATCTGCACCAATCACAGCAGTGCCATTCTCTTACCGCCTCCTTCCGAGGCACAGGTGCATTATGGGCCGGCTCCGTAAAGGATATCGACTGTTCTGCGTGTCGTCTGTCACATTTTTAATGCTCTGCTGCACCCAGACCCTCTGCTGGTCCAGCTCATGTTCCCGTCGATCCAGGTCCTCCAGCTCCCCCTTCAGGTCGATCAGCTTGTCTGCGATTTCCCGCGTGTTGCAGCCTGGCCCCACACCCCTGCGAATGGAGCAGAGCAGAAGGTGGGGGTGTTAAACAGCTCAGAAGTGAGAATTGCCCCACCAGCACCCACGCAGCCAGCTACCGGGATTGCTGTATTCGAATCCACTACTTATAAACTTGCACATACAGAAATGCATGCAATAAGTGAACATATGCATGCACCCTTACGCATGCATGCGCGGCTGGATTGCACTATAGATCAGAGCACCCCCTGGCACTTACTTCCATTGGATGCTGTTCTTGGACTTTTTTTCAATCAAACCAATCCCTTCCAGAACATTGGTGATGTCATAGATGCGCCTCTTCTGTCTGACTGCAAGTGTGTCAGCTGCCTGTGCAGGATGAGATGCTTATTTTCACCTACAATTAAATGAGACGCTCCACCTGTGCCAGGCATGACCTCTCCCTCTTCAGCTACAGAAAATGTCACTTTTTTCTACAAATAGGTCTATTTCAAACTATTTTGAATTTATAATCTCATTTATGTAACAAAGTAATGAAATTCAACTGTCAGTCTCCTAAAACAGGGCACTCATCCATCCATTGTCTAAGTGCTTATCCTGGGTAGTGCTGTGGGGGAGGCCAACCCAGACGGCAGAGGGCACCTGACAGGGGTGCACACTAGACGGGACATCAGACTGTTACAGGGCACGCGCACACACACACGCACACACAAAGTGGCATCTTTATAACCATCCAAAACCATCTCAGCTGATTCCTCGCAATCTGAATGAAATCAAAATCTATAGGCAATTTAGAGATGCAAATTAGCCCGACTACATGTCTTTGGACTCTGGAAGGAAACCAGTATTAAAGAGTACGGTACTGCCTGGGAGGACAGTTTGCCAAATGATATTCATCTTACTTCTACGTAGATTATGTCACTGCATAAATATCCATGTATGCTGCTACCTCCCTTCTCTAGTCCTACATGAGGCTGTCACCCAAGGGTTGATGTTGTTACACTTCTTTTACAATCAAGATCAGCCACCTTTAATCTTATCTATTCAACAAAATTACACTTCAGGACATAGGGCAAGAACATAGTGACATACAAGTCCCTCCTACCTATGAAACTACATTTAAACCACACAGCAATTTATTAATTCCACCCTATTTTGGAAGCAACACACCATTTGTGTAAAACGAGCATGTGGAGAGCATCATAAAGTCTATGAAATTAAGAACCAACCTCAAACATTTAGTGCCTGCATTTGCTCTCCACAAAAATTGAAACAGATGTTTATATTTTAAAGCTCAATATATTCAAGGAATGTCACAAATCAAACCACAGCTCAAAGTCAGCATTTCAAAATTTAAAGCACTGACTAATTGAAATGCTTGTTTTTAAATTGTACTTTAATGCTCATAAACTGAACTTTAACTAGCCTTGGTTAAATTTTACCCCAAGATTAGGAGCTATTCTTTCAGCGTTTACAGTGTATTTCCCTACTTAACACCCGACTGCCGCACTGAAATGCTAAAGTAAGCAACTATAAAAATAATCTGATTATCCAGCATTTTTGAGAATCACCCCAGATTACTGGGTAATCTAACTGCCACTGCAGTATACATTTTCAGCATTAAATGGGAAAGTGAGAGGTAAAAAAAAAAACCCACGAAGAGTTAAACATAAACAGGCCGCTAGCATCCATCGGACCAGGGCGAATTACTCCACCATTCCCAGTCCGTGTGATTCCCACGGGCGCAGCATCGCAACACATTCTGTTGCTCGGTCATGTTAACGGACATAAATCGGCCACAATAAAGTTGAAAGTGGTCACTTGAACAGAACAACATAATTCTGCAAGTAATATATGCCACATGATGGATCAATGTGTGAAAATATAATACTAACAAAACAACCCAGCTAGGGCAATTAGGTGACTCACGGTAATTAGGACACTTGGCCAAATAATACCCCACGTAATAGCACTGTATCATTGTCCCATCACTGTTTGCTTCTTTAAAGACCAACGAATAGTTCGCTCTATGAACAGATACCCCAGCTGGACCCGTATTTTTAATTTAAACATGTGCAGTTATTTTTATTATTGCGAACAATTGCAGCAGTACAGTGTACGCAGTTTGGTCATATACCTCTGGATCATTGTTTTTTTTCCCGCTGGGAAAACACCGGCCAACCACCCACATCGGTGTCACTCACACTGGGAACGAGCCTACGGACCGAGCTGCATTCCCCTTCCCCGTCCTGGATGAAGTTTCAGTTTCCATGGCGACACAGCGGGAGAGGCGCCGTTGAACAGCTCGCGATCAACTCACCACACGCGGCCCCCGTGCACGGCTCAGGCGCGGAGAGGAAACCGTAATGCACAAACACCTGATCTCCGTTATATAAAGGAAAATGAATGTCGATCAACCCCACATATGTAACTACAAGTGGTGGGTTACATCTCTGACGACAGCACATGTTGTGTTCTATAGCAAATGTACAGGGTTTTTGATAACCAAAAAACGTGAACAAGGTAGAAACACATCAATCAAAACGTATTTTGCGGTATTAAAATGCATTTACTCCTGGACTCCAATGAAAGTGCATATAAACGTTACGCGAAAATACATGAACTGAAAAACTCCTGCGTTACTCTTATCTGATAACCAGACTTACACATTATACTTTTACAGCTCGTAAATTTGAGGTAGTAATCAATATTAAGATTACATTTTCTTTTAATTACTTGTCATTATTGTGAACATGGGCTAAATGTGTACCGGTGATTGTTCTGTCTAGGCTTGCTGCATAATAACAATCAGGAAACACTTATTATTCCAGCCACAAGGGACATTCTCTACCAGTACAGCCAAAGCAAAACAACCAACTAAGTATTCCAGAAAATTAATTTAGATGTAATTAGATCAGGAAACGAATTTGTGATAAGAACAGCCAAAGTCAAAAGTCCATTCCGAGGAAGGGGTACATATTAACTCCTGAATAACCTGGTTGTTTAACCAGGTTAAGCATGCAGCCTCGAGTAAAAAAAATCAGTATGCTTATTTGGCAGGACAAAACTATGTTTGGCAGCGGATTTAAAATGAAACATTTATATCCCTATCAATTACTCGCAAAGAGCAAAACATGCTTACTACTTTGAGGTCTAGCACTCCGTCCTTAGCCTCCTGTAGTAAATTAACAAATTTAGTCGTTAGTAATCCGAGACTCTTTTCATGCCGGCTCGGCGTCTGACACTGTAGTGACTCAGCCATGGCATCCAGCTCAGTTCTGCTCAGCTCCAAATCCATCTGGTTACTGTCCGGTTCTGAATGCTCGGGTTGTCGCTGATCACCGCGGAGCGCTGCTTCTTACAACCTCACGTCGTCAGGCCAGATCTCGGTGACACGCGCCCAGCTGCGTCCTGCGGCTGTGGGACACGCGTGGTTCGTCAGTCTCGAGCAGGTTCGGCCCGAGTTCGGCTCACGGACCCGGAATCCGTTTGATTCGCAGCTACCGGCAATGAGGTCCTACAGTATAAAGCCGTTAGATGTGCAGTGCATGCTGGGATGGATTTAAACCTCAGGGACCGTCTGCAAAAAGAAACCCGACGGACGAATCGTGAAACAGAAAACCCATAATAAAATATCATGATCAAAATAGCCTCTTTCAGAAACTGTGTAATAACACATCGAAGTAAAGTTTATTCTATAAATATTACTGTACAGTTTCAGTAATAGTAGATGTAGGGTAACATTAGATGTCACTGAGCAGGGTAGAAAATACCGAGTTAATTCCGAGCAGCGAAGCAGGATGGTAAGCGTTGCTTTCGTCGAACTTTGTTCTACAAATTGAAGTTGTATCATAGCGATTTAAGAACAATCAGTATGACCAAATCTATTAAATGACTGAACACAACAAATTATCTAAGGGTTAAATAACCTGCAATTTACGAAATTAATCGGATGTTGAGATAACTAGTAAATTAAAATATTTCGGTTACGGTGTCAACACACACGAATCCGCTGCGCGTGTCCGAAATCGCGATACCAAGCAATTATTTTGAGAGACCGCTTTTTGCTTGGTAGTTACAGCAAAACCGTGTGAACGTGCTGGTAGTTTAAAACTCCCTCCTACAGAGACACCCAACGAGAGCCCCGCATTCTCACTCTTTAAACAATACTTCCTGTTTTCTATCGCATTAACCCAAATATTCAAGAGCGACCCAATGAACTACTACTTGCGTTAAGGGGGTGTCTCCAATTGACACACCGCCACGGCCCACGAAAAAGCGTGTTCTCTGCGAGATTTCCAAAGAGGACAGGACTTACCCTAGTTTTAAACAGGTTTGCGTGGCTAATTAATGTATCGCTTAAATGTATCTACGTAATCTTGAAAATCCGTCTCCCATAAGTAATATTAAATTGAAAACGGAGACCCTCCACCGGCTTCATATCACTATCAGATCCTCGTGAACCTTTCAAGTTTCACCACGTAGAGAGCGGAATACATTCTCCAAAACACCATAGGCAAAGTGTTTGCTCTAATATTAAAAAAGGTACATTTATAACATTATTACGCTTGATTTAAAAAGCAATGAAACAAGCAAAAACTGCAAAAACAGCATAGCATGTGCAAGAGTAAAATGCAGGCAAAGATTTTTAATGCATTAACTATAATATGCATACATACAGGAATCCAGTGAAAAGAACTACAGGCAAAACTATGAAATACTGCAAAACAACACATGGACCAAATGATTTTACAAAACATTCAAAATCATTACAAAAAGGCTTCTATCGGTCCATCATACTTTTAATGGTCTTTATACAATTTCAAATATTCTTATGTCACAATTTACAGGCATCCGGGGGAACCCATAAACACAGAGTATAATACCCTTTAACATCCTTAATGAGTCACCTGACCACTCCCACACAGATCATTTCCCAGGACATATAACCCAGCAGACTGCTTGTGCTCTGCATCCTCCCCGGCCCGCTGACGGGGTCATAAACAGCTGCTTCTCCTAAATACTTAACAAAACTAATTTTGGAAACAAAGGGAGAACAGGCAAAAAGATTTTCAAGGTGAGCGGGTCTGTCTGTTGCTGGGAGCACAGCAACTTCATTTTGAAACGCTTAACCTGGCTTAATCTCCACCTCAGCTCCACATTGTCCAGGAGGCTCTACCATCTCAATTTATTTACTTGAAAATGTTCACAGCACTTGCTTGTTCTACAAATGCTGCCCCTAACCTCCATCACAGTTATGGAAGTCTCTAATAGGCAATGGTGTGACTTGTGCCCACCACGTCTGTTCATCTTGGTGCTGTTGGCGTGACGGAGGGAGACAGACCCAGGTCAGGACTCCAACAATGCAGCCCCACTAACCGGCACCAGTGCCCTCAATCACCTGCTGTGCCTGCTTCTGGCCCATGCAGCACTGAGCCACGGACTGGAACAACCTGTTTGTGACAAAGTGGTTACAAATGGGTATATTAATGATATTGACATTTCTAAACATTTCTAACATGCATCACCTGGGATATGAAATTTCAAATGAAGGTTCTGTTGCTACTGCATTAAAGCAAAGAAAAAAAAATCTTTGCATGAAGAATCTGTAACTAGGTGCTGTCCTATGAGGAAGTAAACCACAATAGTACGGAGACACTCAGTATAGCACACTGCAGTGTCTTACTGAAGCATCATCCAGTGCACAAAAGCAGTACCAGCCATCCTTTAGGGTTTTATTTACCTATATCCAGTTAAAGTTCTGCAAACCCCATTCTCTCTACTAGGAGATATGCAAGCTAATTTTCATGAAAAGGTGGCAAGATCATTTCAGTTATGGGTGCCAAAATGAGATTTCTGGGGAAAGAGTTAATTGAATTCCTAACCTACTTTAAGCTGCAATTAAGACAATTTGTAGTATTTCTATCGATGCCTTATCAAATATGAGAAAACCTCAAAGCCCACCCTCTCCCCCACCCCAATGATGAATTACTTCTCAATCTCTGGTGCACAGTGCACAAAGTTATGGCTCCAGAATTTGAAGGCAGGATTCTTGATGAGCTCGATGAAGGTGATGAGCAGACCCCAGGGGTGTGGCCGGTTCACGATCAACCTCTCCAGCAGGACCCTGGAGCAGAGGGGAAATTATACTGATCCATCTAAAACATCCATCGTTCGACGTATGTAAATCACACCTAACACTGAATAGAGCATTACACGCACAGACAGATCTATCACCTTTGAAAAGTCATTTTAAAAGTCATTTTAAAAGGACGGGCAAAGCCCAAACCTTGTTATCTGCTCCTGGATGGCCTCAGTGTTGGCTTCAGCAAAGAGGTACAGCATGGTACAGCTGAAGTAGTGTGTGTGGCTGTTAGGGTAGCGCAGCTGATTGGCAATGGCATTGAGGAACAGGTACCGTCCTGGTGAGGGGGGGGGGGAATTAAAAGGGGGTGAACTTCTTGACGGACGCAGAATCAAAAAGCAGAGCAGCGGCACCCGGCAGCTCACCCTCAGTGTCCAAGTCCACGGCCAGATTCTGGTAGATGTCCATGTGGGCTGAGTGGGTGATTGTGCTCATGGAGGGGCTGCTGCCCTTGCTGTGGATGTGGCCAATGGCCTGAGTCCCCACGTACAGCACGAGGGCATTAATCAGCTGGAAATTGTACCGATTCCCTGGCTCATTTGACACCTAAAACCAGAACACAACTCTTGGTAATGACTTCTTGGAAAAAACTGTTAATCCAAAGCACAACCAAGCTTGTAAAATGTTATTCCATTATACAGCCAGCCTGCATCTTACATGGTTTTTGATTGTGGTTAAAAATATTTTTAAAAGAAACACTAACCAAAATGTACAATTTCAATGTGGCACGCAATGTGCGTAAGCATGGATTGAGCAGAGTGTGTGTCAGCAGGCTGTCTGTTCAAAGTTTAGCGTATATGACAGGTTGGGAATAGGTATGTTTGCAAAGTAAGGCACTTTTTAAATAAGGGTCTTGTACAAACGAGATTTTGGAGTATCGTGGTGGGTTGTGGAACCAATTGACCTTGTAAGATACAGGAGCACTAACAAATACACTTGCATACCATCTTTGTGCAGGGGCTTAGCATTACAGGGCAAAGTTAGGGACACCATGCACATGCAAGCGCGCACATGCACACACCAGGCATAGGTGAACACACCACGAGTCCCAAACATTCATTAAGAATAGTATAAGGAATTTTTACAGTCTACTAACTACAATTAGACACAGACACACATGCACAACACTGACATCAAAACTGTTCAAAGACATAAAAAATTGTTAACCTGGTCTAAAGATGTGTCGCTGAGCTGCAAATGTCTCCAGGGACCCAGACTGGTGCCCCCTACCTGCAGATTGCTGCGTAGCTCGGACAGAAATGTGACAGGGGAGCGAGTTTTCAGGTAGGAGTCCAGGTCTTTTTTAAACTGAGTAGGCATCACTCCAGTAAAGTTAGTGAGGATACGAGGAGCTACATTGATTTCACTGAGCATGTCCACCTAATCAGTAAAAGGAAAACAATGACATGTACTTATTAGTTTGAATACTGACCTAAACGCAAATCTTAGCCAACATACTAATAACATGTATTGGGGGGGGGAGGTAACTAAATATCAAGGGTTCTATAGACTGCTAGTTAAGGGAGACTCTCTGATAAAAGCAGACAGGATTTACACTCTTACCTTCAAGTTGGGGGTGAAGGGGTCAGGGAGCCTCATATTCCGGGGGAAGGCACTGAGGATCAGGTTACGCAGCTGGATGCAGTTTGGAGGAATGACATCACAGAAGCCGTAGTGGTAGTCACACAGGAATTCTGGGAAGTCATGAAGCAGGACCAAGAGGACCCGCAGAGTACCCTGGAGCAACCGAACAGGATGTCAAACATCAGCGCTGCACTGCATTAGTCTGCCAATTCGCACAGCGCTGACATGCGTGTGGGTGGGCGGCAAGGGCAGGCTGATCCTTCACAATGTTATTCTTTAGAAAGCACTGTATTCTCATACAAATGAAGGACAATGACAGCTGCAGGCACAATACCAGAAGAACAAAACAATACTGTGAGCCTACAATAGCCAGAAGACTAAATGCAGATGCTGTACCTTGTAGAGAATTTGCATAGGTTTGCTGAGTTCCACATTCCTCAGGAAGGGGGCGATGTACTTGAACAGGTCAATCAGAAGCTGGGCGTACATTGGCCAACCCTGATGAGAGTGAATAGAACTGGTTAAATCAAATGGGGGGGGGGGCAGTGAAACACTGCATAACATTTCTTGCCAGTGAGCATCATTAGAAATGGGGGAGGTCATCCCGGCAATTTACCTTCTGCTGTGGCGTGTGAGCCAGCATCCGGGCGATGAAGATGCGATGAGAGATGAGCTCCAGCCAAGCATAGACGAAGCCTGGGGCCTTGGCCGGCCGCAGGATGTGAAATGTGTTGCTGTGGACAAGGAGAAAGGAGACCTTTCACAGAGAGTTCTACCCCAATGCTACAAGCTTATGTTTCTTACAGCTGGGTGCCATATGATTTTGCCAGCATTATGAATATTTATTTTTCACATCTTACAATGTAAATACAAGAAGCACTGAACACCATGGGTAATGCAGTGTGCTTTAGGGCAGTGTTTCCCAACCCGGTCCTCGGGGACCCCTGGGCTGTCCATGTTTATCAGGAGCTGGAAGGGAGCAAAAATGTGGACTGTCTGGCAGGAAGCAAAAATGTGGGTTAACTGGGACTGTCTCAGGGTCCCTCCAGACTGGGTTGGGAAACACTACTTTAGGGGAAGGATGGGTTTGCCCAAAGCAAAAGTCCCAGAGGGCCTTTTACCAGAAGGCAGTGAGGGTCTGGAAGTTGATCGTTTCCAACACGTGCTCTGGGGCATTCAGCTCCAAAAGCAGCATGATGAAGATACGGTGATACGGTAACTGCTGGAACTCAGTGTGGCGAACGTCATGATCCTGGATGAGGACGCCGACCACGATGCCCAGGACCTACGTGTACATGAGAGAGCACAATGCTGACACGGACATTTGGGTGTTATCTAGCCACAAATTACTTTGCTCCCATACAGTTTCTTAAAGACTTCATTCTCCTATTAGCTTCTAAATGATATTCCAGATCCACTCAATGCAATATTCAGTTGCTTTACATTTTAAAATTATACCTTTTAAACAAACATTTTCTTACGAACGCAGACAATTCTAATATATACTTGCATGCAATGACATACAGGCCACAAGAGGGCAGCAATTTTCAAAAACAAAATGGGCGGGGGGGCACAAAACCATATGATTCAGATGGACACCCTCCTCTTCCCCAGGCCTACCTTGTTGAGCAGATTGATCTTTGTGACGGTGTTGGCTGCCTCGCCAGAGTGCTTCACGAGCAGGGCGATAAGCCGCACAAAGGCGTCCAAGTTGTGGTAGCACTTGGCACGGATGATGGTGGCACCAGCGGCCGGCGTGTGCTGCTGCTCGGTGTGAGTGCGGTAGCTGATCTCCACGCACATCTCCGTGCAGAGCCGGAAGAAACGTGTGATCAGGTCGTCGGTCTTCAGGATCCCCTGCTGGTGCATCTGGACCAAGTGAGAATGGGTGGCAAGAAAGTGTCAACTGGGGAATCTTAAGACAACACAAAATGGGTGGATGGACCTGCTCTACCTACACTCTCGAAGCACAAGGAATAAGTGCATTTAGTAGGTGCACAGAACTGCGCGACTGCTTTCGATTCCAAGTTTCTTGTACTTGGTCCAATAACATTCCTTCATGCTACAGGTTGTGACTGAGACTGTGTGAACAGACAGGCACATCTACAGAGGAACATGTGCCCATTCACTCAAAGTGAAGAAAATCAGCCCTACCTTTGCCGATAATGAGACACCATGAGAGGCTTATAAATCGTACTAGTGAACAAAAACTGGGAAAATACAGGTGTCATGACAGAACCTTTTAGAATCCTGCCATTTCTTACACAAGTGGTGAGAGTCATAGTGCCCAAGATGCACAGAGGTCACTGCCAAGTCTAAAACAGAAGCTCATGTCCACCGTTCATTCTGAGAACACTGGTAGGTCACGTGACTGCCTGAACCGGACCAGGAGTGCAGCTACACAGGGGTACCTGTCCGACGAAGGCAGAGAAAGCCTTGGTGCTGTCACGTCCTGCAGCAGACGAGTGGTACAGGCTGACCCACTCCCTCAGGAGGTATTCTGCCTTCTCCCTGAGGCCAGGGGGGTCGTCATACTTTGAGGCCTGGGAAATCCCAGAGTGCATCATGAAGTTGGGCCCGCCGTGGGAGCGGTCCATCATGGCTTCGTAGTTCGAGCGGACCACATCCATCAGCTGGGGGAGACTGCAAGAACATCAAGGCATGACAGTCAGCGTGGAGATTTTAAACACTGTATAATCAGATGTCAACATTCAGAGTTTTATCTTCATGGAAACGACTTCTAGATTAGTGCGAGACCACTGAATAAAGCATCAACTGACACCTACACCAGGACAGCATTCTAGACGTTAATCCATGTACTCCCACTGTAATGACAACAATGACAGCCACTGAGGCGGAGGGTAGCAGGCTTTAGATTTGGTGACAACCCACCCCTCAGGTGCATTGGCTCTGGAGTGGGCGCTGGTGCGCATAAGCGCCTCGATGGTGTGGAAGAGGTCTGCCTCGGTGACCTGGCTCACACTGCACTCATCCACCAGCAGCAGCTTCACCAGTTGCATGGCGAAGGCCACAGCCATGTAGTGCAGACCGTTCTCCATTGACTGGGGGTTGGAGGGGCGGAGGAAAACCAGCAGTTACAATCAACAACGGTCAATGAATTAGGTTTTTTTTTTTTTGAGCTTGGGAATTAGAAGTCCGTATCCTCAAGGCAACCTTTCAAAACTGGCAAACCCTATTTAGCCCCCCCCAACAAACAGACTGCGCCAAACCAGATAAGAAGCAAGCTAAGAGGGTGTGGTGAATACCTGGGCAAGGTGCAGGTCATACTGCTGCATGTTGACCAGGTTGTTTCTGATCAGGAGCTCCACCGCCTCCACATTATACTTGTACTCATCTCTGCACTCCATGAGGTACCTGAAGAGGTGACACACCACACACACACACAGCTATATCCAGGAAGTTTACTCCCCCAGGATACCAATCTGCCACATTAATTACGGAGAAGGAAGTGAGTGTGGGCCCTACAAATGCTGCATCGCTACAGCCAAAGCTGCTCGTGGTTCCAAGCCAACACGACGGACTTGTATGCACCGACCTGGTGACTTGCTTGTTGCACCACTGTGGGCCGTAGGCACGCCCATCCTGCAGGGCCTTCAGCACCAGCAGGTGGCACTCTCTGTAGCGAAGCAGGAGGTCTGGGTCCGCACTGCTGGTGGCATCCAGCAGCCCCTCCACTGCCTGAGAGGGTGAAGTTGGAGGTGCGAGAAGCAGGATGAGGGATGAACCGAAGCAGGGGAGAGGAGAAAAGGCGACAGACATCTCTGTCATGAACAGCTCATTCATCTCGGATCCTTTCACTGTTAAAACTCCATCGCAGTGCTTTTTCTGACCTTCTGCAGCAGGGCCAGTGCCGCTACGCTGTCGCGATTGTTGCGGGTGAGAGCCACGGACTCCGTGAGACTCCGCAGCGCCTGCGTCAGCGGGTTCACGGCCAGCGCCGGGGATATGGCGTGCAGGTGCTGCTCTAGATCGGCCAGGCACTTGTCATAGATCTGAGCCATGTCGTCTGTTGGCCAGACCTGCTGCTACAGGAGACAAAAGGAGGGAGAGAGTGAGTGAGTAAGAGCTCAAAAGCAATGGTAGGAGAATGACATGGCTGCAAGACCCCATACACACACACACACGTTTGTATTCATATCTTTGTGGGGACTGTCCATTCATTTCTATTAGAGAAAACCCTAATCCCACCAATGACAACCCCTACCCAGCCTTAACCTTGACCGTAAGTCACCTAAAAAAAAATACAGGACTTAGCATTCTTAGTTTCTTGATTGCAGTCACAGATCTTTGTGGAGACCTGAAAGAATGGTCCCCACATTTGGTCTCACACAACATAATGTAAAAATAATCTACACACACACACACACACACACACACACACACACACACACCCTTAACAACCTTCAACGTGAAGGAGTGGCTCTATACCTTCATGGGCTGAGCAAGGAAGCCAGTGGGCTGGGAAAGGTCATTGCTTGGCAGGAATCCTGGGACATTGCGTGCAAATTCCTGGTAGACGGCGAGCTGTTTGGGGTCCACTCCTCCGACCTAGGAGGCAAAAGCAGAGCGGAACGTGGAACGTGACCGAAGCTGAACCTGCCAGTGCTGGAGCTGCCACCGTGCGATGACTCACCTTCAGCCGGATCTGCTCTGGCATGCGCTCGGCCTGGTAGGTCAGGACGCCCGGGTCACAGTACCGACGGCCCTCCTGCCTGGCGTGCTTCCTCAGCTCAAACTCCTACGGGGGAGCCGAGTGTGAGGCGAGATCGGGATGGGGCTGGCAGGCTGGGGCATTCCTGCCGATACTCACGGTAGCTAGCCTCTTGTCCATCTCTGGGCCAGCCTTCTCCACGGCCGTCTTCTGGATGAAACAACACGCCAGCTCGCAGTTATCCTGCGCGATCTTGGCCACGGCCTCCTCCATCATCTCTCTCTGCTGGGGAGTGGGGGCCTGATGGAGAACTTGAATCAGGATGGCCGCAAATCAAACGTCAAACTTCGCACACACCAATAACTGCCCGAGACGTACCCTGAGCGCCGCGGTGAAGCCACTCTTCAGGTTTGCGGCGATGCTGACGAGCAGCGGCTCCCTGCACGTGATCATGGCCATGCCAGCCGTCAGGTTGCGCATCATGTGATGCGCTGCCATCCGCATGCGTGACTCCTCAGGGTCCAGAGCGAAGTCCTTCCTGACGATCTGCTCACAGGTTGTCATGGCGATCTTGATAGAGCGGTCCACTACAGGGTGCACGAGCTCCTGAACGGCACGTTCAATGGCCTGCCGCACGCACTGCTTCAGCTGGGGGTGGGCCTGTAGAAGGGGAATCTGCAGGGGGGGGTAAGTGGCCAATCAGACTGCAGGGTATCCCCGTTAAGGCTTTGACTGAGGAATCAGTAAAGCACAAAGCTAAACCATTTTATCGGACTGTATATCAATTTTCCTAGAGATAAATAAAGTAGAGCTGTCATGATTACTCGATAAACTACTATTAAAAAACATTGGTTAAATCTTTCCTTCAATTTCTGGGCAATAAGGCATAAGAAAGACGGCACATAGCGGAAGAGGGTACAAATAAAGGCAGCAAGCGTCAATTCTGTGGAAGCACTTCAGCATAAGAGTGAATGAAAAGTCATCTCTCAGTACTGCAGAGCTTAAATATCACAACAGAACGTCTGCAAGGCAAATAGATCTTACGAGACGTTAGGTTTTGACAGACTCGCCCAATAATGCAAGGTTAGCTAGAGATACGTGCCATTGAGCCTCGATGAGACGGCTGGCCTGTGTTTGTCATCACACTGACTAATTGCTACTAAAACGAAGACTAGCTTGGCCGCATTGTCTTATATAATATGGTACATAAAATATTTTATGGTTATCATATTATAATAATCATTATTACTATTATATTATTAACAACATTGTTTTAGTTGTGAACAATACGGGGAAGGTTGATTACGATATTTCGGAGTTGAAAATTTAACTACATAGGGAAATAGATTGGTGTCATGAGTTATGCCAACAGACACAAAACAATGCTGACAAATCACTTGCTTTTGTTCAATTTACTCTCTATGGAATACAAAATATTTCCATACAGCAGAAGACAAATGTATTTTCGTGACCAGTTCTTATTCGCTTTTCTCAGCTTCACTCATTTTTGTTTCACATTTCACAAATGCGGCACATGATCTAGGGTCCCATTGGTATGAGTGAGTGCAACAGCCAGGACTAGGATGATTAGGATTGTCTCAGAGACCACATGCCAGGCCACAAGCAAAAGCAGTGGCAGTAAACTTGTGTTAGACAATTCTGAGAAGGAACCATCACTAAAAAACTGCACAGTCCAGCAGTCCGGGCAGGCAACACTCACCGTGTGGCTGACAGTGACATGGGGGGCCAGTCCTGCCAAGGAGTACACGTTAATGTCATGGTAACTGAAGAGGGCGGTCGGGGGGCCCGTGGCCGTGCTGGGTGTCCCGCTGCCCGGCGGCGCCGGGGGGGCTGCAACTGCAAAAGGAATGTCGCTTAAGCCTGCGGTCGGCTACAAACCAGCAGACGACACTCGGCAAAGAACATCGAAGCTACAGGACTGATCTATAGTCAAGGCAAGGATCAGGACTGCTTATACAACAGAGGTATCATGGATAGAGGCTGCTATAAGACAAATATACATGTTTAAACTGCACTGCACTGTTGAAGTTTAATCAGGAAGGAGGTGAACTGACCTATACAAAGTAACACAGAACACAAGCAAATGGCAGGAACAGGATCAAACCTAAGCTTTTAGGAGCTTGTAAGAGCGATATTAGACGGTGAAAAGTGGGACAAACCGAAATTGCTGGGCTGACCTTTGGTGCTGACTGGCTGCGCTTCCTCTGCTGGCCTGGATTCCTTCTTTGGTGCAGACAGCTGCACCTCCAGGGTGCTGAGCTTGTGCTGGTCCTTGAGCAGAGTGCCGGGCTTCAAGTCGTTAATGTCCAGGGAAAGGTTCTTGCATAGCACTTCGATTTCAAACTTCAAGTTCAACTAAAATGGAGAGAAGGGTGGGAAATAATGCAAATTCAATGAGGAATGGCATGCAGTAGCAAGCAGAAAGGAGAGCCATCACCCAAGAAAAGCACAAATGACAGGGAGTCACCTTCAAGTCATGTTCCTGGTGCAGTTCTGCCAATACATTCATGATGGCCATGGTCCAGGGATTCTGGGGTCTGAAGATCTGCAACACACACACAAACCTGAATCTGCTGTTCATTTGTTAGAGACCATGTTGATCACCATGCTTAACAACATTCGTAATAAATCACATTAATGAACCCATTAGGCAATAAAACAAAAACATTTCGCCTGCACCAAGTTCCAGCACAGGAACCGAACACAGCAGGAGACAAAACCACAAAGACAAAGAACTTTGACTTTCACTCCAAGACTTAAGGTCACCAGCATAGACTGGCAGGTCTCCAGTACGCATGAAGCATTTACGACAGACCAAAAACCCCAGACTTACGAGGCTCCTGAGGCTGGATTCCAAGACTTTGGCAACAAAGGGGACGACATACAGGAGCTCCTGCTGTCCCTTCACATAGGCTTCCAGCAAAAGGGATTTCACATCCAGGTCCTTAAAGAGCCAGAGAAAAACCTGACCAAATGCTCTAGGCTGCCTTAAAGTATAAATACAGTAGTCCAGGAATGATCACAGTGCATATCTATCAGACCTCCTGTTCCCATTGACCAATGCATAAGGGACATGACAGGGCTACTTACGGTATAGAGGATGGGCTTGTTTTTAGCTAGAGTAATCATCCCAAGCCAATGGCCCAAATTCTTCAACAGGGACCGGTCAGAGAAGTTGGCCGCTGCCTTATCAGAGGTGAGAAGAACCTGCCAGAAAGAAACCAATGTGCACTTTAAGACTGGAAGACATTTGGCTTCTGGCTGGTGTCCAGCTGTGTTTGTAATTGTGATTGTTACTATAAAATTACTTTAGGTTTTCCATGTGGTGTTCTCACTATTTTGTCCAACTCTTCACCTAGTAATAACTTACCTAGTAAAAACTGACCCTATTACTAAACATCCTAGCTGTCACACTTGCATATCATTTATTCACAGAAGTAAATCATAATCACCTAAAACCCTCAGAGTTACAACCATTTTCAGCTAATTATTTTGACTTGTGATATAAATCTGCTTCATATAGTAAATGTTGGGAAAGGATCCCTCTAATCCCACCTTGATGTTTCTGTAAGTTTCAATCAGGACCATTTTGAAAAATTCAGAGTTTTTCAGTGTGTCCAAAAAGTTTGAGTAGAGGCTGTGGAAGTTGGGCTCAATGCTGACTCGCTTCATGACCAGGTACTGGGACACCCAAGGCATGAACTCCTCCTTCACAGTTTCCTTCAGCTCTTCAACCTTAAACGAAGGAAGAGCTTTAAAACATCTGACAGATCATAGCATTTCACTGTCATACTGCGCTTGTGGTCAGAGGTCATAACAAAAGAAAATCATCATTTCACATTATACGTGTACACCGTAAGTGGGTTTTAGAAGCATTAAAGGTCTGTTCTGAACATTGATACAGATATGATGTAATAACTGACCAAAACTCCACACTGCAACACAAATCAAAAGCAGACTTCAGAATTCATTGTCTCTGAACATTCACCTTCTGAATCATGTTGGACTGAGACAAATTATTGAAGATGAATGCAATTTTCTCCTGGATATTTTCTGGAGGTTCCACTATCCTCTCAATCTGATCAGTGGCCACAAGCAGGGTGTCAATATTGGTAGTGTTTATGGAAGGCTGAAAATGACATTTAAAAGGATTAATCAAAAGGACAGTTATGGAAAGGTTACATGTTGGCCCAAACATGCTTTCTTTAAAGCAATCAGGGCCCATGTAAATTTCAACAATGAGACTTTACGACGCACAGTAAATTCCCTTCTGCAACTTAGAAACTACAACTACTTGTAGAGATTCAACATAATGATGAAATGACAACAATAGGACAACATCTGCAGCGCATTTACAGAGTGTGCAGATGCAATCAGCTGGAGGGAGAAAGAGTAATATGCACAGAACACGCTCTGCCCTCTGCCATACTCACAGGTACATCCTTCTTGAAGCTCACTGAAGTCGGACGGGCAATGGTGGTGGTTTTGGTGGCAGAGGCAGTGGTGGGGATGGCAGAGGTGCTCGGTACCATGGAGCTGGATTGGCTTGGCAGCATGGATGCTTTTGGGGGAGGCTGGACCAGAGGCAAGCTAGTCGGACCGGTAATGGAGCTCTGCATCTTCACAGGAGGGTCTCTCGTCTGCTGGCCGTACTCGATGTACTGCACACACAGCATATAAAAAGTGCACACTGCAGATTTAACCATCGCGCAGAGGGATCGGCACCTACCCTGCTATTAGGCAAGAGGCTTTTGAGAGTGACAGGCGACTCCTTCCATTCACAACAAAATTTAAATATCACCAACCTATGACAACACATCGTACTGCAAAAGCATGACGTTTCAGAGAATTGGGAAAAAACTACTAAACTATTTTTAAAGAAAATGGGGTTTAACATTTTCATTTAAAAGAAAAAAGGATGTGACGTCAGGCTGTCAAATCCAGTGTAACAACCAGCAGTCATTGATGTTTCGGATGCTAAATTAACTGCTATGCATTGATAAGGACAAACGCACATACATAAGAAACACATTTACCTCCTGAAGATGATGAGGGAACTGCATAAAGTGGCCAATGGAGGCTAAATGCTGGCAATACTGAGGATAGTCCTTTAGCCTAAAAACGAAGGGAGCGAATACACCAGCACTGTTACTGCAATGGCTATTATTGGCAGGCAACAGAAGCGTGAGAAAGTGACGAGCCTAAGAGTACCTGTTCTTAAAGCGATCCAGCGCAGCGATACCAAAATAGTACATTTTAGAGCCAAAAGGCTTCCTCAAGGCCTCGAGGACGTAGCGCAGAGCTAGCCCCAGGGCCATGTAGGTCACAAGGCCCTTCTCGATAATGCCGCCAAACAGACAGGCAGTGATGTGCAGCTCCTTATCGGGGTACTGGGGGAAGAAGCGGTACTCCTCAAACAGGTTCCTGAGCATGCAGTTGAACACCTCTCGCTCGCGTTTGACGCTTGAGTCCTTGAACCGCTGGAGCATCTCAAGAACCTACAGGCATCAGAGTCAAGACAGAATGGTCAATAAAGGATATATTTAATTTCAGTCAAAGTATTGAGAATTGTATTAAAGACCTAAGCGACATAAAATCACATATGATGGTACTTATACATATATCACATTAAAAACAGCCATGAGACTAAGCGTTTAGAGGGATAGTGGGTTTTTGAACGTACTTCGTCAACGGACATGGTGGGATGCGGCGGGTGGTTGTAGATGCGCTGGAAGTAGCTGTTTGCCTCATCATCGATCTCCTTGCTAAAGTTCTGATTGGCCTCAGGCCACACCTGAGAAAGGTCAGCTGGGAAGGAGAGAAGGCGAGAGACCAGAGCACATGGGTGACCTCATGGGTCACAAGGGGGAGCCAACGGCACCACACAGGCAATAAAAGCAAACAGTACTGGGAGAAATGGAAACGGGGACTGGAGGGCAGTTAATTTTCAAATGAGGCAAATCCAAATATTTGAAATATTACCCGAAGTGAGATCATTAATTAGCAATAATGAGTTAATTTCTTGTGTTAAATGCCATTATTTTATTCCTCCAGACAACAACATTTTGGCAACTCATACACCAGGGCTTGAAAATACTCAAAAATAAATAAAAATAAAAGAAACAAAAAATAGCAGTACTGAAAACCCATGGACAACATACTGAAATACCCCTTTAGAACAAACAGTAAAGAATAAACAATAGTGCACAAAGCAGTACACAGTTTTCCAACCAGAGCACCGCTGACAGTGCACACACTCTTACTCTGCTGGAAGGCAGCTGGGTTCAGTCCAGATGTGCTCATCTTCCTGGTGACAAAGGGCTCGGTGCTCACTGCAGGCAGTGCCAGCCCTGTGCCAATGCCAGTCAAGCTGCCTGTGCCCAGCGAACCTGGACAGAGAGATTTATAATATAACAATTATATACAATGCAGCAATATCTATGGAATGAAATGAAAATAAAGTGACACATTTGTAGATGCAGTAAAAACAAAACTGCACGACCACCGTATGCAAGTGGCGCTGTCATGACCCACCGTGAAGTGTGCTCCAGACGGCACAGCGGGCCGTAACAGTGATTCGACACGAGCTTACCTGGAAGCTGAGCGAGGCTTGCGATGCCCACAAATGGAGTGGCGGGGCTGGGACTGGATATTGAGGGGAAGGCCTTGACCGGGGACTGTGGGGTGCTGAAGGCAGGGACCAGGGGTGTGGGGAAAGCCTGCATGCTCTGGGTGAGTGATGTAGATGAGGTTCCAAGGCTTAAGGAGCTCATGGTGCTAAGGGCATCCATCTAAAAGGGGTACAGAAGACTGATGAGCCTAGGAAGAGTCTGGAAGCAGAGCAGCGTGTTACCATGGCTGCAGCTGGCCCTTCAATACTGCTATCCGAAAGCACTGGTGAGCTAAGAACACAGTTACACTACAGGGCACGTGATCTGAAAGAGCTAGCGTGTCAACGTCAACCTGCACCCAACAATACCTGCACGGGGGATACAGCATCTAGGCTGCTGGTGCTGGGAGCGCGACCCTTGGGCACGACCCCCGGAGGGGGCTGGCGAGCTTTGTTCATCACATTGCTGCAGTTTGCCACCATGGTGAGGATGGTCTCGGACAGCTCCTGAGATACGCTCCTTCCAAAATAGGGGGACAGGGAGGCAGGTGCTTAAGCAAAAAACTAACAGCCATTTAAGCATTTCACAGAGTAGGTGGAGCAGCCACCGGAGACTGACCCCGCACAGGACTGCAGGCATGCCAGCATGGTGGCCAGCGTCTCCGGGGGTAGCTGGGCACTCCTGGGCTGGTCCTTCTCGGGCACCAAGCCACCCATGATGGAGGGACAGCGCCGTTTCAGAAACGTCACGCAGGCCTGGATAAAGGGTTCCTGAGACAGACAGCGGTAGCCCTCATCAACACTGACCATTTTAAAAATGTACCACCTTCCACCGACATATTAGTTACCATTTTCACCATGTCGTAGGTCTAAAGAAACAAAAAAAAAAAAAAAAAAAAAAAGATCGGTGCATCATTTAGGCAACAATTTCTGCCTGAAATGTACGTCCTAAGACACCTCATTTTCTACAAGAACATCACAATAAAATAAAGATGAGAGCACCTTTCAACTGGCTCTTTAGAAAGCTAAATACATGCCTTAGTTCATAAACCCCAGAAAATAAAACATTTCTGCTTTGCCAGGTGACTTTGTGGTACTTATTGGAGGTCTTACCCCATGCTCTCTGATTTTGTCGGTCAGCCATTTGTCGAGTTTGAGGTATTCACGGCGAGACGCTAGTGCAGCCAGATCAATGACGAAGGCAAACGGAGTGCCATTCAGCAGCATGGAGAGAGACTGCAACGGGAGAAGATCCAAGCAGCACTGTTACCCAGAGTGCTGTGCAATATGCATTTTAAGCATTCTTGGGATAGCGTTTCCTAACCTCCAAATGCACAGGTAGAAAAGGCATACCGATACCCTACCTTCAAGTCCTGAGCCACATCTAAGATGCGGGACAGCTTGGCCTGGTCATATTGCTCTCCCCTCATGTACCACTCTGCCATCGAATGCATTATCAGCTGACGGATGGAGAGGGACTGGCCCTGAAAGCACAAAAGAGGAATTACAGCCAGGCAAGACTCGTGGGAAGCACTGACTTGCGGCTGCAGGTGCTCTTCACACCAATGAAAATGCAGATTGAATATTTTGCCACATCACTTCCTCTGACAAGGTGGAATTGTGGGAAGGGGTGGGTTTAAAACTCCATTAGAAATTCTGCTGCTACAGTTACTTCTTTGAAATGTACACAGTTTCCCCCCCCCCCTACTACCTTGACAGAAGATTCACAATCCGGGACTGACCTGTCCGTGCCATGCGTAATGCAAGACGATGGCCGAGTTGGGATGGTTGCCCAGGAAGATGGGCATGAGAGCAGAGATGAGCTCGTGCCGCAGGGCGTGCCAAGACGTGGTGATCTGCAGCAGCGCCAGCACCAGCACATCAGGGCAGTGCTTGATGGGGAAGCTGAAGAGCTGCTTCACTGGCTCGTACTGACCCAGCTCCGACAGCCGCAGCAGACTCTCCACCAAGTCCAGACTCTTCCTGAAGGGGGAGGGGAGTCAGGGTTTCTAGAAAGGCTATAAGATGGGGAAGACCTCCTAAACAATATCCGGGTAAACTAATTTAGGATGGAGCATTTATTTGAAGAAGTGGGAGGGGGTAATCTTACAGAAGAAAAGATTATTAAGCGCCATACCAGGTAGCTATGTCCCGGTTATCGTCCTCTGGGGGGGCCTTCAAGATGTCAATAGCCACAGTGTGACAGGGGTAATCAGCAAAAGAGAAAACCTCTGGGCTCATCAGAGATTGCTGGATAAACGATAACTAGAAAGGAAAGAGTGTGGTACCGGTAACTGATGATGCAAACTAAGTGCTGTGTATAAATCATCAACAATTAATCAGAGGAGCAGCTAGGTAGGTGCTGAAATGCAAAAACCATGTTTTGAATGACATGATTTGATGCCTTAATGGAGAACTTCAGAATGTGAAGATGGATGACAAAAGCCTGCCGCGCTTCATACCTGGCCTTCAGCGTGCTTCCATGGCCTGTAGATGAGGTCCACTGGAAAGACTTCCATACCGAGGCCCCTCTGTATGGCAAACACCACTACCTGCAGGCCCTTGCTGTCACGGATGACGAACCCCGGGTGGTCTAGCTCATAGGTGACCTCTTTGAAGTTAAGACTGGGGTTCTGTGAAGACATGGGGGCACCAGCCATGCTTCATGCATGTGTATGGAGTCACAACCTCCACACAGTCATCTGGACGGTCTGTGCAGGAGTTACGGTACTCACGATTTCTTTGACGACGTCAATGAAAACTTCGAAGTTCCACGTGTGGGTCTGGGAGGTATCGTTCTTGTCCTTCCCCTCACTCCAGATCCCACTGGTCGGTGCAGAGATTGACTGGGTGGGAGAAAAAAATATTAATACCTCAATAACCACACCACCCTCAAGAGAAGAAGAATCAATCAGAATCTAATGTAAAACTAGCATGGCAATAATTCTAGAAGTTGAAGCACAGGAGTAATTTTGTTCCTGCAGTATTACAGTCTATTCAATTAAATGTGCTCGTCTAAGATTCTATGCTACAAACATCTCAAGCATCCATCTCCACATGACCTCCCAGCATAAGCAGTCGTGTTCTTTCTTAGCCCTCTCACCTGTAGGGCAATACCATCCGAAAGGCCAGAGTGAGTTCGGGCCATCATCCCCAACACTCGTGCCACCTGGCTGGCTGTGACCTCCCGCGCCCCAAACTGCATGATTATGTTGCGACATTCATCCACACTAAGGAATTAAAAGTTTAGATACAGTTAATGTACAAAACCAAAGAGGTACACAAGCAAAGCATCAAAATAATTCACTAATGATAATCTTGAAAAGGCAAGAAATTATCCCATTACAGCTACAAAAAAAAAAAACTCACCTGGCGCAGAATCCATAGCCAAGTTCGAGCATGAACTCGGCAAGCGAGCTCTCCATCGTCATCTTCGCGATCCCCCCAGAATCCGGTAAGATCCTATCGATCAGAACGTCCCGTTTTTCTGGGTACAGCAGTGGTGCCAGCACCACAGGGCACTGCACCTGGGGGAAATCTGAAAGGCATGCAGCTCACAGATATCAGCACACCTGGTCAGACATGAGGCTTTCACACAGGAATGTACACAATTTGACCCAGGAAAGTTTGGCTTGGTCATAGTGCTCTCCCCTTATATCAAACTGGGCTACAGGCAGAAGCCCTGGGTCACTCCGATGTATTCAAGAGCTGACATCACAGCGGGGCTGCAGTTAAAATGCTGCCACATTATAGAAACAAAATTACACAACATTTTTTGTAAAGGTCACTTTTTTATAGCTACCTTTTCAAATATAGCACATCTCCTTTTTAATATGTAATCACAATGGTCTACCACTTCTGCAGCCAATGACTGAATGTATGCCATTTTCTCTAAGCTAAGGTCCTTGCTTTCAGGGAAAGGTTAAAGGCCCATTTCAATTGTCGCTGAAAAATAACAGTGGCAACTCAACTCAGCAATGCATGCAATGATGTCCTTGTACTCCCATGTAGTTGTAAACAGAACCTTATATCCACAAAGGCAAACATTTAAAAAAACACCTGTTAGCTTTACATAATCAAAAATGGGACTTCTGGGTGGAAAGCATTCCAGAAGACCTCAAATTACCCACCTCTGCACAAAGTCCTGAGAAATGCGTCAATCTGTTCCTGTCCTACCCCACAAGCTCCCTTCTGTCCAAAGAGGAGATGGGAGAGGAGCAGGTGAAGAACCTCTACAGCAATATCCTGGAAGCCACCTTCCTGGTTCCCAGTGAGGTCTGTGTCCACGTAGGAGCGCAGAAGGTCCGGTAGCTTCTGCTTCACAAACTGGGCAGCTGGGTGTTGAGAAGGGGAGAAGAAAGACCAGTAGAGCAACTTAACATTAAAACCATGCAGTTCCCACTTTTCATTTGTGAAGTGAAATTCTGATTTGAACACTTCAGGTGTGAACTCTATGTAAAGTATTCAAAGGAACAGCCATGGACACACTTTAAGGACATCATAAAGTATGTGTACTCTGGGGGAGCATATATATATATATATATATATATATATATTAATATATATATATATATATATATATATATGGCAATATATATATATAAAAAACAACAAAAACTCTTACCAAACCCCTTAAGCTCTGAATTGGAAGAGTTCAGCAAAGCAAGACCAAAAATCACCTGCAGTCAAAGATACAAATTTAGCATATTCAGAATAAGAGTTAAGGATATCCATCTAGGCAAACTAACAATTAAAACATAACCTAATCCGCTTACCTCCTGGACCCGACTTAGTTTCAGAACTTTACTTAGCTGCGAAAACAAGTGGGATGTTGGCTTCAAACTCTACAGAAGGGAAATAAAATCTTTGTTACAGTGTACAGACCACTCATTAATAAGAGTACAATGGACACAGTGCAGCAAACCTACTAATGCAGATACTGAATTTTAAAACTAGGGCTGGGCGATATCACACATATGGGCTGGGTGATATCGATATTATATCGCGAATGCGCAATAATCACCTGGCTTCAGACGACGAGCAAAACATTTGGCTGGATGCCATATTTTCGGTACTATAGACATGTATTTATACCCACAATTTGGTAAGCAGATTAGTAGTATGGCTAAAATATTGATAAGGCATTTTATGAAGCCAAAAGTTAGTAATCAGTATAAATTCGGCATATCTTTATGTTTAATAAAGATGTTGGACCGCCACACCACCGATCTCTTTTTACCTTGTTTATCCACAAGATACCCTCTTTTAAAAGATGTTGTGGCTGCTGAGCTGTTCCTTTCTTCACTGCCACTTCAGTGCACATCACACTGAAGTATACCAAACCACAGTATACCAAAACAGTATCATGTGGAGTGCTCCGCTACAGTGAATATCACACTGAAGTATACCAAACCATAGAACACCAAAATAGTATTATATAGAGAGCTCCACTAACTAAATTTAATAAAGATAAGCCAAATATATACAGATTTCTAACTTCTGGGTGTCACAAAATGCATCTCATTAGTATTTTCACAGCACTACTAATCTGCTTAAATTTTGGGTGATTAAACAAACGTCAGTATAGTACCAAAAAGCTGGCGTCTGGTGAAATGTTTTGCCCGTTACCTGAAGCCCTGGTGATTAATGCGCATGCAGGATATAATATCCATGCGATATCGCCCCGCCCTGTTTAACACTACAAAATCCATAGAGGAGCAGTTGGAGATTGCTTTGAAATTAAATATAATAAGCAACTTCTGACAATGCCAACGGCAGTGGGGAAGGTCATCCTACCTTCTGGTAATGCAGTGGATTATCAATGGCGTAGCAAAGGGTGGAGATAAAGTTTGGCTTGGATACCAGAGATGCACACTCCTGGGCCAGAAACTGTGCCTAGTGCAAGTGGAAAAGGAAAAAGAAGCTGATTTCTCTTAAGTCAGCTTGAAATTACAGCAGGCAACAGTCATCTTAAAGGCAGGTCTCAAAGCCTGATCCTAGTGGTCAACCCTCCTGCCTAAATATTATGCCCATATCACGAGGCACTAGAAAAATCCACAAACCATCCACTTTCTTCCCAGCAGCCTTTGCACTAGTGATGCACCAATAAGGAAATTTCTGATTGATACCAAAAGCCAATTAAAACTGACACCAAAACCAATTGTGCGTTAGGTTCTGCTTAAATTAGTCTACACTAATTTACACTCCACCCAAATTAAAAAGTGTTTTTTGGTAAGAAAACGCCAACTATAGCATACAATAAAAGTCCAAGAGCACTATATTTTCTGTATACATCATAAATATTTATAACAGATCATCCAGTGCAATAAATTCTGTAATTTTCAGAGTAAAGTCTTGATGTCACACTGTCTGCACTGAATTTTCTTTTGCTATCAAAATGCTTGTGTTACTAACGGACTAGCGATATTCAGCAGCACAGCAGCCGTCTTTATTGGAACGGATTTGTTTTTCAGAAACTTCATGCTCTTCACTGTCTCGGTTTAAAGTGAGCAATCAAGTTTGCTGTGTTGAAATGTTTATTAGCAGATCTGTCTTGTAAAATTTTAGCTAAGCAATGTTTGCAAAATGCTTTTTATAACGTTGCTTTTGCCAACGCTAAAATAATTCCAAATGGCACACATTTTTCTAACTGTTTAGTACGCTGGTGCAAGGCAATACAGGATCAACAGTTTAAAGGCATTTATCGGCGGAAATTATCGACTCATTTTTACCCATCAATCAATGGCTGGATTGTTGCTATAGCAGCCAATGCTGATAGTTGGTCTATACAACTGGTGCATCTCTACTTTGCACCAAAGTCTCGAGTCAAAAATACCTGATGGGAATCTTTACTGCTGTTTTTACTATCGGCAGTAAAATCCACACGGGAGAAGAGACAGCGGAGAAGATGCCTGTCTGCCTCAGGGCCGTGCTGATTCACGATCTGGTGGGGCGAAAAGCATAGTGGTTCACTGAGGGCACAGCAAAGCAGAGCAGTAACTGCCACAGGAAGGACAAGGTCATATATGCCATACTTAATTTTTATATCATCCATAACATGTAAACTCTGATGCTTCCGGAATCACATTGAAGAATGAAGAGCTGTCCACCATTAAGAAACAATTCTACAAAATCAAGCTGATTAGTCCACGTGCTATAAGTGTTATGAATATTCCTTCCATAAGCTGGGTCATTCCATTTCTGATCAAAGGTTTGCACACTGCAGAGCTAACTGTATGTTTACACATTTTGATTGGTAGCTGGGAATTTGGTCTTACATTCTTTCCATCCACCTGAAGCAGTAAAACGCAAATGTGCCTGAAAGAACTTCCCGCTACACAGTTGTCAATAACACCACTTCATCCCTTAAGAAATATTCCCCAGATGAAGGACCTTCACCCCAACACATCATATAGTGCATATATTTATGTAGGCATTCCTTTTTTTCCATCCATCCTTCCACCCTCCATAACCAGTACAAGGTCACGTTGAGATCAGAGGAAGCACAGGACGTGTGATGCCAGTCTGGGATAAAAAAAAAATAAAAAATACTGATAAGGTTAATACTCACGTGCTGTATTTCCTGCTGGCTAGCTCTATAGTTTTTCTTAGTTAAATTGTCCACCAAGTAGCTGATTTGAGACAAAGCCAGCGAAAGAGAGTCAAGATTCATTGCTGGTCAGGGCAGAGGCAGGTGGCCGGGTCCCATGCAAAATGACCATTATTCCACTTTAGTCATCTCAGAGATAAGGTACTGTCTCTTTATTACCCACCCCCTCCCCACAAGGCCTTAATATCGGTGTTTTTATCTTTTAATCAGTAATCCAGGCTCAGTGGGGTCCACTTCAGTGCAACACACTTGGAATCTGTATTTTAAAAAAAAAAGCAGCACAATAATTAGTCTAATATTCACAAGGGTACAGATGTCAGTGTAACACAATGCTATAATGGATCAATAAGTACACTGGCAGGCAAATCATAAAGATCTTTTAACATAGTAACCTGACTGAATAACATCTAATATTCGGTTTTACTGTTCTAATATTCCCTTAATCGCTTTCCAGATCAACTTCTTATTCTGGGATTAAATTACTGATACAGACATTTTCCAGTATATGGGTTGTGTCCTCCGAATGTTAGCTAGGGAACGCATCGAAATGCACCCCTTAAGCAGCTATTAGTTTCCCTTAAATGCATTTTTATCTTGCAGAACTGCACATCGTATATAAAAAAAAGATAGACTCCATTTCCTGCATAATTTGAAAAACTGCTATTCCAGCTAGCTCTGCGCAAACGTAACATCGTAACTCGGCCTCGAAGCCCGTCTTCCGCTCAAGTGATTCTCAAGCATTTGACGATAGCGGAAATCAAATCAATGAACTTTTTAATCACCAGCAATGTCTCCAAATTGTTGAAAATTGTGATGCGTATCGTCGGTTTCGCTCGCCTTTTGTTTGAAAGCACTTAGGCCTTACTTGCTATTGGCTCCTCTATCCACACCATCCGTGTTATCATTAGTAAACAAACGATCTGCCTCAAAGCTCAGGCTGGCCATTTAGTACAGCAAACATCCAAAAACTGCGCATGGAAAGACAGGAAACAAACAGATCTGGCTAAGCTTGTGTGGTTCAAATGTGTGGCTGTTTATACTCGCCCTACTTACGCCACAGAAAAGATTCCCCTACGTGGCTAATTAACAAGCACATTTCTCTTTATACCGAATTTAACTAAAAGAAACACCAGCATAAGTACTATACTTTTAAGTAAAGCAATTGTGGTTATAGGCATGTAGAATTCGATTACAGATTACCCTTTAATAAAAGTTCCCAGTTACCACTGAGCTTAGATTCTTAAATTTAACTGTTAGAGTCTTACATGATGGCTGTCGATACAAGTCACAGAAGCACTGGTCCGTCTCATTATTTAACCATTACGACACCCGTTGTAGTCAAATATTACTAAATCAGGTAGTCATTTTGTATTTTACCTCGACACGAACCAGAGTGGTCTGTTCGAAAGTGGAGCTAACCTAGTTGGCTACCAAACTTCTAGCATAAACGAGTACGAAAGATGATAAACTAACCTGACCATAAACGAGCAGAACTAAATATAGTTCGGAGTAAACATCTGGTTGACAAATCTGAAAGACACAAAGCTGAATTTGTGTGTCAAAAAGACATTTGTGACTAAAATATTAGGATAACTTAGCTAGGTAAGTTTAGTTTTCTATTTAACAGCAGTTAAAATAATGAATATACAGTACATCAACTTACATCGAACAATAAACGTAGCCTACCACAGCTTAAACTGACCACTATCTTGAAAGTTTTAGCTACAAAGTATGTACCCAAAATGCTCAATATACCGAATCTCAAAATACCATTTAACGAAGACTGAGCCATTCAGATAATACAGCTATCAAACCGGAGCGAGGATACAGAGTCCCGGGTTAGTTATTTCGCTGCAGTGAATTTCAAAACTGAATTATATTATTATACCACCCGTGTAGCACAAAGTTGTTTATTCATGGCAGTCTGTCAGAAGTATCTCTCGATACTGAAATAAAGCTAATTAGCGCTGATGGACACTGACGTGTATCTATTTATCTGTTTAAATACTAGCGACGTTCGTTAGCTAGCTATAAAAATAAAATAAAGAAAAATCACACCCTTTACAAATCTTAGCTTTTCAAATTGCAATACTATCGCACGTGAAATTTGGTCAGTGTTACCTTATATGGTTACATTCGACAGTCATTTCTTAAAATACTATTAAAAATAATAAATAAAACTGCTGAAATATGACGAAATATCACCCGTATCTCAGTTTCTCCAGTTTTGTCAGATTTACGGAATAAAATGGCGACGGGTGTCGCGAGCCGGCGCGCGAGCTCACAGCGCCCCTGTGGACTGGGGATACTGATACAGGCTGCGCAAAAACTCAATAAAGCTGTTCACTTGGGCAAATAAATACGCGACACCGTCACATAAAATCCAGCATACAAACAAGTTCAATTACGAATATTTTGATGAATATATGTATTTCTAAATAAAAATCTCTTAAATCATCGGATTTACCTCCTCAATTGATTGTCAAGGGCAATTGCTAAACTTGCCCTCGTGCCGGAATACATTTATATTACCACATTTTTCATCTACAAACGTACATTGTAACTTTTAGATTAAAAAGGTACATAAATGTTTGTTGCGTTTGCAGACTGTTCACAGTGAAATAATTTTGCTGTATAATGCATGTATAATTACAACCACTTTATAATTTCCTTAGGGAAAACGTCCATCCTGAGTCACCAGATTCCAGTTCGAAATATGTAACGATAACACAATAATTTCAGCTAGTCATTTTTACCAAATAATCATTGCGGGTTTAAACTGAATATATGTTTTGGTATGAATGTAACAGTAAATACTGTAAAATGCTTGGATTAAAGATCCTGATTTTGCATCACTTCTAGTAAGCAGAGTCTGTGTAGCGCAGTTGGTTAGTTGATCTGTATACCATGTTCAATAGGGTGTGGGTGTAAATCCTAAATTGTGTTAAGACCCTTAACCCAAACTGTTCCAGGGATCCTATAGCTGACCCTGTCCCCTGACCCCAATATTTTCTCACTTGCGTATCATTTAGGGCAGGGGTGGCCAATCTTATTCACAAAGGGCCGGTGTGTATGCGGGTTTTCGCTGCAACTCCCTAATTAGATTACTAATTAGAGGACTGATTGGCTGAAGAGTCCTCACACCTGGGTTTGAACAGCTGACCTACAGGTTATCCCAAATACCTGCATACACACTGGCCCTTTGCGGATAAGATTGGCCACCCCTGATTTAGGGCAAAACTGCTAAATAAATAAACGCAATGCCGCTAAGAAGTGGCAGCTGCCGCTACCTGCCTTGACGGGTGCCTGTGACGGAGTGGCAGCTGCCGCTACCTGCCTTGACGGGTGCCTGTGACGTCACTTCCTCCTGCCAGCTGCCTTTTTGGGACTGAACCCTTACTGTCAGGTCCTTTCAAACCGAATATCTTACGACCTGTCGCCTAGCACACTTACTAGCAAGCAATTCCAAATCAGGACGATTGATAAACCTGCTTATTATACAGCTCAGTTCACATAATCAAAAACAACTAACAGGGAGGTATATGACACACACGTATACAGGTGAGAGTTTTGGAGTCAGAAAACAGGGTCAGCCCGCATCCAGCACCCCTGAAGAAGTTGAAAGATTAGGTCAAGGACCCACTGTCAGATTATTTATACCACTGCTTGTACCTGTATTCTACTCCATTTACTGTGTAAGACCTAGCCAGAGTACACGTAAATCATCCACATAAATATCCACAAATGAACTGCCAAAGTGCAAAAGCCATATTTCTTACATTTGTTTAAAAAACAAATGAGAGTATGTTTATTACGGGCCAGCAGTAAAATTGTCAATAGCATACCTTAAACCTTTTAGGCACTAAACACTGATAAAATACTGGAACAGCTCCACTGCGGACAACTCGTGACGAGACTCCGAATTCGATCTAGCAGCAATACTATTTGAAGAAATTCAGAGAGCCTTCCGGAGTGGTTACAATACTTGTTTTCGTTTAAGAAGCAGTTTGATTATTTTCCCGTGACAGAAGAACAGACTCAAAATGCAATTTAATTGCCTTGTTTTCTTTTGGGACAGATTCAAATAAGCTACACCCTGACTAGAGTCTACTTTTATTTTGAGCTATAATATGTCACATGTGTGGAATAACGTGAGGTCACATGACTAAGTGGTTGCCATAGTCATGTGACCTAGAGGAGGTTAAACGGGTAGAGAAGCCGTCCTGCTGCTCATAGTCGTCTGTGTTATGAGCCCACGTTACTTTGCACTTATATTCTCGAGTTGAGTATTGTAGTTTTAGATGCTGACGCAATGTTTTTGTGCGGTTTGCTGTGGGTTTTCGCCGTTTTGTGCAGCCCTACTTCGGCATATTATGATCCCGATGAAGTAGCCAGTCTACCTGGAATGTCTTTTAAACCGAACTACAGACAGTGGTCGGGGTACCTACGAGCGAGTCCTGGGAAGTATCTTCATTACTGGTAAGCACCTTCGTTACTGGTAAACCTGGCTGAGGAACACGGAGGAAGGACCTTTAGTATTATATCTTTATATGTATGACCGTAAAGGAACTCGGGATGTTAGTTCTTACAGCTGTTCCTTGATAACTTTCAAGAGACGTATTTTAACAACATTTAAAAAGAAACCGGAAATATTATGCCTGTTTCGGATAGAGGTGCGCTACTACCTTGAATGAACCGTGATATATGATTCTATTATCTAGTAATAAGTGTTTTTGGGAAAACATACCTTTACCTAAAAAGTGTTTGAATGGTTAGACTATAGATTTCGGAAATGTTTCACGCGTTGAAGCTTTTGCTGTTAGTATAATTGGAAAAGTATTTCTTTTGCCTATGTAATGTACAGTATGCAAGTAACGTGTTGCATTAATGCTTTGAGAATCACGGTTCAGCTGTAGGGGGTCATCAGTGCCCATAAAGGCTAATCAGTAACATCTATAATTCTGAGCTTATCTGAATGTAGATTTTACTATAGCAACAGAACACTACCCAGGAAACTTGGTATGCTTCCGTGTGCTTCGCTATATGTGGCTGTACAACCTCCGTGGCCGTTTGTTTCTTTTTTGATAGGTTTGTGACATCTCAGAATGACCCACCGAAAGACCCATTGGTTCTCTGGCTCAATGGCGGGCCAGGCTGCAGCTCTCTGGATGGCTTTCTCTCGGAAAATGGACCTTTTCATGTTAGTATGCAAACTACGTGGACCTGTAAGACAGATGTATTGTATATGGTTCCACGGGGAAAAGGGTTGTAGATTCTTCCATGATGAACATGTTTTTTTTTTTTTTTTTTTGCTTTCCTATATATAGGTAAATGATGATGGGGCCACTCTTTATGAGAATGAGTTTAGCTGGAATAAAATCGCCAACGTGCTGTACCTGGAGTCACCAGCAGGGGTGGGCTATTCGTATTCAGATGACCAGCAGTATGAGACTGATGATGACCAGGTGGGTCTCCCAAAAGCATCAGTAGTGATGGCATCAAAATGTAAAAAAATCAGTGGCGATTTTGCTCGTACAAGTTTTGAAAACTGAAAATATTGATTCCCAGGCCAAATAGCTTTTCTCTAAACTGCTGGGGTCAGAAAGTGTAAGCTTTTCTTTCTCAAGGGTGTCATTCTACAACAAATCTTTATAGACTACAGAAACCTTTTAATTTGGATTAGACTGCAAGAAAGGCTGTGTTGATGTGTGGGAGCAGGCTGGGATCTGATGTAGTCCTGTCCAATCTTTGTAATGACAGGTGGCTGACAACAACTACCTTGCGCTTCAAAGTTTCTTCAGCAAATTTCCCAGCTTTACCCAGAATGAGTTCTTCATTTTTGGGGAGAGCTACGGTGGAATTTATGCACCCACACTGAGTCTTAGGGTGGCAACCGGGGGATCTTTCAAAACAAACTTTAAGGTAATGCATATTCCCATGGGAGCACTGCAATAAGCATCCCACTCTCTGGACGGCGCTTATAACTTTCTTTTTAAAAAATTTTCATGTTAAACAGGGTTTCGCTGTTGGAAATGGCATCACTAGCTTTGAGATCAACGATCAGTCTCTCATCTACTTTGGAAACTTCCATGGCCTATTTGGAAATGAGTAAGCTAAATGTCAGTCAACTTTGATATTGTGCACATGCACCATGAAATGAGGTGGTTGCCTCAACCAACATAGACAGTGCAGTAGAATACATTAACATAACAAATATTTATAGTTCAACAATTAGTTTCCTGTGTAAAATGCAAGGGTCATGTATACACTTCAAATTGGTAGCTTTGGTTAAAATTTAAATGAGTGATTTTTCAAGAACTGTCAAATGTAGTCAAAACTATATTAGGATGGGTGGGCCTGAATTATACAAGGCCTGCAGCAAAAAGTGAGGCTGTAATGGTGTGAACTGTGCGCTTTCCGTCTTAGATTGTGGGCAGATCTGTACAGCAACTGCTGTGAGAACAACATCTGCAACTTCTACAACAACAGCAGTCCAGCGTGCTCCATAGCGGTGAGACACAGGCTTCCTTTGACAGTTTCTCATTGATTGGAGATCAATATTTCATGGGGCAGCGTGTGGCTCAGTGACTTAGAACGCTGTCCCTGTGTTTGCAAGGTCGCTGGTTCAAATCACAGCATTGGCAGAGTGATGTCACTGTTGGGTCCTTGAGCAAGGCCCTTAATCCCTAGTTGCTCCAGGGACTGACTGACCCTGCTTTCTTAAAAAAGGAGTGTAAAATAGTTTTTAAGATGTATAATAGGGTTAGCCAGTGTTTCTTAAATTAGGAATTACAAGTCAATTTGCATAACCAAGCAAAAGTCTGGGATGTATGTTGTATGTAAAGTGCTATCATTAAAGTTCACCATGCTGAATCATGAAACAGTGGTTTCTCTTCTGAATATTTTGGATGTTTTGGATATTGGTCCACAGAAGTACAAGGCAGTCTTGAAAATCATTGTACCCATTTATGCTGTTTTTTTTTTTTTTTATTTATTTTTTATTTTGGCATTCACTTGAAATGACATTTCACCTGAAATTCAAAGAACTTTTCCTCAGTTTTAAAGCAAACAAAATTGATTTAGCAATTCTAGCACGATGAAATTACACTGAAGTGAAATGTGTTGCTAATTGTGATTCATTTTATATGTACGCGTATTGCATTCTGTTCAGCATTTCAAGCCCAGCCTCGTGGCAAAATTTTGAATACAAATGTGTATATATGCATGAATGAACTGTTCCCATCCAGAATTCAACACAGCACACTTTCCTGTTGAATTGGCTAATTACCAGGGGGGTATTTTCCGTACATCGCTTAAATCATCCGAGATCAGATGCCTCATGTTGGATGAGTTAATGCCGGTGACTATTAGAATTTATGCAAACAGTGCTCACAGAAAGTTTTGGGACACTTGCTTAATTCAGTAAAAATTTTGCAACTTTATTGGCTTTATAACGAAAATCATTCTTTTATTTTGTTTACAATATATATCACATTACAAACAGCCAGTATTTTAAGTAAAACACATTTCACATGGTAATTGAAAGAGTGGTTCTAAGTTAAAAAGTTAATTGCCAAAGGGTTTCATTGGGTGCCTTTATTGAGTAACACCTTTGCAATAACAAATTCAGTCAGTGGACTTCTGTTATGAAATCAATAAATATGCAACATTTTATAGAATTAAGCAAGCGTCCCGAGACCTAATATGAGGGGTGTGTGTGTGTGTGTGTAGGTTTATGTATGTACATATGTATGTGTTTTATCTGTGATGCAGTCACATGGACATGTACACTCGGTTGCACAGATGCAACACTTCCTTTCTTTTGTGCTATCTGCTGGTTCCAGGTGTCCCAGGCCTTCAACATCGTGTACAGCTCCGGCCTGAACGTCTACGCTCTGTATCTGGACTGTGCCGGGGGTGCTGGCTCACGACGCCCATTCCATCATGCCATGCGGCACCACTTCAGGGCCTACAGGAAGCACTGGCAGACCAACCAGGTTGGAGGCACGGCAGTAGCTGCCTCTGCTGACGAATTATGTTGGAATACACAGGAATCGCTGAAGAAGAGCTGATGTCGTGGTAAAAATAGCCCCTGCATGAACCTTCCTCTTGCTCCGGTTGCAGCTGGCCGCCGTGGGGGCCTCGGTGGGGGGGGGGACCGGAGAGGTGCCCCCCTGCATCAACAGCACAGCTCAAACTAACTGGCTGAACCGCGGTGATGTGCGGAAGGCGCTGCACATCCCAGACATCCTGCCTGCCTGGGACATCTGCAGGTAATGGCACCACCAGAGGGTCTGGCAAAAACCAGTTCTCTCATGCATCACTAGGAATCAGATCATCCAGACCATCCCATCACCTGTAAACATCTCCTTTCCCACTTTTCAGGGCTCTAATCATTTTCATTCCCTCTATAAACATTTTCAGGTTTTAGGGGACACATTGTATTCCTGATTACTGATTAGATGCAAATCACTCTACTTCAATATTTATTTGAAGCATGCTATTGATCAAGTCGAAATTCATCTCCTTGCCTCTGCCCTCTGTCCTGCAGCGATGTGGTGGGAGGCCACTACCACACGAAGTACGAGACCATGCGGGACATCTACCTGAAGCTTCTGGGCCTGGGACTAAGGGTGCTGGTGTACAACGGGGATACAGATATGGCCTGCAACTTCCTGGGCTGCCAGTGGTTCGTGGAGGCACTCAACCAGAAGGTCAGGATGTTGGAATGGATAGTGATTTTGGCTGGAGAGTAGGACAGGGAGAAGGGGGGAGGCAAACTGTCAGAATGAGGAGGAGGCAGCGCGGGGAAGAACGTCAAGATGAAGTAGCGTGGTGGTGCAATGAGCAAAAGTGCAGGAGAGCGGAGAAAAGTGTTGATTGCAAGAAGGAATGCTGGGTTTGGCGTTTCAGCCTTTTGAGTCTGAAAGCTGTCCTACTTGTTACAAGTGATGATTGTCTGTTTGATATGTGTAAGGAAGTGCAGAAAATGTTAAACAAGGAAGCAGAAGATTGAGGATGTGAGATGGTTCAGCTTGTATGGTGATTGCAAGTATTAGTACAGTTGGTGCTATTGAGTGTGGAAAGGTATCTACTGGGCATTTAGTAATGGAGATTTGGTCTTCCTAAGGACTCTTTCTTCTTCTTTCCACATGCAGGAAACCACACCCTACCAGCAGTGGCTGTTTGATAACCAAGTCGCTGGGTTTTACCAGCAGTTTGGCAACATTACTTTCCTGACTGTCAAGGTGAGTGGCAAACGTGAAATCTCTGTGACATGATATTGGGTCCCATTTCTTCCCCATTTTGTTTTCCTGTTATCCTTTGATCCTATGGTCTGCCTTTTTCAGTATCTCTCAGTATCTTTTTTTCCACTCACATTTTTGTGATGTAGTAATACTTGCTTTGTGTAAGGTTTCATAACTGTCTTTTTCCCCTTTGTCACTCCTCATTCCACCAACAGGGGGCAGGGCACATGGTCCCACAGTGGGCTCCGGGACCCGCCTACCACATGTTCCAGTCATTCCTGTCTAATGGCTCCTATTGAGCAGATGTTTCCCATTTTCTCCTGCACCATTACAAAGGTTATCCCTGTGAAAATATTAATCTGTGATTCTCCCTGATTGATGCCTTGTATCTATGCAATGAGGTTTCTTGTTAAAGGTGATCCTTAGAATCTACTGTGTTTATTACATCCTTGCCATCCTTTTTGCAATTATGAAAGCGGGTCAGTCAGTGAATAAGTGGGATTATTTTTTTTTAATCGCTGAAGCCAAAAATCAAGTTCTTTTACTGTTTTATGACATTACAGGGATTTGTAAAGTTCTAACACCATGAATTGTGATCTACTTTAAACTGGTTAAAAGTCATTGTCATTAGAAAATATTTCTATACAGTTTTTGCATGGATCGATTCTTCCCAAAAAAAAAAAAAAATGGAGAATTCTGTAATATTCTCTGTAAAATCATTACACCAAAAGGTACAGCCTTAAAACAATTGGGGTTCCTGCAGACAGTTTAATTTGGCTGTCTCAAGAAAACTGTCATAAAACTATATACACTGTGCATGTTTAAGTCTGGTATTCCCAAACCCATATCCTAGGGCAGGGCTGGCCAATCTTATCCAGAAAGGGCCGCTGTGTATGCAGGTTTTTGTTGCAGTTCCTAATTAGATTACTACTAGATTATTAGAGGACTGATGGGCTGAAGAGTCCCCACACCTGGGTTTGAACAGCTTCCCTAGAGGTTATCCCAAAAAGCTGCAAACACACTGGCTCTTTGCAGATAAGATGCCCACCCCTGTCCTAGGGGGAGTAAATCCAGGGTCCGCATGATCCCAAGTCACCCGTTATTGTTTATAATGGCAAGTATGGCTCTCCGGTCAAACACCAAGCTCACGATGACAATTGAGTCCTTTGGATTTTTTTTTCCTGTTGGATGACTCTGGCAATAGTTGGGTGGGAGAAAACAGTAGTTTGACAAACTTGCATCTCATTAGCAGAGTGCACTTGTGAAGAAATGAGAAAAACGCTGGCGTTACGATGTGTAGTTTGTATGTTGGCTTTATCTGATGTGACATGACACCTGGGCGACCACTTACCCTGGAGCTTCCAACCATGCGGTGAAAGGGAACCGTGTCATGGGGGAATGCTGTCAAAACTGTAGATTTATTAAAAAGGGACTTTTTTCTGAATTAAGCACCATCTTTATACCGTGACTGAAGCTCTTGATCGAGGGTAGGGGGTGGGCTCTCTACTTGCAAAAAAAATAATGTTTAATGCATATGAGTCATTTTATTTTTTTAAATAAATGCTTTCTCAACCATGCATGTCTTAGGTTACAGTACGTCTATCTTGAAATGTGATCTATGATGTTGAACATAAAAAAACTTGGATGATCTTGAACACAGGATTGGTCATACGGTCACTGTCCTTGACAGTTCTCTCATTGATATTAATTTTTATAACGAGTTGAGAAACAAAGGAAAAAGCCCAGACACTTGCGCATACTTCATTACCTTTAATAATGCTATTATGATTTTTATGTATTACATATATGATTTGAGATTTATTTAAAATATGCTTTTACAGTACATATTCACAGAATGACAGGATGAGTGTTACATTTAATACGAATCGGAGAGGTAATTCATGAACATCTGGAGAGCTGGCCCTGGCTTGTACTGAGGAACCATGTGACCAGAACCCTGTACAACCACAGGAAGGACATCCATCAGTCACATTCAATAAGTAACTATAGAATATCACTATGAGTGAGCTGTGCACAAATCATAATTAGTTATTGTATTGCCAACAGCTTATACATTACACATCACTTATGCATTTGTATTTCAGTTCCAAACCTCAAAATGTCCAGAATGTTGTAGGGTAAGCCATATTTCCTGCACAAATGATTCTGCCACAGGACTGCCTATGACCGTGCGCCCCCATCTCTAACCCTACCTTGACTGTGAGGAAGGTGATCTTTTCATACTGTGCCACATATCCAGCTATCTGGTTGTTGTAGAACCAGGGACGGTATGGCTTCACCAGCTGTAAGATGTATATAAATGGGTAGGTTTATCAGAACGACGACAGCATATCTTAAAGGAACCAGTAACTATGGATGCCCATGCCAGTGTTTGAGAGATGGACTACAACAGACCGTACCTTCTGGTTGAGACCCTCCACAAACCACTTGCTACCGAGGAAGTTGCAGGCCATGTCAACATCACCATTGTACACCAGAATCTTTAGGTCCTTCTGAAGCAGGTACTCGTAGAAGGGAGTCATATCCATGTAGACCCGCTGGTAGAGGTCACCAACTGTGGAGCTTCAGGGTAGACACAGTGCTCTCACAACAATTTCAAAGCTCTGGAGAACCTTGCCTATATTGCTACACCAGGGGTCTCCAACTCCCGTCCTGGACTATTCAGTATGTTTTCTATCCTCCTTGGCTTCAGATGAGCCACACCTCTTCCTGGTATTGTGGTTCTTCCAGGTGTGGCTCATCAGAAGCCAGGTAGGACAGAAAACTTACTGGACAGTAGCTCTCTAGGAACAGGTGCAGGCCGCTGCTCTACAGAGTACAACAAAAAGGTACAGCCCTGGTACAGTTTTATTCCTTAAGGTACAAACAACATTAATGTACCCCCAATGGTGCCAAAATGTCCAGTTCTGTACCTTACAGTAGACTAAAAAGTGCATTTACCTACAGGTAGGGTACACTTGGCAGACCCTTGCAGGTACAAATAATTATAACCTCTAAGTTACCGTTTGGTACTTTTTTCTGCCGCCGTATAAGCAGCCATTGAAAGCAGGTGGATCATTTGTTACCTGCAGAGCTCCCAGGACTGCACACTGCTGGGGATGTGCAGGGCAGTGCGCACACTGGGTGTGTTCAGCCAGTAGTATATAGCTGTAGCATTGATGCACATGGGGACGCCTGGGATAGATGCCATCGTCTGCTGGTAGGGGGAGCAATTGAGCTAGGTTGATATTCAGTAGTACATAACCACCAAGTTCTCAGAATCGCTCTCAGTCCTAAACGCCTACATCCATCCAAATGGCGTTGGATAAGACTCCTGTGCTGTTGCGTATGGATTCACCATTCCTGTTTCATACAGGCGCTAATTATGCATATAACACCTGTTCATTTACCTAACTGGTCATTATGCAGCTTGTCAGTTCTTTTATTGTATGTTTTCCGGAAAAAAATCACCTGCTAAGTCGATGTACAGGAGAGTAATGATATCAATAATAACTGTTATAACAGTGAATTTAATATCTACATTAACCCTAATAGTCTTTTACAATGGCAGCAATAAGTCTGGGAGCATTAAACACTTACCGGGGCTTTGAACGTGAATCTGTACTGGCGGAAGAGATTAGATGTGTCTGAAATGTACCGGCTAGTGGGCACCCCACCGTAACACTGATCGTACAGGTTGTAGATGTTCAGCCCAATGTTTTCAACCTCATAGAGGGCATCGAATACCTGAGGGAACCCAGACTTTCACTGTCAGTAAACGGTATACACAGTATAAAAAAAAAGATGTTCCTTCTGATTGCTCCGTTTGAACGTATTGCACATGTGCAACTAAAACATTACTCGAGTAGATATGTTACAACACACTATGTAATAACTTGACAGTGTCAATGAAGACATCCATATTGATTGTTTATTACTGTACATAATGCACAGTGTTATATTTTCATCATTTAATAAGTGCAATTCATGCATTTTGTAATGATAATTTATTTAGAAATTTATTATATGTGGCGTTCAATCTGTCTATTACAAAACGCGGGTGCTATTACATAATGAAGTGAAAATTTGTTAGATTTTGTCGAGTTATTACTTAATGTGGTATTACTGAAGTACATAATGCGTTGTAACAAGATAGCATTAAATTTCCACACAATTAAGCAGAGCCTAGTCAAGTTGAAAGCATAGATAAAAGAAAAACTGCGGACTCACTGAGTTCTGACAGGAGGTGTCGCTGTTGTTATAGAAGTTGCAGGAGACGCTGTTACAGCAGTACTGGTTTAAAGCGGTCCACAGCCTGGGCACACATAACCAGAGAGAACACCCATTCAGCGTGGGAAGGCACTGACCAAAGCAGCCGAACACGGTTATAACCGCTGCTGCTCCTCAGAAGAGCTAAGCTCCCGTTCACAACACGTGTAGCATAAAAACGTGTAGCTGCAGTGTTGACAGCGGGGTAAGTTTTGTGTAACATCGTAGTAAGTTTAACATAATGCATCTAGGAGGGACTTACTCTTCACTTAGGAGGCCGTGGTAATATGCGAAATATATGAGCGACTGGTCATTGAGAGCGTAGCTGGACATGCCGTTGCCCACTGCAAATCCCTGTTGAGGTTAAACCCTGTTACTCCTGTCTCACCTGGCATCCACACCGCCACTGTCAGAGGTCTTTGGAATACTATTCTTTGTTATTATCAACTTAATCGTTCTCTTAAGCCGCCGACTTCGATTAATCGTCAAGTAGGTCAATTCTGAAATACTCGAAGAGCTACTTATTTAATGCATTTTTACGTGGCATTTCGCGTAGTCACCTTGAAGTTGATTTTGGCAGTGCCACTAGCGATGAGCTTAGATAGAGAAGGTCCGTAAACTCCGCCGTAACTCTCTGCGAACACGTAGAAGTCATTTCTGACAAAAGAGGGGAACCTGACGAAGAACTGCTGAAGAGCCTGGTAGTTGTCCTCAGCCACCTAAGAAAAATTATAACATAATGGGAACTGATAAAAATAAGAAATGGTTTTGTGTAATTGAAATGGAATATATATATATTACACACTACCTGAGGGTCACCAATCTGGTAGTTTCCACTGGTGGAGTAGGAGAATCCCACCCCCGCTGGGGAGTCCAGGTACAGCACATTGGCTTGCTTGTTCCAGCTGTAGGGATTAATGTACACCTTGCCATCGTCCTTCAGCTATGAAGGACAAGATAACAGAAAGATGAAAAAAAGAACAAAAAGAGAACTGGAATTTAGAAAAACAAGGAACTCTGATTCTGTTATGTTCTGATTCAGGATTGTCTTCCAGCTTGGCTTCAATGTAACCTGATATATAGAGCAATGAACAAATTCTGTTGATAAACAATAGACATTGATTCATCCTCCAGCCCCAAATAAATTAATAAGCACACAATAATTTTAGCAGTATTACGATAATTTGGTCGAAAAGTATGTGATTTTGCTACCAGTTTTAGTTTTCTGTTGGGGCTCTTCAAATCACAGTCCTCAAGGTCCGAGACCTTCTGATTTTCCAGCCTTTACCTGTGAGCCAGGTGTGAAGCCTCTGGCCAATCAGAATCAGTAATTATTAAACTAACTACCTGGGAGATCTGAAAACAAGGCCTGGATTTGGAATGGAGGTCCAGAGTTGAAGGGCCCTGTTTTATGTACAGACACTTCTCATTTGCACATGTCCACAAGGACCAGGCTTGAAATTCTGGGTCCAGATGACAAAAGATCATCTCAAACCCCCTTATGTAAAAAGTCTGACCATCTCTGCGGGCCTGTGCTGCAGCCCCCTGTCTACATCTGGGCCCCCTGCATCATTCACAGTTTCCATCGCATTCACATGTCCCCGCAGATGTAGGCCACTCACATGGAAAGGGCCGTTCTCTGCCAGCAAGCCCTCCATGGAGCTGCACCCTGGGCCCCCATTCAGCCACAGCACCAGGGGGTCTGTTGATGGGCTATGTTGGGACTCCACAAACCTACAGGAAAGCCCCAAGCAGACATCACACACACTTTTTTTTTTTTTGTCACATCCAACACAGTTTGCTGTGTTTTCACCATCCAGATTTCTGTTGTTTAACATATTTTCTAATTTAAAAATAACACAGATGTTTATTAATCTATTCAATGACACTCAACACTGCCTTCCATCATCCACTGATACTAGCACCTCATTTACTGATGCAGCTCTTTGCTGGAGCTTCTCATGGGAATTCGTGGCCTTCTTACCAATAGTGGAAGTATTTCCCAGGACCAGCCTGAAGGTAGCCGGAATAGTGTTTGAAGTTTGGGCTCTCTGTCAGCCCGGGCAGGGAGGTGACCAGATCGACGTGATCCTGGGCAAGGCATTTCACGAAGAAGACGGCAGAGAGCAGGACGAGGTGCTGGAGCATCTTGGCTGTATTCTGTGTGCTCTTTACCTTGCATGTCCGAGCCCGCGACCGCACATGAGATTTATAGCCATCTTATCAGCAACAGCCGAAATAAATGATAATTAATCAGCCCAAGGGTTGTACACGTGTTTCAACAGTTTGGGACAGCCACTCTTGTGGAAGAGGAGGATTTCAGGTCTCCTTAATATTAAAAGTAATAATAATAAAGATGACTTCATAAACCACACTCCTTGTCAGCTCATGATCATGACAGGTTACACATGCGGGCTGTCTTCACATTGATATCTTGGTTCTTTTCTTGTGTCATTCAGAAGGGCCATATAATGTTATTCTGGTGACCCCTGTTTTTGTTTGAATTTGCCTTTTTATGTTATCTGATCGTTCTCTCATTGTAAAGGTGGTACAGATGCAATCAGTTATAGGTGCTATTTGACTAAGGTATAGAGGTCTTTCCATTAAAAAACAAAGTAAATATGTTGCACGTGATAGTGATTTCCTGGAAATTCATATGAAGCATTTGCCCTGTTGCGGGTAGAATGAGATTAAGCCTTCAGTCCTTTGACTTTGAAATACCTATTAATCTTCTGGGAGACATGGTGGGTGAGTGGGTGACATGGCCCCCACCTCCAGAGTGTGGGCACTGGATGTTGTCCATGTAATGAGGGTCTCATCCTACAGTCAGTGATTTTGGTCACTGCAGGACTGGCTCTACCTTTTCAGGGGCCCTAGGCAAAGTTGTACTTGAGAGGTTTCCGCACCAAGAAAACTGATGAACATTTCGCTTCCACCACAACCGCGACCCTAGACAACTGCACATTCTGCCAACAGCTAGAGCCGGCCATGTTTCTGCCTGCGCATAAACATTTTCATTTGATGTACAGTGGTACCTCAGAACTCAGGTTCGAATCCTAAAAAGTTCGAGTTCTGATCGAATTTTCCCCATAAGAAATAATGGAAAACCAATTAATTGGTTCCCGGGCCCAAAAAATTACACCTAAATGTGTTTCTTTTTTTAGCATTTAAACACAAAATGAACAAGATAAAACAAGAGGAGCATATACTAAACACATCTAAGCACATTTATCAAAACAGTAATTTGTAAAGTAAGAAAATAAATGTATCCAAACAATGTGTAAAGTTAAAAACACTGTGCACCAACACTGTACGACGTGCGTAACATTTTTTTCTTAATGGCTTCCAAAACAATAAAGAATTTACCCCAACATTACCCCAAGCCATGCCCCAACACTGTGGTAACACTATGCCATGCGGTCCATTGTTTATCTTCATTATTACTTTGTATTCGTTAATTTGTTCGTAAATCGCAAACTTTTAGGTTGTAACATTTGTACAACTACTGCGTAACTTTTTGGTGAGCAATGGCTACCGAAATGATATAAAGTACAGTGTATTACCTGATATTTTCAATAAAAAAAAGCACTATCACAGCGAATGTGAGGCTGAGACTGAAGCGTTACCCTTTGTTTCCGCTGAGAGACGTGCCACGCGACTCATTTCCCCGCGTGTACAAGTTATCTTAGGTCAGCGTTCACGGTTCGATCGAGTTCTAGGTCATTTTTTTTCCGAACTGGTTGGTTCAACTTTTAAGAAATTTGAATTCTAATGAGTTTGAGTACTGAGGTACCACTGTATATGATTTTATTATCTTTTTAAATTCTTTAATTTTGTGACATTATTCTTATTTTTAAATTACATATATGAATATATATAATTTTCCTTTCTTCTTCATGACTGTCTAGGTCCCATTGTGCTAATCAGTCCCCAGGCAGCTGCAGAGTTTGCCTATATGTCTGGATCTGGCCCTGCATCCCTGTCAGACAGTCCTGGACCTGAGTGTACCCCTGCTTTGTGCCCTCTGTTGCCTGGGGTCAGCTGTAGATTACCAGAGTGACCCTTTACTAGATACTTTTTGTTAGATGACAATAGATTAGTTAATTTGCAAATATGTAATTGCCCTCTGATTTGTTTCATAGTTTCGTACCTTTATGTCTGGATTAAAAAAGCAACACTGGTCGGTTCACTTATCCAAATGCTGTTAATTTTTATCTTGAATAAGTGCTAAATCAAATTGTATCACACTTCTACTGGAAAAAAAAAAACACTCGGTGGCATGATTATTCCATAGTGAACATGGCTAGTATTTAACTTCACTAAGTATAATTGGAAATACAATAGCTTATTGTTCCGTAGGCTAGAGGTATGCCCCTCTCGTGTCAGTCATGATATGAAAATAATAATCTAAAAAATGGTTCACTAGCAAAACAGGAAACGATTCAGCACAAGGACCATTGCTAAAACAAATGCTTCACAAATCCCTTGAACTTCTCAGAAAGTCGAGGCATTATTGAAACATACGATAACTGTGATTGCTGAGCCATTGTTATATATATGCCCACGTATCATTATGATTGCTGTACCATTGTTATATATGCATATTTTCGCGTTCCCTGATAACTGTGAGAGGAAAATAAGTGTGTTATCCTTAGTAAGCAATCTTGGTAAAACAGTCCTATTCCAAGAATATAATGTTTACATCCCAAAACAGTCATGGGTAAACTGATGAAATACAGCAATAGTACTAAGTGCCATGTGTGTCTGCATTTATAAATGATTGTAATTCTGTAACAGAACAATAAATCACTATCAAACTGTTCATTAGGCCTGTTCCTTTATTGGGCCATACAAATACAATCAACATTTTGAAAATGATTCCAGTAACACATGTGTAACCACACGCTGATACTGAACAAACCATGAAAGTACAAAAATCATGAATGCCTTATTATTGTCCTCACCCAGGTGAGGTGAGGTCAGGTTGGGAAGCATGCACTGGTACACCGTGTTGCTGCACCCACCACACGACCTCCCAGGCTGACACAGGGTCCAGTCCCACCCTCCAGAAATGGCCATTTGTGTGCCGCGGCCAGGTGTTACGTGGGCGTCCCCTTGGCCTGGTCCAGCCGCTTGGGTCCTCAGCAACGACGATCCTGTGAGTCGGGTCACACTCAGGAAAACGCGCCACATGGCCATAGTGCCATAACTGACGCTCCCTCAAAATGCAATAAATGTGTCTCAGTTGGGACTCCCAAGCAACCGCTTGTTCAACACAAAGTCAAACCAGCGGTAACCAAGGATTCTCCAAAGAGACAGAGTAGCAAAGGAGTCCAGTCTTCGTCTCAGCTCATTTGATAATGTCTATGTCTCACAGCCGTACAGCAAGACAGGGAGCACCAGGACTCTAAAGCCTTGGACCTTCATCCTCTCACAAAGATATCAGGAGTGCCACACACCCCTTTCCAGTGACCTCATGACCCCCCCCATGCTCTCCCAATCCATCTATTGACTTCATAGGAAGAGTCACCAGAGATATAAATGTCGCTGTCGAGGTAAGTAAACCTCTCAACATGGTCGACATTCTCTCTGCAGACAGACACACTGCTGATGGCAGTGCCCAAGAGGTCATTAAAAGCTAGGATCTTGGTTTCCATCCAGGACACTCGCAAGCCCAGACACTGACACTCCTTGCTCAGTCTCTCGACAGCCCCGATCAGAACCTCCATCGACACCGCGAAGATGACAGCATCGTCGGCAAAGTCAATTTCAGTTAATCTTTCATCACCAATAGATGCCCCACAGCCAGTGAACCCTACAACCCTGCCCAACTCCCAGTCCATGCAAGCATTGAACAGAGTATGAACAAGACGACGCCCCTGATGAACCCCAGAGATCCGCTGGGAAGAACGCAGAGGTTCAGCCTCCACTCTGCCCAGCACTCACATGTATTATATTCAAGCACGATCCATGGTACCTTTTAAGATACATTACTTTTCCTGAAACCTCTGTTGTGCTCATTAAGGAGACCAGTCTTCTCGCAGTTGAACGATGTAGGGCAGAAATATTGCAGTGAAACAATTTAACTGGTTTCATATTAAGAATTACACTGAATTGCAAGATTTATCCAACAGATGTGTCAGTTTTGGGTAGAATCTTTGGGTGGACTACACAAGGTACCATAAGTTCGGGAATCTTACTCGAAATTGTGACACTTAAGACTTGGTTTAAGCGAAATGATCCAGGAATGCCAAACACCAGCAACAATGAAGGCAAGAAAGCTAAACTCTTAGTAAAAAAAAAAATGTAAGGAATATAATTACATTCATGGCCCCAAAACAGGATTTACTTAAATTCCTAATTATTTTTATTTTTGTAAATCTGGAACCTTAAAACGTATTAATAAAATCCCTTTTTATTACTTAGCCCAAACGCAAGAGCTGCCAATTATCACCTGATCAAAATCTCTCAACAGAAAACACGTTGACACATTGTCTTTAAATTCATAACGGTATACTTATAGGAAACGGAAGGTGTATCTATAATATGCATCAGTTAATATGATCCTTGATGCTCTGGCAACAACAAACTGAGGACGCATTTCTGACTTAGGTTACATTGCAGTCTGATTCTAACTTGCTTATTACAAAATGAACAGTCTTTGATCTCATGATCATAGCACCATGCCCTGCATGTGCGGCACACTCACGCCCCATGCTGGCGGTAGTGAAAACACTCTGGTTACTCCAGCTAGACTGCACCTAAGGTCAAAATGACTTAATGCCAACTCTATAACCCCTGAGGAAAACCGCAGGCCTGCCCGAGCATTAGGTGGTAACATGTAAACATGAAAAACAAGCTCAGATACTAAGTAGATCAAATAATTTATGAATACTTAATGAGGTCATTTCTGATCCAAAAAACAATATATAAATTATATTTCATTCTCTTCACTGCCATGAAGATCTGTGGTCATTACAGCTCCAGTGTGGGAAGCCTTTTCAAAACAATCAAGTCAATTCTCTTTCAAGAGGACAGCATAATTTGATGCATGACTATAACATATATCTTGTGCTCTTTGGGCAGACTGAGCCAATTTCTGGCCCCAAGAATCCCGACAGATAGTAAACACCCACTGACAGGAAGTGACATCATCAGGATTAGCTGCTGTAGTAACATCAGTCCTGTTCTGAATTTGCTTCTTTCTAGGGTAGTGGTCAGGCAGAATGTGGGAGGGGCCATCCATGAAGCGCAGAAAGGTCGGGGGGTTCAAGGAAGGCTCACAGCTGGTGGGGGGGGGGGGGGTCTCAGAGGCAGATGTGTGACATATAAGACTGTATGAGTGTATGGGCGGCTTCTTTGACTCTGTCTAGTTGCTGCCAGAGTGGTGGATGAGGTCTCGAAAGATGGCATTAGTGGTTGTCTGGCCAAAGATGAAAGCACCGACAGTGACCATGAAGATACCGTAAGACACCATGGCCCACCAGCTGTGGAAAACACAAGCACTCATCTTAGAGGTGGGAGACAAGAGAGATGCTTCAGTCTGTACCATTACCATTTACCATATGACAGGGTCTCACACACACATAGACGTTGGTCTTATTAGTTGTTTGGATTTTTAATAGGCAGTTTGCTAAGGTGATCTAAGATTAATGCTTGAAAAGTCTCAAAATCCAGGAAAACCTGTTTAGATTAAAGCAGTCATGTGGACGGTTGAGCTCACCTTGCTGGTTTAACCTCTTGAATCTCGGATAGCTTAGCCTGGATCAGACACAAGCCTGAAAAAAATGCATTAACGATCACAGACAGTCACGCCATCTGGTGTTAAATATGAACTAGAATTATAAACTACATGTAAGAATAAAAGAAGGGTGTGATAAGGCAAATGGTGCCCATGTACCAGGGAAGACGAAGATGAAGCAGGCAGCCAGGCCTCCAATGAGGGAAATGACACGACCAATGTCAGGGATGAAGAGGGCCAAGAGCAGGGTGAGGCAGAACCAGAGAACGGTCTGTACCACCCGGCGACGTCGCTCCCTCACCACGTCCACCTCCATGGACTCGCCGCGGAACCGGAGCCACAGGCCCTCCAGCACCGCCCTGCACGTCAGGTAAGGAGGCGACACTTAACAGTCAAATAGCAGTCTGTTGTGAGTGGGTGTCCCCAATGGCCCTCTGTTGGCCACAGACAGTCACTGCACCAAATATTAAATAGACACGTTCCTTTTTTGGGAGATGCTGAAGCAGCATGTTCTGCTAACCAGCCAGCTAGATACGATCTTTTCACCTCTACTCACTCTTTATTTAATTTTTGAAACATCTAGGGAGGGGATCACTTTTTGAGGGGGAGGGGGTCCCAAAAACGACAAACCCGCCCCCAGGTGTCCCCATCCGAGGTGTGCCACTCACAGAAAGGCACAGACGTACACCTGACCCTGAAGAGGTACCGCCAAATTTCCCTTACGCCTGACCCTAACGCACCCTTTAGAAACCAGAGCGCCGTACCTGCCGCAGAAGTGCAGGATGGGATACGACGTGACGACGCAGATGACGATGAAGAACCTGGCCACAGCCACGGCGATGTCGTTGGATGGGTAGGACATCAGCACGTCCTGGCTGACGCTGGAGCCAAAGGACAGGAAGCCACAGACTCCTGGGAGAAAAGGCAGATTCACTGCTTTGAAGTGAAAGTACTGCAACAGAGAAACTACATGACACACATTACGGATCTAATAGGGGGCGTAGTAATCTCCGGGAGAAATCATGTGCTGTCTGCCAAAATTTGTTTACCATCATCATTAATAATAATTAAAAAATTATAATTAATAATAATTTGTGTATTGTCATAGCTAGGACTACAAAACACTATTACAATAACAAAGAACTACAAAATGCCGCCATTAATGCTGTCTGTCTGCTCAGGGTGTTGTGAAATTGTGATGTCAATTTCACTCGAACGTGAACTCCAACTCCTAGCTGAAAGTGAGTGTAGGAAGCTTGTTAACTACTTCTCACATCCTGCTCTGAGGTAGGACAAATTCATATCCTAGTGAGACTCTTAGCGAGATTCCTAGAATTGATTCTGAGAAACTTCATAAATACGGGCACTGCTCTGACCTGCTAGGAGAAGGGAGTTGAAGATGGGTGTATGGATTTACTGATTATGTCTACATATCTTAAGTCTTCTGCATGAAGGGGAAATACTTCAACTTTGATGATGAAATCCACAGGACTAATGATATCTCTAGTTCAGACGTGACTCTCAGAGCTCTGCACATGACCCTCTTTCGTCTTGTAAATGAAAGGGTGGATGGCACGAGTACATGAGGCCGCCCGCACCTGTGCCAGTGTAGACAAAGAGGCAGATGACCATCGCCAAGGTCACCACCCAGCCCCACGACCGGATCTCCCGCTTCCTCATACTGTTGTATACCGGGACACTGCTCACATGACACTGTGGCAAAAGAAGGAACTGATGGTATAGAAAGGGACACAAACAGCCTCACGGAAGGGTGCTAAGGTTAACAAGAGAGTTAACATGCAACAGAAAGACGTTACCTGGAATCCAAAACAGATGGTAGGCATGGCGTTGAATACTGCGGTCCAGGAGGAGGGTCTGCAGATACAGCACACACTGTTCCATAGGTTCAATGAACACAACAAAATTCTGGGCTTTTCTGAAGTTATCACTGAGCCACACCAGTAGGGGTCAGTTAGGGACGAGATGACCAAGAGCACCAGACTAGGTCATAAGGGACAAACTGCTTCATCCCATTCATCTTCTTCTTGGTCTGAGTGCTGGTTGGAAGGGGTGCTCTTATGGTGCAAGAATCAGAGAACATGTAGGTCTCCTTTCAGCATTTACTGAATTTAATTACATACCAGTGATGTCAAATTCAAACAATGGGGAACGCTGACCAGACTGTTTCCTTATACATTAATAAAGAGTAATAAAAGCATATGTAAATGACTGGGGAATGTTCCAATTAACTGGAGAAGACCCTGTTCCAGATGCCTGCGTGGCACACTCACGATTGGAAATCCAAGAAGAGGAATGGATCAGAGGATTTAAGCTTACCTGACGGGGATGTAACCAGGGGACACCTCTTCGTCTGGCCATATGTACCTTATGATGATGATGACAGTGACATACCAGGTGCCAATGACACTCACGGCACTGAAAAGCAAAGTTGAACATCCAAGCATTGTGAAAATTCCTCACCGTAACAAACACTTCTTATTACCGAAAGATTTAGCCACATCTCGGAACATTCACACCAAGATCCCGAACCCATCCAAAATCTCAAAATGGACGCAGAACATTCCGAAGGGTGGATGAGCACATGGAAAAGCTTCCTTGGTCCCACATGTAACCCTCACCTGGCGTACTTCTGGAAGCCGATCTCCTTGGGGATCGAGAGGGGCAGGATGATCAGCACAGACGTTAGGAAGATGGTAAATTTGCGGTCAGTGTACCAAGTGCTGTTGACAGTCCTGTCAGTCTCCTGGGCCACTGCAGCGATTACTGTGCCGGGGGGAAGACAAGACATCCTTACATCATACTTCACTATATCAGCCCAATATGGATCCAATGCTGTGAGCCACCAACAAACCATACAGCCATCAGAACATTTAAACAAATCAACAACTATCAATTTCCTAACTGCGTGACTGGTTTCAGGAGAGCCAATAATAATCAATTTCCAAAGCATGTTTCCCTGAGTCGTAGAGCCCTGGGGCACCTCAGTGATGGTTTGGATCACTGCACCAGCTTACATTTTCATATCATCATGCCCTAGGTCTCAGCTAAATTTTCAGTGTGGCAATTTAAACCCAGACACACAAAAGAATCAAGTGCGGAAAAAAATACAGCCCATGAGAGAACAGATCACAGTGATGGCTTTTACATTTATTTAACAGATGCTTTTATCCAAAGTAATGGTATTTTTTTTGAGTCATTGGAGGTTAAGGGCTCTACTCAGTGGCACGACAGTGAAGTCACTCTGCCCACCCTGGGGATTGAACTGGCGACCTTCTGATCACAAGCACAGCATTCCACCCCACTGAGCCACACACCGTCCACCTTTCATAACACTCGGTTCCACCCCAGTAGGTATAAGGATGATACTGAAAGGCACCAACTAATTCAGAGGCTATTAGGCAGCAAGGCTATGGGGAGCAGAATGCTCAGCGCCCCACTTACGCTTGTCCAGCTGGTCTCCGATGATGATGAGGAAGGCGATGCAGGTGCCGAAGGTGTAAACGGCAATGGCCACCTCACAGATGACCCCCGTCACGCGGCCGCACACTGCCCGCACCACCTCCTGGTAGGTGATTTCATTGCTGACCTGGGAGCAATACGCCAGTACGACCAGGCCGCCGATGATGAAGACCAGCATGCACTGCAGGAGCAGAGCGACAGGAAACGTCTGGGCTTTAACAGGGGCAGGGTTAGGGTTAGGGTTAGGTTTAGGGTTAGTGTGTGTGCACCAGCATCTCCTGTATGACAGGGCTGGGCTGGAGTCATTCACAAAGACATTGACCATATACCTACCCTGCACACATCCACATACTGCTAACTGAAGCTATGCCAAGACAAGCACAGAAACACCAGCAAACCAAAGATCTGCTTTACTTTAGACGCATGTGCCTTTACTGGGGAGTCATGTGACATTACCATCTGTAGTGAAACTCCGGACGTGACGCCCCCAGCGAGGTTGAAAGCAGCAGGGAAGTTGAGCAGGCCGGCCCCCAGCGCGGCATTGACCACGATGAAGACGGCACTCACAGGTGAGGTGCCCTCACGCCGGCCCTCCTCCGCACCTTGAGGGGGCGCTGTGTCCACGTTGGGGCTCTGTAGAAGCCAGGCCCTTTCACCGGCATCCTCGCTGTTGATGCCTATGTCTGGCCGGGACATTACCCCAGACAGCACTCAGTGGGTGACAAGCCTGACCGACAGAGTTCAGTCCTCAATCACGCCTCTTCCCAGTACACCCACTGTTGGGTTGAGGTACCACCCTTCCCTGACAGTGATTGGAGTGGTTCTTTAAAGTCACGCCCTCGCTACAATAACCAATATACGGTGGTATTTGAGAGTACAGAGCACTGCTGGGTCTCCTTTAACAGGTGGGATGTCGTGGAATCCTTGGTAAATAGGTGTGTGGTGAAGTGAGGATGGAGAGTGTTTTGGTCAGAAGGAGCAGCATCAGTCCCAGAAGCATCCTGATTATGGGTTACAAAACCGTAGCTCCATGCTCTCAGGGATCAGCTGAAGATGCACGCCAGACCTTCTTCCTACAAACAGAATGTGAGCTTTGTCAGCACATGTAGATTCCACAAAATCTTTCTTCTTGTGGCATTTAACAACATCCAATGTTTAAAAGAAGCCGACCATGCATATAATTTAGCCTTAAGTGATTCACTAACACCACAAATGCTTATATGTGCATAAAGAGTTTACTATACAATTTTTAACACACTCTCTTTAATTCAAATCAGATAAAATGATTGCAATTACACAGCTGGATATAACAGAAAGCATGTTGTCTTGTAATTTGTGGCATGTGATTTCTGGGTACTGATTGGCTACATGTAACAATATACACACGTCCTCTGGAAATTACGAGGTGTGTCACGGCAATCATTTACAGCGCATGGTATTTCAACTTGTTAGGCAAAGATGAAAAAGTGCTGTGCTAGTCATTAATATTGTGCGCTGGGAGGGGCAGTATAACTATTTAGTGCAGGGGTCTCCAACTCCGGTCCTGGAGAGCTACTATCCAGTCGGTTTTCAATCCTACCTGGCTTCTGATGAGCCACACCTGTTCTCAGGTAAACACCAGGAACAGGTGTGGCTCATCAGAAGCCAAGTAGGATAGAAAACCTACTGGATAGTAGCTCTCCAGGACCGGAGTTGGAGTCCCCTGATTTAGTGCTTCAAAGTTAGCCTGCTCTGCTAAACACAAGTCAGGTGAACGGATCCGGAGCTTCATTACCGCATAATCTCATGATTAAAACACCAAAAAGTCAGTCGTCCTTAATCTTTTGAGAGGATTAGCCGTACTAAGTCAAAATACTTGACTAGTTAAATGTGTCATGCTTTTAACACATCTAACACGTCTAAAATGTAAAGTCTTTCTTTTTATTGTATTCGGTGCAAGAAGCATGTAACTCGCCCCAATGTCCCGGCTGAAACGAAATTAAACTTCTTTCTTACTCAGACACATTCTACTAAGCCACATTCAATCACATTACGATTTTGCAGGAAAGGCTGGCTGAATAATTAACCAAGTATCGTCAGCAGCAAATAGCAAGAAAACAAGTGAAGACATTGGGTGTAGCTGAATTTCTGCGTAATCGTGTCAAATCACATTGACTTTGCAGCATGTTTGGGTGCCTCCATGATCTAATTCAAGTCAACAATTACTCGAACTTATATCGGTATCAATGGATTATTACGTGAGCACTGACACGATTTATGGATCATTTGTGGACGCTACTGATCTTAGTTTCTCTTCATTCATCAGTCAACCTCAATAACCAAAGCACAAATAAACCAATATCTAGAGAAAACATAACACAATTAAGCGTGCAAAAAACAGACACTTTACCGTCCACTGTTAGCAGGGACATCCAACGCCAGCATCCCAGATCGCCGACGTTTTGATTTTCAGTTCCTCGCCGATTCCGACTAAGCAATCATGTGACTATCGGCGGTCATGTGATCTTTGACGTCAAGCGAGGGAAATGAGCGCGTGGGACGGAGGTATCGGTAACGTTTGGTGGTTTGCCGTTTGACTGTGAGCTCGGCAATTTGATAAAATACGAGTGCAGGGCTGTCAACTTTGGTCAGCCGGTTGGCCAGAGATTTTCCATTTCAGACAAGTCCGCACACGCATTTACACCTTTGTGACAGTTTTATTCCCTTGTAAATGGTCTGTAGGGTTTGCAAACTACCCCAACGCTTTTGCTGCAGCTAATTTTAGGTTTATAATGTAATATTATAAATTTGCCGTAAGATTTCTTGCACGAGCGTGAGAATCCGAAAGCGTGAGTGTCACGCCAGATGCGTGAGAGTTGGCAGCCCTGCGAGTGGTACTCATTTCCTTAATCATATAAAACAAGGCACCGATACACGACTCAATAGCCACAGAGATAATTCCTTTATGAACTGATGTTTATAGGAACGAGCCTTCGTAGGATGCATGAACAGAAGGCATGAAGACTGGGGACGGACTTAACATAGGGCAAGGCTAGGTAGCCCCTGGGCTACCCGAAAACTAGGGGCCCCATGAAGACAGTATTTCCAGAAACCACATTTAAGGATATAACATTGCTATCATTAAAATGATAATATTATATGTGTAGTGGAAAAACAAGCTAAATTTTCCTTGGTCGTGATCCACTACCTGGTGGTAGAAGGTGCAAAATCTGACGCGTTGAATGATGAGGATACAAGACCAAGTTCTGTTCCTGATGAGTAGATTTATTCATATGATATTTTTACCCACAATATACTTTGAGCTAGTTTGTTTAGCGCGACAGGGCCGACATGCAGACACCATCACACACGGCAAATACGGTCAATGACTGTTTCACGTTGCACCTTCACCCCTGGGCCGCGTCATCTCGGCACCTTTAGTAACAACCATCGCCTCCTACAGGTGGGAATATACTTAGACAATAATAAAAAATCACTACATCTCATTACAGTTATTTCAATAATATATATATATTATATTATAAATAAATATAAACATTAAATAAATATCAACAATATTCATAATTCCAATATAAATACAAGCTAAATTATGTTTACTAAACAAATGAAAGAATGGCTCCTACAATATGTATGTTATTTACATTTTTAGTGACAATCCTACATTGAGACTTGGTGCTACAAAGCTTTCTTTTACCACTGAAGTCTACCGGCTGTTCCCTACCAAGCAAACTGGTACAAAGTTATGGGGTTCCATTTGTGCCAAAATATGTCGACATGCATATTGGGTTCTCATTTGTGCCAAAAATATGTCAATAGCGCACTGTTCCTGTCGACTGAATATGTAACAAAACATTTGTGTGTCTGTTGAACTTTGAACTTCAGCTGTGACAGAATAAGATTGTCTACATCAGTTGCTCACCTGACAAAACATTTGTCTGTGTCAAACTTTAAACCGTACTTCTGTCGTCTTAGCACGCTCTGTCATTTGACTGTTGAATTGCATGGCGACCAGATATGTGAACACGTCGTCATTATGTGTTATTCTCATTGTCATTTGACTGTTGTTTTGAATTTGAATTTGTTCATCTGTTGTTTTGCTTCTTGTCCTGCTTTATTATTCTCCCTGTCCCTGACATCCCAAGTAGACTAATTCAAGTCAAAGTTTAATTGTATAGCACATTTTCATACATTATGATCATTTTAAAAGGCATGTGCAGGTAATGCAGGTGAACTACGTGACTGTGTAGGACTGGAAAACTTGATTTTGACAGAAGTAGCCTTTTCAGATTGTTGAATACCTATGAAAAAAACAAAAACATTGGAGAACGAATGGTGTGTTTGAGAATGTTACGAGACGATATGCAGAACAACACAAACAACAGAGAATGATGCAGCAGTGCCCTGTACTATGAAGCAGGGTTACTGGCCTATCGGGGTAACTTGTCGGATTTAAGGTACCACAGCTTAAATGGACTTTATATTCGTTCACTTACATTTTGCCTAGACTACCTTAAATCCGACAAGTTACCCCGATAGGCCAGTAACCCCGCTTCGTAGTACAGGCCCCAGGACTACAAAAAACAACAACACAGACAGCACACCTAACAAAGTACAGTTTAAAGCTGAATTGACAGACGTGATTTGTCAGGTGCGCAATCAACACAGACGATCTCATTGTCAAAATAGTATTGTTCGAAGTTGAATAGACTAATGTTTTGTTAAATGTTCAGTTGACATGGACAGTGTGCATATAGACATTTTTGGCACTAATGGATGTCCAATAGGACTACTCCTTACTCAAATACTTATTGGACAATCTTGACTTCTATCCTAAGTTAATCCAGCTCAGAAACCTTTCTTTATGGGTCCCCCCCACCCCCCAGACACACACAAAACACAATACGGATGAGGTCTTACAGCTCACGTTTATTCACAATGAACTCTGAAAATGCACACAGTGTGGATGTCATTCATAGTACATTTACCCTTGATGTTTACAAGTACTACCTTGGAGGAAAAGGATTACATTTGCGGTTTATTTAAGAAGAGACAAAGTCAATACAATTGCAAACGTGGTCTTTTAAACAGCATTACAGTACTGCACCTTTTAGATTTGGTTTAAAACATTGGAATACAGATCCACATCTTGGTCAAATTGGACGTTGGGTGGGTGTGCAAATTAGCCCCTTCATTAACCACTGGCTAATAAAAAGGTAACAGCTCTTCTCCATGACTACTATATGCTGCAAGGCCTGGTCTGTACCTCCCAGGGGGAAAAAATGATCTAAAAGTGTGCTTGGAGAAGATCATTTTCGGAGTGTAGCAGCTTGTGTTTCCTAACGAGGGCAGGGAGGAGAAATCAGTTACAGATTTTGGATGTTCATACGTGATAAAGCAGAATCTCACAGCAGCACACATTGTGGCCAACTTATTATTAGCAGTACACCAAAGCAGCAACAGCCATCACTTAACTGATCATTTATATTTACTACTTTGGTTTACCAATTAGCATTTATTTTTAACAGAGGTGGGATGTCAATCACTTTTTTTTTTTTTTTTTTAATCAAAGGGGTAGCAGATAATTTCTACAATCAGATATTTGTTTAGACAAGATGGCTGAGCAGACATTTCCTTGTTAAAACCAAGGCTTATGCCCCTCAAATAAGTGCTTTGTAAACACACTGAATGTTTCCAGGAAAAAATTATGAAGTATGTAGATTTTCTATTCATGCATTAAACATCAAGACCACCTACAAAGTCAATATTCACAAAACCGAAAGTCTCAGTGCTAGACCTAGAAGAAGAGTTATCGGAAACCATTACCAGAAGCTGAAATGAACATAATGACCTCGGACCTTTCCCGGTAGATGTGCAACGATTAAACATCCTGATCAGTCTCAGAACAAACTAAGGTGCCCATTATTTTTAATTCAAGTTCTGATAGGTCTATGTTTTGGTTGACGAGATAAAGAATTAAATATATTAAAGGTGGTACTGTTCATTTTTCATCTTTTTCCTTGTTCTCTAGAATTTCTTCTGCTACGTGCCACTCCCAGGTGCCCGTTACTTGGTCACAGTGTGGATGCCATGTGCCAAGTAGGCCACGTTTCCAGAGGTGACCCCGGCCACGGAGATGCGGCCGTCCTTGGTCATGTAGACGGAGTACTCCTTCGTCAGGCGCTCCACCTAGACACATCCACACGTGTGCAAACTCAGAACAAGTTTCCACCTGCAGTCTGTCTGTACACTACATGAGAACCCCACCCAGTAACCAACATGCACACTTACTGCTATTCCTCACCTGTCATATTACATTTTTATGATCACTGCCCTTAAGTAAATAGTTACCATATAATTGCTTAATATTTTTGTCTAACAATTTTAATCATTTCTCTTTTCATACTATTTTTCTTTTGTATTATGCATCTCACTTTTGAACAATCCCTGAAGCAGGTGTGAAAAGCATTTCACCACACACATTTACCTTTCTCCCCCAAAAAAAACTGTGTTGGAGTTTACACTCCAAGTTACCTTCTACGATTATTAGTACAAACATATTCTATGATCCTATGAAGACACTTCCTCCTTAAAAAGCAGATGCCATAGAGCAGAGCTTGCACTAAGGTGTGTAACTCCTCCTTCATGAGGATCGCAGTCTTTGAAATACAACATTTGTTGTTTAGACTTTGATACAGATGCTGTTAGGAACTAAATAATACCGTCTCACGTATCACTCCTGGTAAGAGTACACCAACCCCCCTCTTCAGGGCTACAATGGTACCTGCTCGGGCTTCAGGCCTGTAAAGCAGAACATGCCGATCTGGTCGGTGACATGCTGCCAGTTGTGAGTGGATCCCTCCTTCTTCAGGTTAGCCACCAGCTGCTCCCTCATCTTGATGATGCGACTGGCCATGCTGTTCACCTCCTGCAGCCTGAGGCAACAGCAGACGGGTCGAGGCAGTCAGAGAGGGTCGAGGCAGTCAGAGAGGGGCTCAGCGGCCCGTACCAATCGGAAAGGGGGGGGATAAGGGGCGTCGGTGTGACCCACCATTCCTTACGCAGCTCCGGAGTGTTGAGGATGGTGGCAGCGATGCGTGCGCCATTCATGGGCGGGTTTGAGTAGATGGGCCGGATCAGGATCTTCAGCTGCGACTCTACGCGCTTGGCCTCCTCGGCGTCCTTGCACACCACCGTGAAGCCCCCGACACGCTCGCCTGGGCGGGATATCGAGGGGACAGGTGAGCCACACCTCACAGTGTCACGTTAGGGTCCAAGTTCAAATCCCAGCTAGATTCTCAGGACAAAACCGGTCAGCTAATATTCTTCATTCCTCTGGACACTTCAGGGAGGTTTACTGCCTGTCTGAATCCCCCCCAGTTCAGTACGACACCAACTCCGGTGGTTCTGAAGGCTTCTATCCATACTTTGTCTACTCCCTCTACATCCTTGTCCCCAGGCCCCACCCCTTCCAAAGAGCCAATCGGAGGCTCACCATAAAGTCCCATGTTTTTGGCAAAGGACTGAGACAGGAGGACGTTGTGGCCCTGCTCGATGAAGTAGCGCACGGCCCAAGCGTCGCGGTCAATGTCCCCGCTGGCAAAGCCTTGGTACGCCATGTCGAAGAATGGTAGCAGGTTTCTTTTCTGAGATACAGGAGTGACAGTGGAGGGAAGGGGGGTTGATTACAGATGAAATTAGCCAGCTGTGTGAGTGAGCAGGGCGGCAGGCCCACCCAGCAGATCAGAGACCCACCTTCACCAGCTCGGAGATCTCCTTCCACTGCTCCTGCCGGGGGTCCACTCCCGTGGGATTGTGAGCACACGCGTGCAGCATGATGATGCTCTTCTCCGGGATTTTCTGACAGAAAACAACAACGCAAAGCAAACCATGACATTGACTGCAACTGACAGGCACGGCATAGCAGTTGTAATGCGTTTCTACACAAGGCAACCTGAAGGCCAAAACCAGACCTCATCTTAGAGTTAAACACACTTTGTCCAAATCAAACCCACACTTTCAGAGCCGCCCTCACAGTCTTACCGAAATGTCATCCAGGGCTCCCTTGAAGTCAAAGCCACACGTTTTTGGGTCATAATAGCTGTACGCTTTCAGCTGCAGACCAGCGTCCCTGAAGATGGGGGTGTGGTTTCCCCAGGAGGGCTTGGGCAGGTACACGTCACGGGCCACTGTGTGGAAGCGGGACTGGGGGGGGGGAATCACCCTGTCAGTCTCATTCGTTATGTTCATTCTTCCATGCATAGTGATGCCTTTAACTAGGGTACTCCGCAATGTTACCTATGATGGAATGGTTGAATGGTAGCCTGAATGGTTTCACAGCCCCATAACTTTTAAGGTATAAGATTATACTGGGGGGGGTTGACATACCAGGTAGTTTGCACCAATTCGGAGTGATCCAGTTCCTGAAATGGTCTGAACAGTAATGCTCTGGAGGGGGGGGGAGGAAGGATCAACATTAATTCAAGACCATTTACCCTCCTCAGACAGATTAAGCAACAAACGAGAAGTCAAAGCAATAAAAGTAAAGGTAACACAGCCCCGGCCCCCCCCTCTGCCAAGACCCAGGTCGCCCCTTTGAAGGGGGGGTGCTCACCCTGCCGCTCTTGAGCACCTCGCTCTCTGGGCCCAGGGCCAGCTCCGCACACGCTTTGTTGAATTCCCCATGGCCCCCAATGGGCAGATACTCTTTGTCCAGCTTCTTTTCAGCGATCAGAGCTTCAGCCTGGGGAAGGGCACGGGTGGCATACAGGGGGGTCAGTTCAGATCATGAGGGATATGGGGGGGGGGACAACCTGAAACGATCATCTGGACATGGCTGTTAAAAAAATCATTAAGAAATGAATTGGGGGGGACCCACCTTACGGACGCAGTGTAGCACATAGGGCTTTCCCTGGTCATCTCGGTACGCCCCCACGCCCAGGTTCATCTTCTTGGGGTTGGTATCTCGCTTGAAAGCCTCAGTGACCCCCAGGATGGGGTCAGGTGGGCCCATCTGAACCTCTGACCACCATGAGCTGGACAAGAAATTTAACAATATTATTTTATATATAAGCAAGAAAATATACGACCTACACTAGTCACACAAAGCAGAAAGATCCCCTTAATGCTTGACATTTACAGTGAGCTTCCTACTCCAAACTGTGCTGCTTGCATTAGCTTGAAGACGTCTATCACCTTCCAACCACCCATACAGAACAGGGTTTCCCTCAATAAAGACAGAGTTTCTAACTACTGATTCCAGTTAGAATTGGGACTTATAAACATCAGTTTGTACATCTTAACTTACCACTTAATCTATTCTTTTTACAAGAGTGTTTATTAGCATGTGTGTATGTTGCATAATGTGCTTCCTGTAAGACTTAACCACCCATGACTCCTATTTGGATGACAAAGCAAGTTTACAGCAAGGACCTTTTCAGACCACCTATAGTGTCACATGCATGCCATAAATTTCAGCCAGTGTGTTACAACGGGGCCTGTGAACATTAGGGTCGGGTACCGAAAGCTGGTGCAAATATAGAACCAGTTTCTGTATGACTGGTATGTATCTGACTGTACTGCAACACAGGTTTCAGTGTCATTAAATGCCTGAACTGCTGACTGAAATATCTGCCCTCTGATGCTCAGGCAACAGAAGGATCACTGCACCTCACGTGCCATCGCTAGCTGACACTATGCTTGTTCTGATCTAGCAGATGCTTACAGATAGCTAGTAGCTACCATAAACATGGTTAAAATGCCGAAAGCTAAACATACTAAAGCAGGGGTGAGCAACACTGATCCTGGCGTGCCGGTACCAGGCAGGTTTTCTATACCATCTGGTCTGAGATGAACCACACCTGGTCTCAGGCAGATAGTAACTCATCAGATAGGATAAGAAACATGCTGGACCAGGGTTGCCTGCCCCTGGTCTAAAGTGCTGCTGTATTTCACTTGAAAGGATTCAACACTTGGATGTGCAACAAATCTTTAAAAATAACTGCATGTAAAGGAGGGAACATTTCAAATATAATGAAACATCTGGCGACACACAGGATACAGCTGTGAGCAGAGGGATGCACAGCATTTGATATCTTGGGTATTGCATTTATATTTTGAAGGTGTTAATATATTGTTCAAATTTGACGTTCACATTTGTCTTCGAAATAAAAAGGTATTAAATGTCAACCTTCGTTTTGTGTGTGTTTTTTAATACCAGTTCACGCACTGTTTAAACACCAGCACCGTTTTAAACGTTATAACACCTGGGTCGGGGGAAAAATCCAGATGATTTCCAACGCTAGTTAACATGGGTGTTGTTGGATGTGCTTAGTAAACTCTTTATACGGCTTAAAACAGTACATCGCCCCCAGCTGCATTTGGATAATTGCATTTGGATTTAAAGGCGTAAATGTCTTGACGATTACCGCCACACACTTCCTGCCATGAATGAGCCACTGCACGTGGTATTTGGCATGGTGACGTCATTTCGGAAAAAGCTTTTATAAAAAGGAGACCAGGAAATATGTCAATCAAGGGAAAAGGTTTCAGAACGGAAAGTAAATTATGCAAGGCATGGCTTGATAGCCGCTGAGCATGGCGGCGTGCTCTCCTACCCTCTCAAGTTACCCTTCCAGTGCGATACTTTTCTATGTATAGCAGTCAGAAAGGGCAGTAAACAGAAAAGTAAGAGGCACGGCCAGCCAGAGGTCTCAAATACCATTAACTGTTTATTGTTGCAATAAAATGGAAATTAGCACGTGCACAAACAGTTCTTGATTTTTTTCCCCACAACCTCCACACATTTACTGAATATACCTCCCATTGATTTATTTTTATATATTTATTTTCATCCATCCATCCATTAATTTCCATATTTTTTTTAACGTTCTGTTTGGGAACTGCATACTTTTTAAAATCTGTTTGGACTATATCGTCTTCGTATTTAGTCTTATTTTACACTAGTCTCGTTCTGCATATCCAGTTCATCTTATCAAATAGCCAGCCATAAGCACTGGTTTAAAGCGGAATTTTAACCTCAATGTAGTATTATACCAAATACGACTGTTTTGCACTGCAATTGAAGTCGAATTCACATATATAATTCGTCCTCCAGATCGCCAAGGCCACGCGCGAGCCGCTGGACAAGTCGACCAATGAGAATTTTGGAAGTCAATTTCAGCCAATCAGAGACAAACGACGGCGCCACGCCTATGGCTAACGGAGGAAGCGAGCGTGAGAGCCATCAGGAGGGTAACATGGAGATAATCCTTCGCTGTCAGTGATCAGAGAGATTTTTTTGTGCTCGTACTTCACTCAGTTACGTGTATGTGCAGGCCTGTATATGCAAGTCATATTGGTATCACGTTTCTGTAAAAGAGGCTGAAACATGACAATAAACCCGTTACAAATCGACATTTTAAAACATTGCCATCCTTCACCGCAGCTAACTTTATTACAACCTTGACTAGTGACACCTCGTCTGTACCGCCATGTTAACTTGGTTATTAGTCAAGTGTCAGTATGGATGCAGAGGCGTGTGTGCTCAAATATATCTTAAAGAGAAGCAAGGTAGGCGATAAATTAAACATTTCAACACTTAAAATGCAACATACTTACTGTGCTGATAAACAAGACTATTTGCAGCTGGTTTAATACCTTACTGTTGGAAAGGGTCATTCTAAAGTTTAGGCTTCACTCGGCTAACCGAATAAAGCGATGACTGGTGGGCATTCACATCTGTACAGTCAATGCGCCATAAAATACATTCCATACCGAAACTGCAAATTTCCATACCTTGCTCGAATAGGTAAAACGCCCATGTAGGGAGAATAAGCCCCGAGGCTGGAGACAAACTTGCCGGATTTCAACAAAGCCATCGTGTGTGACAGAAGTCAGAAGACTGAAGGGTAGGTAGCTAACATAGGTCAGACTATCATTGGAAAGACGAGGAGACGCACGTACTTCGTAAAGAGGGTCTTTGCTGTTGCGGAAATGGGCTTAAAGGACGAGAATATTTACACAGCGCCACCAAGCTGGACTCCACGGGATCAGCAACGGGCCTCATGTAGACCGTGCGTTATGCGGACCACGGGAGCATAAGTACTTGGTATTTAAACTTTACAACTGCCAACGCTTTGATACATTAAGTGATGCACACGTCATTATTTTAGGTTAATAGATAAATCGTATGTCATGCTACACATGATGTGAAGTCTACACAGACACGCACGAATGCACCCACGCACACAAACACACACATAACTAATGACAAGGCTGCTGTGCAGGATAAGTTGAAGGCTCGATGTTTTCAGCATTGCATTTTACTAAGAAAACGGTAATAATTCAAATGTTTTTGGTCACACACCACTAGCTCCGAAATTAAGCTCTTCTTTTAAAATAAAATTAATTAAATTCAGTATAGGATGGTGTGTTTGACTCATATATTCTTCTTTCTTTCTTTCTTTCTTTCTTTCTTTCTTTCTTTCTTTCTTTCTTTCTTTCTTTCTTTCTATCTATCTATCTATCAATTTCTTGGAACAGGGTGGCATGGTGGTAGAGTGGTTACTGTTAGTGCTGGTGCCTCCCATGTTGGGCATCAGGGTTCAAGTGTGTGTGTGGAGTTTGCATGTTCTTCCCATGTCATCATAGGGATTCTTTTGGTTCCCCCCCCCGCCACAGTCCAAAAACATTCTGAGCTTCTTTGAAGTTCGCAAATTACCTATCAGTGTGTATGTGTGAGTGTGCATGTGTGAGCGTGCATGTGTGAGCGTGCATGTGTCAGTGTGCATGTGTCAGTGTGTATGTGTCAGTGTGCATGTGTCAGTGTGCATGTGTGAGTGTGCCCTGCAATAGGCTGCTGCCCTATCCTGAGTTGCTCCCTGCCTGGTGCCTGTAGGCTCCGGACCCCCCTGTGACCTTGAATAGTATAACTGGTTACAGAAAATACTCTTTCAGTAAGATTTGTATCATTAATAGCAACCTAACAAACAACGGAATCATATTGAAACAAACTGCATTGTGTCATCCTATATCTAGTTTTGATAATATATCAATATTCCTAAACATTTTATATACGGCCCAGACATAATTGGTCTGTCTTGTTATATTCTCAACTGGAAACTTCACAACTGTGTTGTGAGCGGGTTTCCAGTGGTTTTCCGTTTTGCATTCACCTTCTGAATTTGCAGTGCGTCTATTAATTTTGTAAATATAGATCGTGTGTGTTGTCATTTGATTAAAGTGTCTGAAGACTTCGTAGTGCGTTGACACTAATTGGCCATTGTACCTTAGCAACCGCATCATAGCAATTATAATTCCATTTAGAGTTTTGATTTGAACATTCATAGCAGCTCAGATGTACAGTTTTACAACGAGAGAGAGGGCATGAAAGATGTCTCTCTAGAAAACCACTGTATACCTCCGGAAAATTGACTGGCTCCTGCCAAATGGGGCAGTCAGTGTCCGGATTGCTCCGGAAGACATCCCCGGTTCAGTTAGCCATGGTAAGGACGGCAAAGTGATGCCCAGAATAGCTCGGCACTCGAAGAATGAAAGTCAGAATAGGGTTGGCTGGTCTTGTTGAATACTGCAGTCTGTGATAACTATCTTATTTTGGAAGTACATGTCTTGGGATCCTAAATAGTAAAATGATTGACTTTTAGCCAAACAGTGATTTGTTACCATGAAGCAGTAAAATACGAGGCTCTTTTCTGCTTGTCTACTGTATTATATAATGAAATCAATAAAATCTGTGGCTGTGATGTGTGTAAATAGGTGAAAATGTCCCCATATTGTATTCCGAAAAAGCAGAAATCTTAGTTTTGGTACCTTGAGAGTGAAGAAATAATGCAATTTATGGAAAATGGAAGATATATAAATGATTTTATTTAATAGTCAGTTGTTGATGCCAGCATTTGGATTGAGCGGACTGCTATATCTGGTGCACATGAACCTTCCAGTGTTGTTTTTCACTGTTGTTCTGCATATCAGGGAATCTGTCCACCAACTGGTGTGTTTTTATAGGTCAAGTTCCCCTGTTGAAACGCAGGTGGCCCAATTCAAGACCAGCGCATAAGTCTCCCAAGCCTGCGTTTCCTGTATCCAATAAGATGGCAGAATTTTTCTCAATGTGCAATACTGACTGCCAAGTGTGATATATGTGATGTGGTTTTGTTGTAGAGTGACATAAGGATTCACTTTAATTAAATGTGCTGTCCCCTGTCTTTATAATCCCAAAGGACGAACCAATACCAGTAGTGGAGGCCGTCGGAGGAAATGCCGCACTGGGCCGCCAGCATCCAGCTCCCTGACCATGTCTGCTGCCACTGGATCTGCTCCCATCCCGGTGGGAGTCAGCAGGGGTCAGCAGGGCACCGGACGACGTAGAAATACGGCGGGAGGCCGTCAGGACGTAGAAAGAGGTGTAAAAAACAGAAGGGGCCATTTACAAAACATTTACAGAAGCTACTATAGGCTTCAGTAACAGCAAATTGGGAAACCCCTTCGACTCAACCCAGGTGGGTGACCAGTTTCCGTGTGAGAATCTCACCCAGAGTGACAACGAGGTTGCTACCATCCTGTGTCGCACTCCATCAGTGTCAGAGCCTGAGCCTGAGCCCTGCTCACCAGCCTTCTCCTCCACTTCATGCTTATTTCTGTCACCAGTCCCATCCTCTTTTGTCTCCTCTCCATCTCTATCTCTTTTTACAGACAGGCTATCTGTAAGTTGTAAATAGTTACATTTTCATAGATCTTGCAAATAATTAGGCAAGAGATCTCATAAGTACTGTACTTAGGACAAGATCAAGTTAAGATAGGATAAGTTAAGTTAAGGTTAAGATGAAATTGTATAGCATAAGGTAACATAGGATAAAATGAGACTAAGACAGGATCAGTTAACATAAGGTTAAGATAAGATTGTATAACATAAGATAACATATAAGTTAAGATTAAGATAGGATAGGTTAAGGTAAGGTTGAGAAGTTTGTGGGCACTGCTGCTCTCAAAGTATTTTCTTACATTTTTTTCCATCCAGTAAAATGCAAATCACAAAATACTCAAAAGTAATTAAACATGTATTTCAAATATATGGAATTGGATTACTGCCCATCTCTTTACAAAAGCAGTTTGGCTGATGCTGCTTTAATTGCAATGTGTTTGCATGCAGACAAGCGCACGGACAGTATTAGGAGAGCATCAGATCGCATCAGAATCATTCTTTGCACAATGAAACAACTGATGAGCCACAAATCATCACTGGGAATATAATCATTGTGATCTCTAAATACTCCCTGCCTTCATATTTGGCCACACACAACGTACTCAAACAAAGCTAAATACTGTATGCCATAATGATGCTGCATGTGGGATATTTAGACAGGGGTCTTTTTATACTGTACCTGTTATACGTGGGGGCACACGTGTTGTGGCCTACATTGACTTGTCCGTACGCACACCTCTAACCTTGTACACAATAAATATTTTGGTATATATATAACATCATTCATTTAAAATGATAAAACAAATGCTGACTGTTAATTGTATATCAGCAGTTTGTTAAATGATGGTTGTACATTGTGGTGTTTTCATTTACAGCTGTCTGTATTTCTCTTAATCCTATGTCATTGTTCCTCAGAACTATTTGAACAATCTCTGCCTCTTGTACAACCAGGCCCAGTGCATAGCTCAGGTAAACCTGTACAATCATCTCATGCTGCCATCTTGGCGCATTTTCAGTCTTCGTGCATTGCCAGTTTTTTTTTTTTTAACTGCACAGTGTACATTAAATTACTTACAGAGGATGAAAATTTACACTGACAACAAAAGTTTCAAGGCAACCTGAAGATAATGCACAATCAGGGATGTAAAATAAAAATAAAAAATGTTTTTTTTTCTAAACACTTTGATGTGCAGTATTTTTGTACTTTGAAAATATGAGAAATTCTATATGCATGACAACGTCATGTGTGCAAAATGTTTGTGCATACACAAAGAGGAAGCTTCATTTTTTAGACATTTTAATAAATGGTCATTAGAGCCAATAGTTGATCACTTTTGTTGAGCCAAAAGACTTGCAGGCTCCATTTTTAGGGCCTATTCATTTTTGAACTTTAAAGATCTTGCTGAGTGTAGAGCTTACATTGTGCTTGTCTCAGAGGCTTGAGAGTACAGCAAGGGAAGAAGAAGTGTCTCCGGGACGACCGCAGGCAACCTGGCACTGCCCGGGCAGATGAAAGAAGAAGGGCACAGAGCCAGGTTGGGCAGCGCTATCCAGCCCATGATTGCCGATGGTCACGTTCCACCAGAACCCCCCAGCACTAACTCCCCGGGGAACTTCCAAGCAGCAGAGCAGATCCCAACAGCCGAGGATCAAAGGAAAGGAGAGATCCTGGCAGGAAAAAGAAGATCTTGCGGCCAAAGGCTAAAAATTTAGCAGTTTGGAGAACAAATGTGTTACAAATGAAATATCACGTTAAGCCTGGGTAATTTCCCATTTCTATTACAGGGAAATTTGGGTATTTCATATTTGAAATAAATGTATGTGCTACAGCTTAAACATTTTTTCATACATTATTTTGGATTTTCAAAATGTCTTTATTGTAAACTGCACAGCATGTGCCTCTGTGAGCACTATCCCCCATACAGGAACTGTGAATAAGAAGCCTTTAACCTGGGCAGGAAATACATTGTTTGTAAGTATATCTTAATAAAAGAGTACTGATTTCAGAGGGCATTAAGTTGAAAAATACACAGTGAAATATATAATAAGAATATCTGAACATTCAAACAGCATACAACTCAGTTTGCAATTTTATTGTTGCATTGTTTGTACAGTAGGTTTTATTGTACCAATTTTAGAGGGCATTACATTCAAAAATTTACAGTGAAATACTTTCAAATAATGATAATAATACAATTCTGAATTTAATGAATTTTATTTAATTTCAGAGCCAATGGCCGTGTGACCAAAAACATTTTAATTATCATTATTTTCTTAGTAAGATTAAATGCTGTAAGCATGGAGCATTCGATTTAGCACGAACAGTCCCCTCTACAGGATTCTGTCGAAACAGCATCATCTATTTAAGACGGCGTGGATCCTGCGAATGACAAGCTGCCGAATAAGCAGCTAACTTCAGCCTCGTCAGCTAATGTCTGTGATTATGGGCGATTAATTACCTTTAGACGATTCGTTTTTTCTCTTGTTGTATCTTGATAATTGATGACTCCCGCCAACTAACCCTTAATCCTGAGATTGCACCCTGCTTTATAAAAAATAAGCATAGCACGCAACACTACACCCAGAACGCCTTTTTCATCTGTGACATTTCTGCTAGGTATCATGCAAAAAGCAGAACTTACCAATAAGGCAGAAATACCGTAATATTATCACTGCTCATTTAAGATAAAAAACACATAGTCAAAAAAGACTCAAGAAATGTTACCAAAAAACTAAATATTTGAACACGTAATATAAATTATTAAAGGATTGACAATTGCAGTAAAGCTTACTTTTGGCTCGATGCTGCCCAGTTTCGTCAATTACCGAAGTTATTAAAAATTCCGAACTATTACTCACGTCATTTTTTCCATGAATAGCAAGAATTTTCACTTTTCCCTAGATGGCGCTGTTACTCTTTGCGTTAAGTGGTTGAACGCGTGCACCTTGGAATTTGCGTTTGTGTCCTGTGGCTGTTTTACACTTATATGTGTCGCTAGTAGGTTGTGTGTTGTGAAACGTAATCGTTGTCCTAATAAATGTGCTAGCAGAGCAGCTGTTAGTCTAAAATTATATGCGGCACAATTCACAATTAATACGCTAAATACGAAGCTTAGAAAATTAAGAGGTTAGGCCTTTGCCGTGCTGCATGACCCTACTTCATTATTCACATCTGTGTTTCTGGCCACTCAAGCAAACACATTTGTGCATGCATGCAAGACAATTCTAAATGTTTTAGATAGGCCTACATTTTAGGGTGTTATGTGCATTATGCCTTGATGTATCTGCTACTCCAGATACAGCTAAAATGACGGGGATATTAAAGGCATCACCGCTAATAGATGAGAGTGATAGCAAATTACTGCACAGGCTGCAAGTTTCCTGCTGGCCACATAAGAAGGAGGGCGATTTAATAAAGACCCAAAGATTAATGTCGGCTGACATTTTAAAACTGTAACGTAAAGGCGTTTCCCGGGGCTTCCGTAAAACATTCACCGAATGTAAGACTCATATCTATGCGGCCTATGGTTCTGAGTGTGCTTGTGACTTTAAATCTACACATTTGTCCGGACTTGTTTTGTTATTTTTCATGTTTGTGAGCCTAAATGTATGTTCCCAAAGTGAGGGCCGTAGCCAGAGTTAGAAATACAGTGAGGTCCAAGACCCGGGGGGGAGGTGGGTCTCGTCAATCACATTACTGATACCGTCCCCTTCATAAGCTCTTTATTTTTAAAAATTAATTAGTTATGTGAAATGTTTGTTACCCTAATTTTTTATTCAGGTGAATATTTAGCTCCAATTTTTACTTTTAGCTCTTAAAAAATGACCAAGGTCCAGACCTCGGTGACCTCATAGCTGACTACGGCCGTGCCCACAACGTGATAAAAACCTGTCATTTTGACTTTTTGGGGACATTTTTATGGAACTCAATTTTATGAAATCTGGGAATGAAATTTTTAAAATAAATAAAAATAACATAAGTCTTGTATTATGTTTGGTCACTTACGGTTAAGGTTAGGGCTGGGTAGGGGTTAAGATTGTCATAGTTGAGATTAGGGTTTTCCCCATAGAAATGAGTGGAGAGCCCACAAAAAAGATATAGATACATTATCTGAGAATATGTGACTGTGTGTGTGTGTGTGTGTGTGTGTGTGGGTGGGTGGGTGTGTACACAGGTTGTCACATATCACTGCATGTCTGCATATTTGCTTTGATGCTTATATGTAAGTGTTCATGTGTTATTGTAAATTAGCCTGTGGGTTCAGCCACTGATTAACACTTAGATGAGATGGGCATTGCTCTTGTTGGCAACGAAAGCACGAGCAGACAGGAAATATCCTGTTTCAATAACAGTACAGTAGGGTGATGGCACAGGCTCCAACAGAGACAAATTCCAATACCTCATTTAATTTCTCCATTGCTCTCACTCAGATTCGAATAATAAGCTGCACCCCATGAGACTGCGCAGTGAACGCAATCACACTGGGGGAACGAGTGGATGGACCCACGTACTGTATAACACTTCCTTGGTTTTTAGAAGAAAAAAAAAACTTAAGAACCTTCTGTTGTGTTGCTGGAGCTGAAGTCTGTTCTGGATTTAAGCACTGATGTGCGAATCTGACATTTCTGAAACCAAAACGCAGCATTAGCCATGAAAACCAAACGATGCTGTAAGTTCTAACACCAAACATTCTAAAACCACGATATGGTACTAACTCAGAAGCAAAGCCTCAAGTGGTGTAATTTTTTTCCTCCCTTTTTAGTATTTAGTTGCCCTCTGAATTAAAGAAGGAGACGGTTCAACTGTTAATTCCATTTGCAGGAGCTTTAATTTGAGGTATGATAGAAAGGAAGACGATCTCCTTGGAGCAAAGCAAATGGATGTGTATTACTGATTTGACCTTTTTCTCTGGGTTGCTTTTACTCCTCAATAACTAAACAAAACTGATTCTGATTGTAATTTAATCGTTCACCATGTTCACCTGTGCATTTGCAGTTTCACTGAGTCCATTCATGTATGATGAAAACCTGCTTTGTCTCTTGGGTTACTGTGCCGCCTCTTTTGTGGGGACACCGTAATAGAAATGGTTCCAGAATCTTCTGCGTTAAGCTGGCCGGGCTCCCCAAAGCAGATGCCCGCGACTGCAGCCCCACAGTCTGTGAGTAATGGCCACAGTCTGTTCGAGAGAATATGTCACCTTCCTCTCAGGGTTAATGGGGGATGGAGGAGAGGGGGAGAGAACGGTGTGCAAAACAGGAGTAAACAGGAGCGAAGACGCAAAGATTTGTATTTTTTTGAAAAGGATTGAAAACAAACACGACAGCATTCAATCCTGCTCTTTACTGTCATACAGTGGGAGTGCGGATTAGCGTCTGGGATGAAACGCTGAAGAGCTTGGCATCCTGTAACTCCCTGAGGATTTGCTCCCATCTGCTTCTCTGTAAACTCCCTGTCAGTCATACTTAATCAAACTCCGCAAAACTCGCTCTGCTTCATTTTTACAGCTACAGGGAAAAGTTGTGCCGTTGCTTCAAACATGAGAACACGGCATGAATTGTGACACAGGGTGCAGACTTGGGGGGTCACCGCTGGGAAACTGCAGCTGATGTTTATTTGAATTATGTGTTTTGACCGGATAGTTATTGTAAAAATACCATTATAGTATTTATCATTTATCATTATGGGGCTTGGTGCTTATCAAATTAAGCCATTGCAGATATATGGCCTAGAGTTACATAATGTTTTCCAGTCACAATGCCTAGTGACCTTATATTGGATAAGCGGTTATGGAAAATGAATGGACTGGTGGAGCTGTAAGTCATTGTGTGAGTGGATTGTGGATTTTTTTGTGTGTGTGTGATTTTCCAAGAATTAAAACCCATTACACAAAGCCCCCCTCATCCTGTGTCAAAATCAAAATTAGGAACCGTTTTATTTCCCTTCCAAGTGGTAGTGAAAATTAAGTGTATGTGTTTTATTATCCACAATATACTGTATATTTCTGTTTTCTGCAAATGTCTGTTACCAGCTTTGTCAATGAGTAAGATACTAGTTGACCTAAATAAATAAGTATGTCTAAGTGAGTTTTCACTGTATGAAATACATTCTGTTTTAAACCGCAGCCCTTTCAGTAAAACTGCTGATGATTAATTGATAAGTACAGTACCTCCCTCAAAAATCCGTGGTAAATTATTAAGACTGCCTTTAAAAGCATCTGCGTGCAAAGACTGACTTACATATTTTTGAGGCGCAAAGCGCCTGTAGATCACAACCATCGTTTTTAAAACAGGTATCTTGCACGGGGAATACTGTTGAAGTCTTCCAGAACAGTTTTAGGGAGCCCAGAACAGTGTTTCCTGCTCGATAACGGTGTAGGTGTTTTGTATTATCTGGAAGTATCAAACGCAGCGCATCCAGCTGTCTAACTGACTCCAGCTTTCATCTCGGCTGCTTTTTCCTTCTGCTATTTGAGTCTGGATCTAGTGCTCATGTAATGTGTTTGTTTTTGGGGTTGGCGCGGCTCAACAGGTTAGGACGCATATGATCGCTGGATCGGTTGGACTGTCTGACCATGCTTTCTCAGAAATTTATACTTCACTTCGTATTAAAGTTTGTGCTGAATAAAAATGTTTACATCGACAAGGTAAAGAACACAAATGTTGCCAGCCCCTCATATAAAAAAATTAATTTGATTATCAGGGCTATTTAGTGTTTGCCCTATGCTCTCAGTCGCTCTTGAGCATTTGCAAAAAATCACAGGGAAGCCATGAAAATGGACAATCGTCGATTTTGGGGCTTCGTTTAAACCCTTCGATGTGGAAGCTGCGAGCTCACAATGCCAAACTGAAGCTTACAGCAGCATTTAAAGGAGAAAGCAGCCTGTACAACTGGGACGTACCTCTCCTCAATTGGGAGAAAAGTCCTAAAATCTGTGCAGTGATAAGGTTATTTGTATTTGAATATTATTTACTTAGCTTAAGTCTGAATACCCAAGTATTTATTAATTTGGTTTTTTTTTTTAACCTTTTTGCAGTAATTTTGTTCACTTTTAAGGTTAATTCCTAATTAATATGGATGAGTAAGCAACACAAGTATTTACATTTAAATGAGAGAGTAATAAAGATTGTAAACACGTCTACCAGGGAGTTTCTCTGAAATATAAAAACCATGAAAAATAAAGGAAACGACCAGATTCTGTGATCCATTTATTTTTGAGTCAAATGCATTCCAGTAAAACAGAACTAGCCAGAACCTTAAAACCAAACGGGGTACCATAGACACAAGGGCAAGGAACTTGATGTCAGACTTCAACAGGTTGAGAGGATATCAATCAAAATATAAATTTCACTAAGTGTCTAAACACCATGATATGCTCACATCATTCATATAATTTTCATAATCGTGTTAATGTTACCATAAATTACCATCATAAATAAGGTATATTCATCTATTTTCAGGTAAACTGTTTAAATTTTAAAAAACCAAATGAAAAAGCTGCAAAATAACTGTATTTCAGAGAGCCGAGTGAGCAGGGTGAGAGAGGGGGCAGGGTGGAGCCTGGCAGGGGGTCAGGCAGCGCACCTCAGTGCACATTCGTCGGGACATGATGGAAGCGCGACTCCAGCACATGCAAATGGCAGCAGAGCTAAGCAATAAGGGGCTGCTGAGATCCTGGGGCTCAGGAAGGGCGAACGTGGCCCTTCGGGGGCCTCAGAACATGGAATCCCGGCACAGCACGATCTCCAGCTCGGCCCGGTACAGCTTGCCTCCGTCCGACAGGGCCATGATGCTCTTCTTGTAGCCCACCAGGTCCCGGATATCCATCTCCTGAGGCATCATGGGAAAATTAAGAGAGAAAAAACAAACTGAGTGCCAGTGATCGCTGGGCCCTCATGCAGCAGGTGCATGAAGATTAGCTCAGATTGCGCTGCACTCTGCACATGGACGCCAATGCTCAGTCAGCAGGTGCTTTTGCTATAAGAACTTTCCATAAATTCCATTATTTTGTCAGTAACAGGCAGCATTTTTCAAAACTACCAACCCATATGATAAATGTACTGGTTTATGCAGTTTGGATAATCCAGTGTCCGTTAAAGAATCCAGTGTCGGGTATAATGTGTACAACTTGGTGTCTGGTGTATATTGTAGAACCTGTCTAACAAAAGTAGAAAGTTCAGGTCCAGAAAGTACAAATCCAGACTAAGCATTTGTCTCAAGCAACCAGCTATAAAGAGTCACAGCCACAGAGTACTCAACTGGCTGGTTGAAACAAAATCTTGGTCTAGATTTGTAGCTTCTGAACCTGAACTTTACTCCTCTGCAAGGCAGCTTCAGAATTGGTTATTGAGTTAGTGGGGTTCATGGCAGGAATTCAAAGCGAATGCTGATCGTCCATCTTCAGCTCCATATATGTTTTAACCTGCAAACACAGGCTGTTGCAGTGAGGAACTGAAGCCTCACTCACCTGTCTGTTCTTCTCACAGAGATCTTTGAGCAAAGCATCCAGTTCATGCTCATCGATGTAGCCATTTCCATCCTTGTAAAAATAAATAAGAAGAATCAAAGCACATATAAGTATATGTATGTATATATGGTATGTAAGTAAAGACTGGCTGGAAATATTGTTGCTGTTTCTTTGTTGGACTGACAGTTAAAGAGAGTGAATGGAGCCAGTCCTCGCATTTTTAATCACCTTAGAAGCGATTCATGGCAGGATGCAGTTCACTCATCATACTCATTTTGCACCTCTCTACTCAGGCATCTAGAGCAACGCCCCCCATGGTCCATCCCGTGTACTGCACCAGCAAGCACCACAGTGCATTCTGGGTAACACACTATGCATTAACGATCCATGCTTTCTTGACCTGAGCACATTCAGGCTGAGGGCCTTGCTAAAAGCCTATGGCTTAAGTATAAACCAGCCTGGGTTAGATTGTTGTTTGTTTTTCTCCTTCATCATTAGATTTAATACAGTTTCTGCTTTAAAACTGTATTCACATCTCTCTGTATTCACTGCTGTGACTGAGTGGCATTTCCGCAGTGCATTATTTTTTAATAAAAATTTCTGCATCCTTATATCTGCTGCTGCACATTCATTGCAGAGCACTTGTTTATCTAGTCCAGGGGTCACCAACTCTGGTCCTGGAAAGCTACTATCCAATAAGTTTTCTATCCTACCTGGCTTCTGATGAGCCACACTAGTTCTCAGGTAAATACCAGGAGCAGGTGTGGCTCATCAGAAGCCAGGTAGGATAGAAAACCGACTGGATAGTAGCTCTCCAGGACCAGAGTTGATGACCCCTGATCTAGTCTATCTTGCATGGCTAACAATTAAAATTTTATTTAATTAGTTTTTCAGGTTTTTGAGCATGCAGTCTTATTTCCCTTGAAGTCATCGGTTATCGTTTAGTTCCATTTATCAGTGCTTTTCAGCCGTATCCGCAATTGGTTGGGAAATGTCAGCTGACAGAAAGGTTGGGAGCTCTTTGTTGAGAAGGGACTTTGGCTACACAGTCTCGTGTAAATCACGTCGTCAGCCGTTCACATTCCAGCTGCCCCAGCTACTCGGCCCCGTTATATTTTCACAAGAAAATGAAAATTTAATTCAGATGAATTTTGGGCGGAAGAACATTTTTTGCATTAATTAGCATTTTTACATTTACTTGCCTTTCTGGGATTGAAGTAAAATCTTTGAGATCGCTTTAGCTTTCAGCTTTGGATGACAGGAGCGTTCCACTTAAAATCCATATGTTAACACCAGAAAAAGCAGATGTGGAATGTTAGTAGAAAAACTTTTGGCTGAAATTGTTTCTCAGAAAAGAAGCCTGATTTCTGAACGTAATCAGCTTATTTCAGTTTTTAATCTTCATTTATCATAAATGTCAGCAAATCAGCTAATCAGCATGGTCTTACTTTTAGCAAGTGTTCATTCTGAGCACTCAGGTCTTAAATAAAATGCTCATTAAAAATAATTTAATGATTCTGGAAGGTCCTGGCTACTCTTGTACGATCCTGCTATGCAGGCAAATTATTTTATGTACAAATTCCTGGTCCATTTGGGTTTGGAATTGACTCTGATCTCTCATCGAGGTATCAGTCTACCTTCACTTAAAGCAGACAGCACATTTTAATCATAAAAGTCTTACTATAGGTGCAAAGTTCTTAAGAGCTAATGGGGTTTTTCACCAGATGTTTAGTCCAACAGCATGTGAACCAACCATATCACAAACTTCCTCCATTTAACTTAAGGCAGTGTTTCCCAATCCAGACCTTGGGGATCCGCAGACAGTCCACATTTTTGCTCCAGGAGCAGATAGGGAGCAAAAACACATGGACTATCTGTGGGTCCCTAAGGATCAGATTGGAAAACACTTGGTTTAAGGAGCACAAATCTTTAGTCAAGTAATGTCCCATTTTATCCACAAGGGGTCAAATATTGATTTAAGGATTAATTTATTTCATATTGCAAAGATGTAATCTCTGGCATGTAGATTGCAGTGAGGCATTTACAGTGGATTACTGAACATACCCTGAACAATCCATTAGGATTATCTGTCTTGTAGGGCATGTTGGATGGATAGAAACATCTATACGGTTGGGTGCTGGCATGGATACCTTGGCAGATTCAGGGGGGGCAGCACTCAAAGGGGCCATTGTGGATGTTAAACTATATGTAAAATTGAGCGGGGAAGAGGGCAAGGTGACGTTGTTTTTAGAGGGCCCAGTATTTCTAGGTGCACCCCTGGTTGGATCACTGTAAACAGGCCCCTGATCTCAGCAACCCCTGTGGACCAAAGTGTGGTGATGTTTACCTTGTCGTAGAACGTAAAGATGGCGTTGAACTGCTCAGAGGTCAGCTTGAGGCCCTGTGGGAAGTCAGGTGTGCACATTTCAGATTTCGTGTTGTCACTAAGGACGTTTTTATAAGGAGGTAAAGTATTTAAAAGCGCTTGTTACTGCTGCCTAGATTGATTCACTCTTTCATCGTGAAGAACAACTCTATTAAAAGCGAGATGATGAGAATGAGGAAAAAATGAGGCATTTACTTTGGTCCAGATGAAGAAATATGTTTTCTGAGACTAGTATTGTCAAGAGTCATTAAGCAACTGCTGAGTAGTAGATCTGTATGGGGGAGCAGATGTGGAGGCCATGAGAGATGCTCAAGAAGAAGTCCAGTCGGAGGGGTAATTTGATCTGTTTTCATAACTGACTGAATCTGCGACTTACTCCAGACACCATATAACATCTCAAACCCAGCTTACAGTACATCTCAAACCACCAAGAGTTTGTTGGCTAATGGTATCTGTTATGGGCGTAAATTATGGGGGGAAAATGGCGGGTTGTAAGCCACCCAATAATCAAAACCAGCCAATAAAACACCTTGGACCTCCTTAAATGGGTGGAGACCTGAATCCTCCCCCCTCCAATGCTCAATCTAAAATTACGCCCTTGGTATCTCTGCGAGTGTCCATAGGCGTGCCCTCGTTTCTGCGTGTCACTGCCAGTCCATAGGCGTGCCCTCGTTTCTGCGTGTCACTGCCAGTGTCCATAGGCGTGCCCTCTTTTCTGCGTGTCACTGCCAGTGGCCATAGGCGTGCCCTCATTGCTGTGTGTAACCACCGGTCCATAGGCGTGCCCTCGTTTCTGCGTGTCACCGCCAGTCCATAGGCGTGCCCTCGTTTCTGCGAGTCACTGCCGGTCCATAGGCGTGCCCTCGTTTCTGGGTGTCACTTCCCGTGTCCATAGGCGTGCCCTCGTTTCTGCGTGTCACTGCCGGTCCATAGGCTATGATGCTAGATCCCTATTATTAATCTCTGTTCTGTGATATTGGACAAAGAAATTTTGCCTCATAGGGATCAATAAAATTCGGTCTTATCTTATCTTATCTTATCTTACTGTGCGTGCCTTTGTTCTGTGGCACTCAGTGATTGCTCCCTCTGCCCTGGTGGTATGAAGGGCTCGCCTGGGGCTCCCTGACCTCATAGCTGCTCTTCTCGTCGGCACCCATGGGAAGCCAAGGGTGTTTGAAGGGAAACTGAAACGCATGTGTGGGAAAACCGTCGCCAGCGGCCGCGGGGGACCCAGTGCTGGGCGCCCCCGATACGGGGCCCTGCATTGGCCAAGGTGCCGGGAGTGTGTTCCCTTCCAATACTACGGGGTGTGCACACACCTAATGTAGGTTACCCTGTGCCTGTGTCTACGCTATTCCCCTGGGGTGTGAGATCCTGCTATCTGCATGGCTTTGAAATTCTAAAATGGTTTTGTGTTATGCAAATTTCTCACATTTATTGCCAGTCATGTTATTTTTATTCCGACAGATCGCTGGACTGAATGTGTGGCCATATTTGTTGTTGTCAGAGTGACAATGCAGAGACACAGTAGCCATGCAAGAGGAGCCCTCACCTGGAATTTGAGCAGGAAATTTTCTTGGACAGGCAGCAGCCTTAAACGACAAGAAATGAGTTTTATCGCCCTGATGCTACAATGCTGACGCTGGTTCGCTCGCATGGCTCTAAAGTCATCCTACTTTCCCATCATGCCCCAGCGAATGGGCACCCGTCACCCACCTGGCCATTTCCGAGAGGCCTAGCTTTCCGTCTCCGTTCAGGTCAAACATCCTCAGCTGCGGGTGCAGAAGAACAGGAGAGGATTAGTGAATAGTGAGCTAAGATCTTCATGAGAGCTGGCCTGAAGGAGTAACACAAAAAGAAGAGTTTCTTTCATTTTGCTTTTTTAATTAAATCTGGCTGAGAAATATATGAGATGGAAATTCCTCAGTGCAGTCGTGCTGGCCTCCTCAAAGCAATAAAATCATGATGGTCTATTCTACGGCTCAGAGATACACATGAGAGCTGCCAATCGAGTCAGATAAACCATCTAATGAGAGTCACATTTAAGCTTCGTTGAATGGAAAAGCTTTGTTTTGCATGACTGAATCTTGACGTTCTGCTTGTTGGACTCACCAAGGCTCTAATCAGGCCGCTTCTTACTTGTTCACCCCATATTCTTGCAGAAGAAGCAGAAGATACTGCAGGGGGTACTTACTATCGTCTGCGTGTACTCAACCAGCTTCTGGTCGTCATAGTGTCTGTTGGCCTTCTTCAGAAGGTCTGAGAGGAATCCCTGTGGAAGGAAGAGCAGGAGCCAATGAACATCGCTGCCTGCTGGAGCACCGTCATTGGCTGGACAGAGAAGGTTGCATCTCAAAAAGTTCTGCAGGGTAGAACTCAGTATCACTCACAAGCAGTGGCAGTGTATCACATTCTGCTTGGTTAAGGATCTCTCAAGTCAGAACAAAAGTAAACCTTCTTAGTCCTTACCTTGAGTTCATTGGCTTCAATGTATCCACTGCGATCGGTGTCATACCTTCGCCATGCCTGCATATGAAACACACTTTGGTGCATGGAAAGATACCCACAGACACACACACACTGACACATACATGTTGGTGTACCCATCTAAATGGGGACCTTCCATTCCTTTCTATGGGACAAACCCTAATCCCAATCACAACACCCTTAACCCCAACTCAGTCCTAACCTTAACCATAAGTAACTAAACAAAATACAAGAGTTGGCATTTTTAGATTTTTTTTCTGCAGTCACAGATTTTTATAAAATTGAGGTTATCCAAATGGATATCCAAATATATATATATATAATACTGAGATAACATTCTCAGATGTCTCTTTGCAACATCTCTCAACATTGCTGTGAAAATCCAGACTTCTGGATACTTCTGCCTCGAGCTCGGTGGTGTGAAGGTGCTGCTGTTGGTGGACAAGGCCCACAGCCGACTGTGAGGAACGCCAGATGTCGACGAGATCATGGAAATGAAAGTGTTTTGCGAGACACTGTCAGAGCCTCCTGTCAATGTTTGGCATCAGTCACCATCACTGAACGTCCTTCTCGCACCAACTTTCATTTCTATCGATTCACGGATTGCGTGCCGCAGGAAGAGAAATGCATTTTAATTTATATTTTAATCTTGCAGCTGTCCTGTTCCTTGCAAGTGCTCTTATCAAAGATAGATGTCTCATGCTTTGCAGGTCTGTGGAGAATTACCACAGCCCATCCATAATATATGATGTCCTCAGAATAGAACCTCCACTTTCTCATCCTCTCGTCTGAGAGCCTGGACGTGACACCAGGTTTAAAAAGTTCCTCCTTTTTGTCTCATTTCATTTTTTTGAGCTCACCTTCGTAATTCCTCATTTGGGAAAGTGAATATAGTCTTACACCGGTTATAGCCAGACACTACAAATCTTTAATGCAGCAGGGAAATTAATCTGGGGGGGGGGGGGGAGTCGTTTCACCTCGCAGCATGCAGGTGCCTGTATGCTCATCTAACAGTCTGATGGAGAAAAATGGCAAATGGCACTGCAGCTTAATTCCTGGCAACTCGCGGCTTGGGGAGGGATAAAGTTGGGGTGAGGGTGAGGGGAAGACAAAAACCCATTCGCTCCCAGAGCAGACTGAAAGTGAAAGTGATGCACATAGGGCGAAAGTAGGTCTCTGTGCATGTTTGTGAGGAAAGCAGAGCCTGGACGTGTCCCCGGCTGATGACATCACTCGACCTGCAGGACCTCTCTGATGTTTCCCCATTTTCATCACCACACATTGTAGGTAAATATGTGGCAACGTCTGCTTTTCCCTGCTGGGTATGCAGCAGTAATGAGCCAGGAGTAAGGAGCTGTTTGCTGTTTCTTTTCTCTACTGTATTTGCAACAAACATACTCTGATCACACCTTACACTTATGAGGTCAAACTGAACTGTGCAGAAATGTACACACAGTAAAACCCATGACTGGGACCTCATTTAAGCAAAATTAAATCACTGCTGACATTTAGAAAGTCAAAAACCCACAGAGGTTTGCTGACTGAAGCTTATGAAGTTTATAAACGGTCAGCCGTCCAGGGTGCGTGCAAGCAGACACAAGGATCTGTTCCTTACCGCCATGAACTCGGAGCTGGAACCCACAAACTGTCTGAAGCACAGCAGAAAGTTCTCCTCTGTGGGCAGAATTTGAGCCAGCTGTTGGCAAGAGAGAGGAAAGAGGTAAGGACTGATCGTACGAAGTGAGAGAAACCTGTAAGGAGGGGGTGAGACAGACAGGCACTGAGATACAGAGTACGACAGGAAGATATGGAGGGGGGACAAAAATCATGAAAGAGAGATAGAAAATCTTAGAGTGAAACATTGAAAGAGATAAATCAGGAAAGAGAAAATAGAGTGATAAAGAAACCTTGTGAAAATGGGAGATATTCAAGCTGATGGAAAGTTCTAGAACAGCAAGAAGGAGGTCAGTTCTGTACAACTATGTCGTCCACATATTTCCTGTGAGGTGTGATCCTTACCTCAGACATTTCGATTCTTCCATCTGCGTTCTTGTCAAATTTCTGCATGAACTCCCTCATCTTTTCTCTGAAGGAAGCATTTGTGGGGTCCTGTCCAAAAAATAGAATTACTTTCCAAAAAATAGTTTTTAAAATATTTATTTATTTATTATTTATTTAAAAATTACCGGTAATTCAATAGCAGTCCTGTAGATGTGAAAATGTTTCCTAGGTCCCATTTGAGCTAAACCTAACCCAGGAGTTATTAAGCTAAACCTAACCCAGGAGTTATTAAGCTAAACCTAACCCAGGAGTTATTAAGCTAAACCTAACCCAGGAGTGATTAAGCTAAACCTAACCCAGGAGTTAAGCTATCTCTTGGTTATCAGGTGCATATTCACATATAAACATGTAGTGGTCCGTCCTATATTCTATGGCAGAGGACAGCTGTATGTCACTTTATAATGTGCTTCTCTCTTTACCTTCTAAAGTCAGTGTTCCCCACAACAGGGGAAGCAGTGTTAAATATCCCCCTGTGTAATATTGTATAGAACCTGGGGGCAAAGTTGCAAAATTTAGGTTGTATGAAAAGAATCCACATTTCCACAGAAAGTACCCGAACGGGGTTTATTTTAATGCCTGCTAATGCCCTGCAGGTGACGAACATGTCGTGACCCATATCAGGACCCATCAGAAACCAGGAAGAAGAGCCTCAGCTGGCTGCGGTAAATTAGATATTATGACCTCTGAATTTTTCTGCTCGCTTTGGATTTGACTTCTACAGCTCATGGCAGCGGTAGGAAGACAAGGGGCCTGAAGATGACAGGCTGGTGTTACGCTCCCCATTCTAATGACGCCGATGGCTCACCACGCCTGACCCTCTCCGTGAACTTTCCAGCTCCCGGAAGAAGTTCTCCAGCTCCTTGCCCTCGATGTAGCCATTGCCTGGAACACAGCATAAGGCTCACTGACGGCACAGCACTGTCACTCTGGCCTTGCACTCCTCTTACCTGCACCTCATAAAACTTTAACATCTGTAGACGTGTGACTCCTCTTCTCCTCCCGGCTGCCCATGTATCATTACTAGCTAATAGACAACGGTCGCATGGAATCATGGGTAAATCCTAGGCTGGGGTGCACTGGGGTGGCACAGCTGTGCATCATGTTAAAATGAAAGCTAATTGTCAGTCGTTAGGGGCCCGGAGCTGATTTCTGTCTCTCTCACACATCCTTCTCTTTTTCCATTCTTAAAAGTGAGATAGGCAGGGTTGCCATGTGGCGCTAATGAATTCAATCTGGCACATCATAATGCTCTAGTTGGCAGAGTTTACCGTTGGGTGGTTTTTGTATTTTATCAGCGCAAACAAAAACAGGAGCTCTATGCTGATGGGAGAGTCCCAAGCTGCATAGCTCAATAAGTCGCAGTAATGAATCGCAAAGGGACCTTTTCACCTAGCCGGTGAAAGCATTTTATTTAAGAATGTATTTGACAGGATAATCAGCAGAGTTGCAAAGCAGAATCATGAGAGAAAAAAATCTGAATAACAAAATAACCACATAGTAACCACATCATATATTAAATGTTTTTTTTTGTACTGTGTGTAAAAAATGGGTTTATTTCATAGGGTTCATTTTAAATGGCATGTTGTGGATGTGAAGAATGATGTAATATGGAATTTCAGTAAGAAAGGATCAGCAGGCTATTCGTAACATGACATTTATTTTGCAAATGCTTTTGTCTATAGTGACATGTAACTGAGGAAAGTCTGAGGTCAAAGTATATGGTCAGTCAGCATCCAGGGCCCCTGAGGTAGTTACCATTAAGGGCCAGGCTCAAGGAACCAATGGTGATTCGCCGTCAGCCATAGGATTCAACTCCACAACCTACAGGACGCTGATACAAAACATTAGCCGGTTAAACTCCACACTGCCCCACCACGTCATTGTGGGCGGGGCCTTATGGCAACAGTGGCCACCCTAAGCTGTGACTGCTGCTGCAGATTTCTTGTCTAATGTCGACGTCTTTAGCTCCATTTTCCTGTGGATCATTGGCGACAATGAGAAAATTAACCTTGAAAGCTGATGTTCTATTAAAAAGATCAGATCACACCTAGGAGTAGATGTGGTAAAAACCATGTGCTGTTTTTATCAAGAGACAGACATCATGCTTTTCCTATAAGCTTGCGGCTTCACAGAACCTTGACATCAGTGATCCTGTGCACTTGGGGATGTACTGAACCCACACATGTGAAAGGCGGGCACAGCAGACTGGCATAGCTCTGAGTTTAGACAAGTATTATTATCCACTTTGCTGAGGGTTAGCTGCTTTCACAGTAGTTAAAATCCTGGGATGCATATAGCAAATGGCTAATTCTGTTGTACTCTTGAATACTTCCTTGCTACGGTGTTTTAAAATTGGACTTTTCAATCTTTCTTAAAATAAGGCTTTAGTATTTCCTCAATTTTTATTGAATGACATTTGACTGAAACCCCACTGGAGGTTAATAAAGTTACTCAGGATAAAATCTAGAATAAAATATAAGTTGTCCCAAATCTGCCTATACATGACAATATGACATGTTTCTCAACATGCCCAGACTTCTAATGTCATTAACCTTCTAAATGTCAGAGGCAACAACTTACTGTTTAGTTTCCTCCATTATTCAAGGAATAATGTAGGTGAATTATGCATAATTTCACTTATAATGCAGCCACTGTTAATGTGTGTCTCAAAATTAGATGTGATAAAATATGTTGTATTATAAATCTATTGTTCATCTGGATTGTTCATTGTTCATCATCAGCCTGTGGAAAAAATGTCCAATCCTATCCGACAAACAGAATCCTTTCTTGCCTGTTCTCTCTCACTCGCATTGGAATTCAATAACCGTCTTGGAGTTGGCCGAATGGCGTTTGACCAGTCCATCGCTGTGGCAGGTATTTCTGACTGATCTTCCTGATGGAAGCGTAGAGCGCTGTGTTACTGCTGTTATTCACTCGCCTGGCATTTATATCCTCAGTGACGAACGTGGCTTTAGCGCAGCAGGAAGTTGATTGAATTTTGGTGGCATGTTTTCAGAGCTCTGGTCAAATGCCTTAGTCCTCACTCTCACACAACCCCCCATGCCAGACCCCCAGCGAAATCATCTTTGGATATCACTGCAAAAAACTGCCAGCTATGTTAACAATTTATGGTGGAATTGGATTTATCACAAGATACCAACTTCATTTTATGATATAGTGCTTTTTGTGCTTTTTTAAAATGTCTTTATTCATCAATGCATCATGTTCAGCGTAAATTAATAATTTAAAATACGTTCCTATCTGAAAGGATTTTGTTCTGGGGAGGTAATGGTTGTCCTGCAGACATACATTTATGACGGATTTACAGATGGTCATTTACTAAATAAATGATGCGCATATTCGTTGTGGGTCTTACACTGGCGCTATGTGGGGTCATTATATGACGTTATATCAAATAACAGGTGTCAAACTGGGGATTTAGGCTTCGGGAAAACGGGTAACGTTAATCATTCAGCGTAAAATGATATGATCACCCTCTGGCACAATCCCAATTCATAATGAGTTTCCAATGTTCATAACTGGATTTATTATTATGCCTAAATTCAGCACAGCAGCATAATTAAACGGGTGATCTATTCTTAAACACCCATGGCAGCATATTCAACTTCAAATAGCCTGCAGATTATTTGTACAGATTTGTCATGTGATCATGACAAGGTAGCCATACCTGTGACCTGTTACCTACAGAACTGGGGCTCTAACTGGCACATTCACATAATGCACCTTCCTTTAAGGGTCCATTTAGGATTTGAAGCAAAACCATATGATACCATATCTGTACCCTAATTATTTGGTTTAAAAACATATACCTAAGAAGGTCACACAATATCACATCTAATATCACATATAATGTTTTTAGATTAAGGATTTAATTTATAGTTTACAGCCACAGACTTGTACGATATCCTGCATAATCTCATATGACATTATGTTTTCAGATGGTTGCCATTTTTATTGTGTTCGCTTGTATTGTCTCAGTAACACTTTTACACTCTTACATCAAGTTTTAGCTTGAAATTTTGACAACAGAGGATATGATTAATAGGATATGTGTGCTGCTCAGCGGGCTAGACATCAGTCCCCATGTTTAGAAGGTGATGTGTTTGAATCCCGTAGCTCGTAATCATCTCATCTTTGGGCCCCTGAGCAAGGCCCCTGAACCTAACAGCTCCCGGGAGGTCAGCTGATCTTGCTCTTTGGTCCCCAGCCTCGCTTGTACGTGGTTTTGGACTAAAGTATCTGCTAAACAAATAAAATAAAAGTTAAAGTGCAAAGCAAGATAGGAGGGGATATTAGTGCTTATGAGGGATTTTGCTGTGCATCTCTGTGATGCATGTTTAATGGCTGACAAGAATATCTGCAAGTACTGGGTAACAGGTATATCCAAAACTGCACGCTTCCATGAAGAGCTGCCATATACAGAGGTGGATACAGGAATCAGATCCAGTTAGATGCATGGCGTGCCGAGGTTCGGACCTTAGCCAGTGCTGCTGAAGCCATAATCTGCTCTACGCGTTTTAAAGAAGCACCATGAAATATGCAACGAAAGACAAAAACGACCATTAAACCAACAAGGAGTCTGCAAGGGGCCCCGGAAGGGACTCTTACCATTGATGTTTGACTCGATGCCCCAAATGCTCCCTGGGAACTGAAAAGTTCGGGCTAGGAGGACTTCCCACAAGCAACCAGCCATGGAAACTGATCCGCTAATGTCCTGCATGGAGTTACTAATGTTTGTGACGTTAGTAACAGAATACTGCTGCAGTGACGTCTGGGCACCAGTGGTCCTTGAGCACAGACCCAGAAGCCCCTTTGCAAGATTTACATTCATCAAAGATCATCAAAAAAAATCAGCGTCTCATCAAAAGTGAATGATTCCTGTAGATCAGTGCTTCCCAATCCGGTTCTTGGGGACCCACAGACAGTCCAGGTTTTTGCTCCCTCCAGGGAGCCAGTAGGGAGCAGAAATGTGGACTGTCCGACTGGGAGCTTGGAGGGAGCAAAAACATGGACCAACTGTGGGTCCCCAAGGACCGGACTGGGGAACGCTGCTGTAGATGCTAATGCAGGATTGTTCCAGGTGAATGACACACAGGGTTTACCTTCAATGGCTGGGGTGGCCAAATTGTTTACTGCAAAGGGCCAGTGTGTATGCAGGTTTTTGGAATAACTTTTAGGTCAGCCATTCAAACCCAGGTGTGAGGACTCTTCAGCCAATCAGTCCTCTAATTAGTAATCTAATTAGGGAGTTCCAGCGAAAACCCACATACACAGCGGCCCTTCCTGGATAAGATGGGCTGCCCTGCTCTGTGGCATAGCAGTCCACTGCAGGACATCTGCACACACTACAGGCTTAACTGCATGTATTTGAACTGTGGGAAGAAACCCACACAACACAGGGAGAGCAAAGTCCACACAGACGGCATGCGGGTGGCGTTTTAATCCCCAACCCAAGAGATGTGAGGCAACATCGCTATCCGCTGAGCCACCATACTGCCCTAAGATATAACAACAGCTTTATGCAATGAGAAGTTAGGGGCACTGTTCTGATTTTCAGAGGTTAAGGGAAGGTTTGCATGGATGTTATTTTTAGCTGAAAATACCTTTGCTTCTCCATAGAATTTTTATATCACGGTGCTTAAGAAACTGGTACTGTGATCAAATAGATAACAATTTTAAGCCTCAGAATGCTGTGCTCGTTTGTACTTCATTGAATGACGGTGAAATCCAACATATTCAGTAAAAATAAAAATAAAAATAAAAATAGTAGCTACACATTTGTAAACTACTTAACTGTCACTGGTCAACGTGCCTGTGATGTAGCTACAGGCGATGGACTGAGTGTTTCGATGGACCAGCGATCGCACCGGGCGAGGAGCGATGCTCATGAACGCGCAGCACGGAAACGCGCAGCGGACGAGCGATAACGGATCTCAGCTTCGGAACTGACGCTTGAAAGGAAGGAGAAGTACTGTGTACTGTAACTGAAACTTCAACAGACGGACACCCAGAGCAAGAAATCTTTGTGCATTCATTTCATGCTTGTATTATTTAGCATGGATTTCATATCGTTTATAGGCCTACCATTGCCCAAGGCGTTTCTAAAAGGACAGGTATCTCTAAAACCTAATTATCACATCGATTTTTTTCTATGTATCGATCCTTTTTAGAAGGCACGTTATGTTCCCAGAGGATGTCTGAAGCCTTTCTTACGGCTTTTCCCATAAGCAATTGTTCGTGTAACAAATAAAATTGAGAAAATATTGTTCTCGGACACGTCGATAACTGTAATTTAACTTTAAAATTAACTTTCTATCTTTTTTTTATCTTTCCCGGCCCGCTCCCCTAAATTTCCATGCTACCCCCCAGCCCCACCCACCGCACCGAAGAAGCCGGGGAACTTCTCTCGGTAGATCTGCGATGTAGACATAATATGTATGTTTCTATTTGGAAACATGACATTATAGCCAATAAACATGTAAAATGGTGCAATTAAGTGTAATAATAATTAGATCTGTCTAATCTTGTAAATTAAACATTCCTCCGAAATGACATCATTACTACGGGTTTTAATCAAGAATACGATATACCATGCAGTTAGGAACGAATATAGTCTCACTGTAAAGATATATTTGAAATAAAGAAAAACACGGAGGAGCTTAGGTCGCAGCCCATTTGACGGTGCGCAATTTCCATGAATAAGATTGAAAAATGTGTTTTCCCGCTTACGCTCCCTGAAAGCCCCGGCAAAGCAGCCTGGATCTGGGGCGCTAACCTGGTTTGGTAGTATTGGATAGTATTGGCACGCCCATGCCAAAACTATCGTGGCAATTAACGTAATTCACCAATGTAGCAATATTACCCAAAATCAATGCATATTGGACTTCTTTCACTAAATACATTTCAAAGTAAGTTATAAGCATTAAAATGTTTTCCTTTGAGTTTTTAATGAGTGCTGTGAAAATAATAAAAAGTTTAAAGTAGTGCGAATTGTTGTGTACGGTGTTATATTATTTGGTAACTTAATACTGAGTCTAATTTTAAGGATTCTAATAAAAATGCCAGTAATTGTAACAGATATCATACATGTGCTTAATTATAAATGGTAGCATTTATATGACTACAGTACACTGTAACTGTAAATTAGCTGTCCATACATATTCATTCATATATAAATGTGATGCATAAATATTGAACATAGGCTATCGTCGTAATACATAAATGAATTTAGTCGCGTGATGTTTAAGCTGTACATTTTGATGTCATGTTATGTTTTAAAGCAAACTTTTTAGCTAAAAATCCAATGACACGCGTGCCGCCCGAATCTTTTCATATTTTTTTAAGATTTCTTTCGAGTTTCAAGACATGATTCTATATGTGTTGTTTTTACAGGTTAGATAAACGTTGGAGCTAAAATACTACAAATTAAGTTATATATTCCTTATTTGAATAGAAATTGTTGGTAGCCTAAATGAAAACACAGCGAAACATCGCCTTTTTGTATTCGTATTATTATTCGTGTGATATTCGTGTCCTTCTGCCTTTCTCTTACAGTTCTCAGATCTCCGGTTTTCCTTAACAAAGTACCGTACTGTAAATGGTTAGAAACATCACATTCTGTAAATAACATTCTGTAAAAAACAACGCCCCCTGATGAAAGTGACTCGGATGAGGCAACAAAGCGCGTCTAAATAACCGAAGTTGCCGCACTTACCGTCAGTATCGAAGTGTTTCCAAATGTCCAGGAACTGAGATGCGGTCAGTTCCGCCAGGTGAAGGTGAGGAGGTTGCTGTGCTTTGTTGGCCATTGTCTTCCTATTCTCTTTCTTGCACTTGAAAATCCCGTGCGAACTTTTGCACAGTCAGGTCCCAGTTCTAACTGTCGCCGGCCAGCTCTGAGCCGAAGCTTATAAACCCCACCCCTGGGTGCGTGTACTTCTCCGGCAGTCCTGCGGGAGGCGCAGTGGCTCCGAAAACAACACCCAGGCGCTCAAATCGGTGTGAGAATCCGCGGTGAGGGCACTCCTCCTCCATCGCGTATTTTTTCCCTTGAGAAAATAAGTGATGTGTTGTACATCGGCCCGAAGGCATCAGCATCTCCGTAAACTGTGTCTATACTCTGCAGGGAGTTAAGCTCCGCCTCCAAACACAGAGATGCACCACAAACGCAGAAAATCAGTAGCTTGAGAGTTCTTATTTTGCATTGGTCTCAAACCACTGCATGGCGTATAATAGATGGTGATTAGAGGTAATCAGCTATGGCTAGAATGATCCTTATATGATGTAATCATGATTTAGACTCATCATGGCTGTTTATGACATTCTCTATGGGGCAAGGGAGTCCCACAGCGCCAGCTCTGGCCATGGGGTGCTGATGCAACCTGTCTTCATCCTTGGGGCATCTCTGTTGTGTGGGATTTGGCTTTCCACACGATGGGCTAATGGATCTTTGCCATGCCAACAGCACTGTGGTGGTGGCACATTTGGGAGCATGGTGTGGTCCTGCCTTATGATCTGAGCACAGATATTAGCTGGTGAATATCACCCTGGTGCTATGACCCTGCTGTTTGTGTTCTTGATGTCCAATTGTTTAAGCAGCAAACTCTGTATATTTATCAAGTCTTCCATTGAACAATTATTTATTAAATGGGCCACTGGCAAACGGGATGGGAGGGTGGGACAATGGTTATTGTTGTCAACCGGGGGTGGGGGGTGGCGGAGGCAATGGTAAAAGTTGTTGATGGTCATCATGCCCTTGCCAGGACCCGTCACTGCAGTGGGCAACACTGGGTCTTTCAGCGGGCTTGCTAAAGCCCAACGTGCACTGTTAGGGCTGTAGGATCCCTGCATGCCCATAGTGCCCTGCTTTGGTACCGACGAGGCCAATTACTCACCATGTGCTACACCTTCAGCTGAATATCAGGGCTGCCAACTCTCACGCATCTGGCGTGACACTCACGCTTTCACACTCACGCAAGAAATCTTACGGCAAATCTATATTATTCCATTACAAACCTAAAATTAGTTACATCAATAGTGTTGGGGCAGTTTGCAAACCCTACAGATTACAAGGTAATAAAACTGTAACATATATGTAAATGAGTGTGCAGGATTGAAAATCTCACGCTAGCTAGCTGACCAAAGTTGGCAACCCTGTGAATATACCGTTTTTTGAGTAGACGTGCGATGTCGGCTGTTGCTGATTTGGTGACCGCGATCCGAAATGGAGCATTTCACCGCTTCTCTGAACGCACCAGAAAATCTCTTCATTCACTTCAGTCAAATAAGTACAGGCATCCACTTTGTGCAGTCCCCCCCCCCCCCCCCCAAACTTCCCCCAATAAAGAGAATAAATGGTAAATGAAATGAATAGTGCAGAATATTACAGGGTGCCCTAAAGCACAGGCCATCCCCAGAGAAGTGGTAAAGGAGTGTCACCTAATTGAGCCTCAATGTACTCGAACCGAGGCCCAGACTGCAACCATCAGGACTCCGAATGCCATGCGAGCTGCTGTTAAAGGGTTATAATCTAACCTGTCTGAATCTAATACGATGTAATCCTTCAATCCACTTTGCTGTTTACTCCTGAGCTTTTGAGGCAGGGTAATGTGCTGAGCGACTGTAGACGTTGGGCTACTGTTTATAATGTCATTCTCCCAGAAGATGCGCTTTGCACTCTCTGTCCCGGCTTTTTGCCGCTGCTATTTAACATCCGCCTGTCAGAGACAGGAAGATTAAGGGAAGGAGGGGAGAGGGGCAGGGAGTGGGGGGGGGACCGGGACCACCCCCACCCCCCTTCAGCATGCACTGCGGTGTGCAGTCTGGGATGAGCAGGAGAAGAGGAAGGAGAAGAGAGGCTGTGTGAGAGCTGGCAGGTGGACAGCTAACGTCCATAAAAGCAGGATAAAAAAAAGGGAAAAAAAGAAAAAAAAAGCAGGATCAGGTGGTGCTCATGGGGTGGGGGGGGGGTGTTTCAGCTGGTTGTGGGACATTTGGGACTGACCTGCATGTTTGATTAAATGTTTTAATATTGATGTTAGTCTGCCTAAGTAAATCAAGAGGAAGAAGCCATGATTAGGGTTACGACTTACTACGGGTTTGCTATTAAAATTATTCAATTTCTCTTAAGCCACCAATATCCAATTACAGGTATCCGGATGATATGGGAAGAGCTTCCAGATTTTACCGTCTCAGTTGATTTGTGATGTATTTTTAATCAGTTTCTCTAAAATGTGCCCCTCAAATGTATAAGTTTCAGAACACAATTTCCCTCTAGTATGTCCTAAAAACTGACATTCAGACTAGACATTTGTGTTATGTTTTACTTGTGCAATCATGTGTTTAACCCCTGGAAAAGCAAAGCATGTTATGGGAAAAAGCAAAACTTATTGTCTTATTGTTCTACGCATGGTGCAGAAGTCAGGCAGAGGAGTTCTTGAATGTGAATTGTGAAATCAAAAAGTTTGGTCTTTTTTGTGATTTTGGTTTGACGCTGAAGATATCGTCATAGTATTGTTTTGGAGCTTCTTTAATTAGTTCTCTAAATCTAGGGTTTTGCTTAGCACTGATGTTACCTAGTAAACAGAACTGCAGGAAAGCTTTATGTCCAGCTCGTTTAACATACTAAATGTTCTACCTGGATGTCATCACCGAACAATTAATGACAAGCTCGTCCTTGAGCCAGAGGCCTACTGGAAGCAGAGGCAGTGTCACCATACTCAAATTGATGGATCCACCTAGTCTGTCCTTCAATCTACCTCCCACTTATACAGAAGCATGTGACACAGGTAGATTGTGTCTGTACAACCATCAGATCCCACTGAGCATGGTTGTCACAGATGTTGCCATAGCGTTGCCATGCTGCTGAATGTCTTGTCTTATTGCACATTTTAAGAGAGTAATAATGAAGACAAAATGTTCCCAGGTATGTCTAACCATGCCATGATCTCAGTGGCGGTATTCACCACCTTTCAAGCCAAGCATTTGAGTGGGACCCCAAGATTTGGGGGCCCTCTGTTGACCACAAACAGTCACTACACTAAATATTAAATAAAGGCATTCCTTATTTAGCAGATACCGCTAAACCAGCTAGCTACAATCTTCTGACTCTACTTGCTAGCTATTTATATTTAGTTTTTGAAATATGTGGCAGAGGTGGGGGGGTGAAGCAGAGACAACTAACGCACCCCTGTGTGTGTCCGCTTTTCAGAAAGCCATCTTTTCTGCTTGGGACTCTGGATATCCCACATTTTTGTTTGAGTTCCTTTTCATGTGACATTCTTTGCATTTCCTAGGGCGGATGGGAGAACATCTCACGTTAATGATTTAAACAGGCGCAGAGGGACGAGATAAATAATAAAAAAGCAAAAGGCAGAGAAAGGAGGAGTTTGTGCTGTTGAGCTTCAGTTAGACTTATTGTCTGTGCTTGTCCGTGTTTATGCAATTTGTACATGTGTGACCTCACACAGGAGAGCTGCTGTATGAGCGAATGAGATTACTATACAGACTTACATATGAGCACTTATGTATACATGTATTTTACAGTTAATTCATGTGTAGAGCTGGTTGAGCGTCTTGTTACAGTACAAAATCCAACTTCTCAGCCTGGAATCTATGTTGAATAATGAATGCAGTTAATAAAAATGATTGCATGATTAAAACACATATGTTTCAAATAACTACTAATGATATCTGATCAACTGGATAGGATTGTAAGGGACCATTATGTCTCAAACTGAACAGTTTAGGAGGAGATCTGTAGTACCGTTCTGGGACCATTAAGAAGCTTAGCAGAAAATAATAAATAATTTCCTAATAGAATTACAAATATACCAGTCAGACATGAGGCAGATAGGTGGATATATTTAAAGGTTTCTTGTTGCTTTACATTCATTCAGGGTATAGCGATCACATTTCTTATGCACTTGGCAGACACATATTATGTTTTTTTATTAATATTAGACTTGTGATTAATGAGAAGCATGGAAAGTGGTTTGATGAATATTTACATCATTATTCCAGCAGACAGATTTATGCTGCTGTATCACGCAGATCTCCCTCGGAATATGAGCTGTGTGCATCTTGTAGGGGAAACTTCCCTTCCACACAGCTGCCTGTGATGATGCCTGAAACGCTGCTTTTTTAATTTGCCATTAGTCGAAGTATGAGAAGAGGTGCTGACACAGACACACGTCAGAGGGAAGCCTGGGTTCTGAGCACAGGGCCAGCTGTCAATCCAGTGACCCCGGAGCATTTTTTGGGGCAGGGGGGGGATCAGTTTAGGGCCTTGTTCTGTCAGCATTGGGATTTGAAGCAGCAACCTTCTGATCGCCAGCAAGGTGGCCTACCCCACTGAACCACACAGCGCCCCCTATGGTAACTGTCAGAGCTTTACCGAAAACACTACGGCCACCGTCGTTACTTCTGTTTTAAGATTCTGCTGGGTGATGGACAGCTTTCCAGCTGATGCCTGGAGCCCCGTGTCTATCTATCTCCTTTATTATTGATGGATGTTATTGATTAACGTCACCCCCATTGCCCTCTTTAAACAGAGTACAAACTCATAAAGCATTTTACCGTACAAACATGCAGGCCGGCTCAATACAAGCTCTTCGGCGATCAATGGTCCCATATAAGGAGCCAGTGAACCTAACCCAATCCCACAAGGACTAAAGCCACGTGACCTTCTCACGGTCGTCCCAAAAAGTGATTTTCCATGCGATGGAGCTTTATATACATTGTGCTGTGTACAGCTTTATATTTATATGGATTCTTCATGCAGTGTTTTATTGAACTTGTTGTAGTAGTGCTGGTAAGTCTCATTTCTTACCAAAGATTGAATACGGAAACAGCTGTGCAAGTGAACGATAGTGAAGCTCCATTCGTGGACGGATCGTTCTTTTGAACCGGTTCTTTTCAGTGAATCGGTCAAACTGGTTATCGAATCTGAAAGGATCAAACATTTTGTAAATTCACGCGTTGCACAGGTCAAAGTCTTAGATTCTAAAAATCTAAAATTATTTCACAAATTAACATATAAAACACGCAACACGTTTAATTATATCCTCCTGAGACCCAAGGAAAAAAGTGTCCTTCAATTGTAGGTTATTTGTCTTTGGAGGAAATAAGACATCTTACAATTTAGATTTTTTCAAATTTATTTTTATTTTTAATTTCACAGCATGTCCTCTTTAGGGTACAACAGGAATAAATACGTTTCCTTACATCAGTGAAAAGATAGATGCAAAAACAAAATGTCCAGTGCAATGGACATAAAGGAATGGGTGGGGTCTCAGGAGGATATTATAACATTTATTATTGTCCAGTGTTATCGCCATTTTAAGTCAATTGTCATTGCATGTAACTTGCTTTCCTCTAACCTACAGTACTGTATTTTGCCCATAGGAGATGTTTATGATATAATTAATGTATTATTATTATTTATTATTTAAAATTCATATAATTACATGATTGGCCACTGGCATCACAGTTTTTATTATTTCATTTTGTTTGGAGTTACTAAGTCTGGAGTCACATTCCCCTAAGCCTGTCGTTCCTGTTCGGTATGTGTCTTTTAGTACTCAATTTTAATAAAGGAACGCATTAGTCGTGTTTTAGCAGAAGTGACGCTAGTGAGCTCTGCGGTACTGTATGTAACAGAATGCTTCATTAAGTTATTGAAACAACCTGAGTGAAGTCAGAGATGGTCATGTGACCTGCTGAGTCATCCGCTGGGCTGCAAGGGTGCCATCCACTGCCCGATGGCCCAACAACGGAAAACAAAGCGAGACAGAGGACTGGAAACAGGCACTAGCTGCTTGTTCCCAGCCAGTACAGCGATCAACAGAAAATACCTGAGCTTCAACAAGGAAGACTGTGTCATTACAGTTTGGTCTCAGTGGTGAATGGGCGAAATTTATATGTTTAATAACTTTTGCAACTGAACAGAAAATATACATGCAATGCAAAGTGTTGCAGTGTCATATTACATTAATTTAATCCCCTGTACTTACAAAGAATCCAAACTGGATTTGTGTCAAAGCGCAGTGCGGCATGTAAAGCACGGTCACTTTCTGTACAGTCTTCGATAGCACTGGCGTGTTGTCCTGAGGAGCAGAGGATGCTGAAGCACTTCTCTTTGTATCTGCGTAGCATCCGGTCTGCCAACGCTGGTGACGTTTGTCCAGGACGGGATTCCACAGCTACTGTGCATTTTCCCACAAGCTAAAACTAGCATCTGATTCACAATCAAGAAGATCAAACCTCCCATTTTTTTCACCTGGAATAATTTCAATATTGGTTCCATTCTGGAAAGTTCAAACGAATCAAAAGAGTAGACAAATGACATAGAAATTCACATATATTTTTACAATCTGCAAAAAATTGAATCGATGAGTAATGGCCATAGAGTTGCCATGTAAAATTAGTATAATTAGCTTTTTTGGATGAATTGATCCACAGCATGGTCTCACACGCCACCTACAGCTTCACAATCAAGCTGCTGACCAACTTCTGCAGGTCCTGGGTCCTCATATGTGTGGTCTCCAGCACCTCCTCATGGTTGGCACACTTGGTGCTGCAGTAATCCATCACTGCCATGTTGGTGATCAAGGAGAGGCCTAAGACTCTCAGTCCGCAGTGCCGGGCCACAAGAACCTCTGGAACGGTGCTCATCCCTTGAATGCAGTGAAAGTGCAGTCAGGAGAAGGCTGTGGAGTGAGAGGGTACTCTTCCTCCACACCAGGTAAAAGTAATAATAATGGATGCGACAAACGAAAGACGTGAGCTTCAACTGCGATCTGATCAGAAGATTATGACTGACTCGGAAACGCATGGAAGGCTCATGCAAATGCCGGGGAGGAAAACTTTAAACAGATTTTTAAACGTATACTAGATAATCTTGAAAAGGAATAATCATTAAAATTGCAAAACTTGCCAAGTTTTTTTTCCTATGACAGAGTAAAAATGTTTTAGCAAAACTGAAACCATGTGCGCTATAATATCCATACAAAACTAAAGGTAAGAAAAAGGCTGATTTTAATCTTGCTGACTAATGATGTGATAATCCCATGTGCATAACATGCAGTATTGGCAACTAATACATAAGTAAAAGTTTTGAAACATTTGCATAACGTTTCAGAATAAATTCAGTATATTTATTTTTTTATTGAAAATTGTAGATACATCATCAGCACTGCACTGCAGTCATTTTTCAAATTCAGTAAAAAAGACCCGCCTCGTACGTGCTGTGACGTCATTTGGTGTCCGTACCAGTTTTTATGCCAGTGGAAAACCAACACCTTGAAGTACTGTACTTTTGGTACTTTCTTGAAGTACCAAAAACACGGTACCTGGTGCAGTGGAAAAGCGACCAGAGAGTCAAAGATGGAACGAGAGAATTTAAGCTGTAAGGGAGTGAGAAGCATTGGTTACAGAGTCAAAGGGGGAGCAGGTCGGAAGGAGATTCAGACAGAAAGTGGGAGCAGCAAAGGAGAGTCAGCTCCAACACTGCACTAAAAACACCAGAGCACTGTGCACTATCAAGGGGCGAGAGTTTCCCCACACAAAGTCAAATAACTCAAATAACAAACGGTAGATTGGAAGAACCCTGAAGTTACCTCTCATGCCTGCCTCCCAGCCCCCCGGCACTCACCCACAGCATCAGCCCCCAGCTTCTGCAGCAGTCTGCACTCAGCGACGGTCTCAAAGCACGGGCCTGCCAGCACGCAGTACACCCCCTGCTGGAGGAAAGCGGAGCTGCCCTGCTCACGGGCTGCGTCCTGGGCCAGACGCCACAGGTCACGGTCATAGGCATCGGACATGCTGGGGAAGCGGACTCCAAACCTGGGGGGGGGGCATGTGACAATGATGGATGGGTGGATAGATAGATAGATAGATAGATAGATAGATAGATAGATAGATAGATAGATAGATAGATAGATAGATAGGGCGGGGGAAATTTTGCACGTGGTTATTACATTTCACCCATTGCAGCTTTGAATATTATATACTAGGATATTACATTTTTATTTGTACACATTGCTGCAAATATTACACATCATAAACACTGTTGTAAATAGTATTTTTATACATACTGTATCTGGGAGAATAATATGATTACAGGCAAATAAATACCACAGTTGTGATTACAGAATGAAAAAGAAACTGTTGCTTAAATGGAAAATGTGAAATAAATGCAGAACAGGCAGGTATTCCAGGCAGGCAGGGGTGGGGGGGGGGGGGCATCACCTCTCGTCGTTGGGGCCGCACAGCGGGTTCTGGCCCGCGAATCCCAGCATGTTGATGTGATCCTTTATCACCATGATGTCACCAACATGGAATTCGGGGTTCAGCCCTCCGGCGGCGTTGGTGACGATCAGAGTCTCCACACCCAGAAGGCAGAAGACCCTCACCGGGAACGTCAGCTGTCGGGACGGGCGGGACAGGGCCTCAGAGCCGTCTGAGGCTAGCGGGACAGACGTCACGCATCCCCGCAGAAAGCGTGCAAACAGACATTTTATAGGGTTTTGATCCAGCATCACCTGGATGCAGCCTCCACAGCATGTCTGTGTCTAATAAGAGCCCAGAATTTAACCTTTTATGTTAAAGCTACGCATCAGGTCATTCTCAGGGGCCGATGAGCGAGCTTTATGAGAGGCCAGGAAACAGACGCCGGGAAGTGAGCCGGTGATGGTTAGCAGCATGCTCCTGGGTAATGAAGCTGACTGCACTGTGCTGGTCGCCAAAGCTCACACCCAGTCACTCATAAACCAGTTTGCTTTATATGCTGTTTAGTGCAGTGTGCTATTAACTCCGGAATCCGCCAAGATTCCGGCAACTAGCTAAAAACCAGTGCATATTATTGCAGCTGATGATGTATCTGGAATTTTCAGATGCAAACATTTTCAATAAACAATTCAATATACTGAATTTATTCTGAAACATTATGCAAACATTTCAAAACTTGCTACTAAAACAATCATTCAAAGCAGGACAACATATAAATTCTGCATTTTTACCTCTTGATGTAGTATTTTTTTTATTTTACCAGAGAAATTCAGATTCACCCCTTAAATAGCACAGCGAGGGTTCCCTGCAGAGGACTGATATGGAGGGGGGGGGGGGGTAAGGTTGGCTCACCTGGGTGACGCTGTAGCCCTCATAGAAATGAAAGCGGCCCTTCATGCAAATGCACTGTTTCCCATTCAGCTCCCCGAAGACCAGCTGGCCGGCGTGACCCTGCACTGCAGAGGGGCGGGACGATGAAGAGAGGATCAAGATGGGGGGGGACTGGAGGAAGAGACCAGCAAAGCCAACAGAAGCAGAATCAGCGAAGCAAGCAGCCAGTCCTTTGGACTTAAAGATCCTCAGAAGTGTTCTAATTGCTCACTTGCATTTTTAGATTCATCTCACTTATAATATAGCATCACTGTCAGGATCCATCCCTGTCGGTCTGTTTCCCTGCTTGGCCAGCTGGTGTTGCTGGCAATCCTATTTTTTGTTCCCCTAGTCTTGTATGTTACACGGGTCCCAGTGTGTTCCCCTCTTCCCCGGCTCCCCAGGCTGCCATGTGGCTGTGTGAGCTCAGCGTCTGCCGCGAAGCGAGCACCCCTACTGTCGTGCGTTTGAGGCTGGTTTTCTTCGATTTTTAAAAAAAAAAATTCTGTCACCTTGGTTAATTGTTATTGTGTTTCGGTTTAGATATTTGTTTTTGTGTCTTTGGTTCAAGTTTACCCTGCCTGTGTCTTGTTTAGTTATTAGGGGTGTTCCACAAAGCAAGATTAATCAATCAGCTGGGTTAACTTAAGCTAGAAGTCATGATTGTCCAATACAAATGGTACTTACCTAGACTTGCTCAATCTAGCTTAAGTTAACCGAGACGAGAAATTTTGCTTCCAGGCGGTATTTCATAAAGCACAATTTCTGTTAGCTGTGCAACTTCAGCCAAACGTAAAATCTGCCCAATAGGGGTAGCGGTAAGTCACATTCCTACTGGACAATCCTTACATTTGACTTAAGTTATCTGACTAATGAAAAAATCCATATTTGGGCAACACCCCCTTTATGTTCTGTTTACCTATGTTCCCAATATCTCCTAGTGTTGTTAATTACCCTCACCTGTGTCCTGTTTCTGTAGTCTTCAGTGTATGGTTAATTGGTTATGGCCCACACCTGTCCTTTGTCTAGCCCTAGTCTCATGTGTTTTTAAGTGCCTGCCTGTATTCTGTTCCTCATTTGGTTCCGGTGTTTGCTCCTATATTGCTCCCTACTTTGTTCTTGTAGTCTACCTGCTTTGTCTTCTATCCCTCATGGTTCTCATATTCTATTTACTTGTGGAGTACCACTTTTTTGTCCAATACACCCCTTTTGCCTGAGAGCCGCTTTGTGGATTGTCTTTCCTTCATGCCACACCGCAACAGTCATGTCATGCCCAGCTGTGAATAATGCATATTTCACAAGAGGAGTCCATATTGAACACCTTCTTAGAGCACATAAAAGCAGCTCATTTTTTGGCTTTGAGATGCAACTTTATTAACATCACAACTGTAACTATCTTAAAGGCAACAGGTCTGTCTTACCAGCCTGTGCATGAATCCTTGCAGAAACAGTCTGAACCATCTGAGGGTCAATGAAGACCATGAACTCTGCTGCTGGCTCTCTGGATCTGTTTATTAATGGCCTTAATGAAGAGTCATGGTTCGGACATTGAGTCTGTCACTGAGTCCTTGAGTAGTAACTTCAAGCCTGCAGCCTAGGACAGTAGCTGTGGCTTGTTAATTTGCTGATAACTTCTTTAGCGACAGGCTTCTCGCTTGATTAGTTTGACTCATTACTGGGTGGACCTGCCCTTGAGGCAAGTCTCCATGGAATCATCCGCCGTCATTTCATTTGGCGACGTGTTATAAATACACTGTGGACCCTGATGCACCCCGCACCTTAAATGACTCTATTGATTTTGTGATTGTTTAATGTCACATTTCGCAAATGAATGGAAAGCCATCACGAGCCTTGTTTATTCGACAATGTAAACAAGGGCAGTGAGGCCTTGGATCCCCCCCCCCCAGCGTGGGCAGGGCCACGGGTGCCGCTGGCATTCCAGCACTGACCAGTGCTCCTGGGAAAGTTGGGGATCTCCTCATAGGGGAAAGTCTTCTTCTTCTCCAGAAGGTCAGCCAAGCCACCCAGGCCTGAGCCACAGATGATGGCCACAGTGGGGTGCCGCTCGATGCGAGTCAAGAGCCAGTTTGCAGTCTCCTTGTAGTCGTCGTATGTGTAGCTGAGGGTGACAGGAATAGAGAAGCCAATCAGGCGGTGTCACACGCAACAGCGACCTCGGTCAGGCAAACATGCACTCTCTATACTGCTCCAGTAGGGGGTGCTGTGTGACTCAGCAGGTTTGGATGCTGTGCCCATGATCAGAAGGTCACTGGTTTGAAGCCCAGTGCTGGCCCTTGAGGCTTTCAGCAAGGCCCATAACCCCCAGCTCCAGGGGCCTGCACACTAGCTGACCCTGTGCTGTGACCCCCAAGCTTACTCTCACCTGTCTGTGTGTCTCTTGGAAAGCAAGATGGAGCAGACAAAGAGAGAATTTCCCCATGGGGGTTAATGCAAAATATCACTATTCAATTTCTATTCACACAATGTGTGTTTGTCTGTGTGTGTGTGTGTGTGTGTGTGTGTGACTGTATATATGCGTGAATGAGTTTATGTGTATGCAAGTGTGCCTTATCATAACGCTGATTTATATGGCTAAAATAGGTTTTATATATATACTAATAGAATGTTAGTGCATATAATTAAAGTAATTCATTTAAATACTGTCAAGAAATTGTGGTAATTTCGCACTGTAATGGGTATTAACTTGACGAAAGTTTGATTTAATTTACCACACTAGTTAAACAGGGGTGTGTAGAGCAAAGACAACAACACAGCAACGCAAGTACAGAGGTCCTTTGTGCAGATTTCCTTGACATCTACAGGATAATTGGATTAGGGTTAAGTCTGCCCTGGCTACGCAGCACTTATGTGGCTGTCAACACAGAATAATGACCTCTGACATGTAAAATGACATTTAATTAATGTTTTAAAAATACATTTTATACAACATATGATTAGTTCAATATGTGGTGCTGTACGTCAGCTCAGTGACTAATACTTGGGATTGCCTTCTGCTACAGATAACGCCATTGTTATAGATAACTATAAAACTCATTTCAGAAAAATGGCAAAGGTCACCTATTCTTCTGAGTCATCTACAGAGCACCAACAAACCAGAACTCAAGTAATAAAGTTTTCATCTGTGAAGGAGTCTTTGAATGGATAACCTGAGATTGGTTTGCAGGAGGGGTGATGTTATGCCAGTTTTAATCTTCTTGGATACACAGGAATTGAGTAAATAATTATTGACTGAATGCACTGGGCGACGGCAACACTTTTATCACTCGCTCTTAGCAGTTTTTCATAGCTACTGTATGTTTCCCGTTTGCGAGCAGTTCAGCGTCAGTGCTGTACTCTGACCACGCAACATCATGTGACCGCGTTAAACTGAAACAGAGCTCTGTCGCTTCTTGGGAAAGCTGTCCTTTCTGGCAAAAGTGCCAATTGTACGAATGAACCTGCTGTGCAAAACAGATAAGGCTGCAGATAGATAAAATCCCCTAACGGTGGTTAATGGGGACAGGTGCACCCGGTTTACGCTGTCCAGGGTGCTGTCGGTAGTTCCCTGCTTGGAAACAACACCGGTTTTTCAGAAAATTAATGCAATATTAGGCTATATAATATGTATAAATAATGTTTATACAAACGAATATCCCACTGGCACTGTAGCTACACGATAAACTTTTATCCCAAAATCCAGGCGTTTTAAAAATGCGGGTAACTCTGACCACTGACGCTTCTTTTAAAGATACATCACAAACGATTAAATATAGTCTAATTATTTTACCTAAATAAAGTTACACACTTAATGTATGTAGCCTATATTTAATGCTTTTGCTACCTTATCCACTGTTTGCAGCCAGCATTGATGCACCAATCCCCAAAATTAAACGAATAAATACAATTGCATCCAATTTTATTTTAAAAATCCCCTAAAAGTTAGCCTGTTTTAGTTACGGTTATCTCCTTTTATTTCACCACAGCCTTTTATAATGAGTAGGCTAATCATTGGTGTTGTGTAGTAAAGTTAGTTTAATGATAAATCGAACCCCGCAGAATATCGAATAAGGTGATGACCCTTTTTATACAGTAATACGCTTGACATCTTACCTGTGCTTCATGGCAGACATGGCGACTGGTGCTAACGTCAGCTGGATCTTTGCGATCGCACCACAGGTGTCACCGACTTGTAGGGTCCGTCCCTCGAATGACGGGGCAGTTTGATGGAGGGGGAGGAGGTGCAGTCTATAACCCCCTCTCTAATACCATTAAAATCCACTTATAATTTCTGCTCGTGGCCGCAATACCGGAAACGGTATATATATCAGCGAGAAACTCAATAAGATGCAATCACGATGTGCCGAAAACGAATTCGCCTTGGTTATGAACAAGTAACACAACAGAAGAAGGGTTTTGTGCTGTCGGTGACTGCCGGTGGCTATACGGGTAGCGCCGTTGCCTTAACCCCGGCACTCAGGATTTGCACAAGTGGGTTTACTGGCGCGTCTCTGTGGGTTTGCGCGTTCCCGCGGCTTCAACCCCTAATCCGAAGATATACAGTTAGGCTTTTTGACGTTTCGAAATTGCCCATAATCCATGAACGTGATCCATGAATGTGTGCCATGCAATGGACAGGATGCCCCTTTCCACGTGCCTTTTGCTGCCTGGGTTAGGCTCGCAGTATAAGCGTTTGAAAGCTGTAAAATTATACAAATATTGGCCAGTGATTGTTAACGCTTGAGGGAGATGATTCATTGTAATGAGAGACATAGCTTTGTCGATATTGTTGCACAAATGCATACATATTAATGTTGATTAAATTGCTTCACCTTTTTGCATTGGTAATTTAATTTATATTCGGGGTCCAGGCGGAGTAGCTGCTGGATCCCTATTGTATTTCTACTGATTGTTATTGTCATTGTTATTGTGCTGTTAATAAAACAGTTGGTAGGCCTACTATGAAAAGGTATAATTAGGTATAAGCACGTTAGGTATAAGATCCATGTGTTATGTGTTTAACAAATCTGTTTGCATGTAAGCCTATGCGAAACGTTCATTCCGTGTCTGCGTCTGGCCACTGCATTCTACAGTAGGCAAAGTAGTCAGAGAACAGCCCCTCTAGCAGTTATTAAACCAGTCTTTTGGGTCCGTTGTTGAGGTGATACAGGATGGCTTATATGTAAAATTACTGTGCTGTCACTCTAATATTATAAACAAACTAACAAAAATAAATGGATAGATAGATAGATATGTTCTACAGTGCGAATACGCAGCTACTCACTGAACCTGCCAGTCTCACACAGAGCGGAATCAAGATACGAGATCGATAATAATGATTTCCCTGCGATGTGTGAGCGGGGCAAAACCCTTTGAGTGAGAGTGATAGAAGATTCTTTTGAAGAGCTTCATCGATCAGTTCAAACCACACCACCAGTTCATAGAGCTCATCGGAGATATTAGAGCATTTCCCACGGCAGGTGGAATGAACCTGTGAGGTTTCACTAGCCGTGTGATTCTCTTCAACAGCGCCAATCTGCTATTTAAATGATGGCTGACTGGTGAGGAGAAAACCACCCAGAACAGTCAAAATCAGTCAGAATTCTTAAAAATGTAAAGAACTACTATGAGGCGTGTGAATAATTGCAAATAAATCAGTAATTTCAAGTCATTTTCCGCAAGCACTGAAGTTTCGATTGTCCTCAAAAAGACCACTTTACTGGTGAGATAATATCTACGACTGCTACCGCAATCCAGCCGGCTCAATATTTCCCCTCATTTTAGCTTTGCTCATTATAATATACGGAGGCAAAAGAAATCAGTATCCAGGCACAGATTTTACTTCCTGCTAACTGAACGTGAAAGAACATTCACTTTGACCTCAACTGACTGGATTTGGTTAAAGATCCGTGTTGTTATTACTTTCATGCTGGATGGCTTCCAGTTGGCCTGTATAAAGTTTAACAGAGTTTAGTGAACCATATTCAATTGTATTCTTATCTTGCTGAGCTTGCTTTGTGTGTGTTTGTGTGTGTGTGTGTGTGTGTGTGTGTGTGGCGGGGGTATGTATATATTACATTGTGGGGACCAGATGTCCTTACAATGTAATACAAAATTTCTTTGGTCCCCACAAGGGGAAACTATATTATAAAAATCTGTGTCTGCAATTCAAAAGCTAAAAATAACCAACGTCTTATGTCTTATTTGGTTACTTATGGTAGGTTAGGGCTGGACAGGTTGTCATATTTAAATTAGTGTTTTTCCCATAGACATTAATGGGCAGTCCCCACACGACATGAACACAAACATGTGTGTCTGGTCATGTATACATTACATTGTGTTAAATTGATTAAAACTGTTATTTTGACCATTTTGGGACATTTCTTATACAAAGATCTGTGAACGCAATCAAAAAACTCAAAATGCCAAAAAATCTTGCAATTCTTATTGTGACGGTTAGGTCTGGGTAGCAGTTGTCATAGTTGGGATTACGGTTTTGGTCATGGAAATAAATGGAGAGTTCCCACAAAGATATAGATACATAATCTCAATGTGTGTGTCAGTGAATTTGTATTTACCACATTGTGGAAACCAAATGTCCCCAAAATGTTTAAAATCTGTTACTTTTTATCTTGTGTGGACATTTTTCAGGTCTCTGCAAAATAAGCCAAATTTTTATAAAAATCTGTGAATGGCGTAAAAAAACTAATAATGCCAAAAAAAATTCAATATTGTTTGGTTACTTATGATTAAGGTTAAGACTAGGTAGGACGATAATAGGAATGTATGAACTGTGTGTGTGTGTGTGTGTTTTGTGATTTCAATATTCTTCTTACTTCAGAGTGATCCTATACACACTTGCTGTTTCCATGGAAAGTCTGATATCACTTCCATTTGGAGGGAGGAGAGTCTTCTGTCAAATTATGGTGTTGCAATGTTAAAACAGATTGCAGGTCCTAATAGTGTTACGCTTCACATTTTATGCTGCCTAAGGAATATTTTCACCATCTGATCAAGTAGTACATTTAAAATCTGATTACATCATCCAAGCAGTAAACCTTAAATATAATAAATGTCTCCCTGTGGGAAAGAGGCAATGACAGGGAAGGATGGGTGTGCGTGTCATTCTGTCAATGCATGGCGGCGTATCTGCACTCCTGTTTTTGACAGGAGATTGACAGGACAGTTGGAGCACAATCCATGCAAGTCTGCCAGCATGGAGTCAAGCCTCTATAAAGGGACATCATACAATTCTGGAGTGTTTGGCCCGGTCATATTCTGGTTTGCTTGCACTCTGGGTTTCAGGGTGAGCAGAGGCTTATCGATTCTGCCAGGGAGGCGGAATTCATCTCGACCCATTTGTTGGCAGACATTGTCACTGATTTACAGGACCCTCCTTGAATTTTTTTAATGTATGAGAGCTGGATGAATTTCTCATTCTTAGTATGCAAGAGCGTCTGTGTTTGTGTAAGACGTGAGTGTTCCAGTCTGTCTTCAGAAGACATGCCCAGTGATCTAGTGCATTCTGTTGATTCATTCCATCTCTCCCTTATTTTGTAATTCATCATAAATATTTCCCTGACCTCCGTCTCCTTAACACTTCTCACAAGTTTACTTTCTTTGTTTCTGTCTTGCTGAAATGGAACATATCTGACTGTTTTTCATTCTACCTTTGTTGTTCTGATGGCAGGTTTTCTGTCACTCAACACTTATCTGGCTATGTAAGAAATCCTGTACAGGCCCCAGGCCACATGGCTGTGTTTACATTACATTTTATTTGTTTGGCAGATGCTTTTATCCAAAGCAATATGCATTTACAAAAAATGAATTGGGTCCGGCATGGTGGCGTAGTGGTTAGCAATCACTCCTCTGGGACCTGAGTTCAAGTTTCATGTGTGTAGAGTTGGCATGTTCTCCACCTTGTCATTGTGTCATTCCCCAACAGTCCAAAAGCATGGCAAGGCGAACTTGAGCTGCCAAATGGCTCATCAAGTCTGCTTGAGTGAGTGAACGGTGTGTGAGTGTGTTGACATTCCATCCTGGGTTGTTTCTTCTCTAGAATAGGCTTCAGACCCCCCCCCCCCCACCCACACACACACACAACCCTCAACAGGACAAGTGGTTACAGAAAATGGACAGATAGAGGTTCAGGCAGAGGTTAAGGGTCTTGAATTGGTCGAGTGGTTATAGAAAAAGGATGGATGGATGGCAGGTCAGACGGGGGTTAAAGTCCTTGCTCGAGGGACCAATGGCGACAACATTGTGCTGACCCTGGGATTCAAACCAGCAACCTTCCTATCACAGGTGCCTCGGCACGACCCAGTGCTGCCCCTTTACCTGTCTCCTGTGCAGATCTCACAGTTTGCTCCCTGCATTACTTCTGTTTATCCTGACATCAGCTGCCAGAGCCATTGGTCAATATAGTGATATGGGCAAAACCACACATGGTTCACCAGCTGGAATATGCACAATCTATCAAACCACCACAACTACAACCTCTCTGGAGAGCAAGCGTGTGTGGAGCTCATGGCTGAGGCTGGTTAGGTGTATCAGGCAGGAGAGAGCCGAGCGGGCGCCTGCAGCTCTGGGGGATGCCGTGGCAGGTACAGACCGACATCCATCTTGGGTCGAAGGGCACTTCAGTACAGTATCAATTGATGTGGTGACACAGACTAAGCATTCAGGCACCCACTCACAATTCTTTATCCTCCTTTAACTTTACTCTACTCTGACTTATTACCAAGCGCAAAATTCTACACCAGCTCTTGACTTTGACTTGTAACTGTACCTATTCAGAAACAAAGCTCACTGTCAGGGTTATAATAAAGAAGAATACTGCAGGCTTTCATATTTTAAAATCACAGCCTCCTGAAATTTCAGCAGTCTGTTATGCCTTCTGTTTATTTAGTGGATGCTTTATCCAAAGAGGCATACAAGTTTGAGAAAGCAGGGATAGACAGTCCCTAGAGTTACTGGGGGTTAGGGGTCCTGCTCTAGGGCAGTGAGATCCCTCTACTGACCCTGGGGTTTGAACCAACAACTTTCTAATCACAGGCACACTAATCTAATCTGTTAAACCAAACACGAACCCATCTTTGTTTTATTTGAAACTATGCTGCTTTGTTTATTTACTGCTTTTGACCTTTACTGCGATTTTGTTTTCTCCTGCTAGCTTCAGGACGTACCCCGTGTGGCGTTTCCTGAGGAGTCCTTTCCTGTAAAAGCTGGATGTAGCTGCTCCGAGGGATCAGTGGGATACGAAAGAGTGTAAGGTGCTGACAGAACCTGCGAAAGTAATGTTCTGGAGGAGAGTGTGGATATTCAGCTGGCTGATGAGTCCTGCTGTGCCGTGTCACTCAAATCGGGCAGCTTCTTCTGATCTAGTTTTAAATCTACAGGAGACGTGGAACCCCGAGATGTGGTACTGCAATGACCATGAGC